CAAAGTAATTCGTCATGTTTATATAAATCTGCCATATCACTGCATTACAAAACAATTATTTACCAAAGCTATATAGGTATTAACACACTAATAAAGTTATCACATACCTGACAATCAATGAACTCATTTTAGGTAATGTTTGTGGATATATTGCCAAAGTACCATTTAACAATTTAACGGGAAAAGTTATATCATGTGGATAAGTAGCGATTGCGTTTTTGTATTTGTTAAGACATATGTCTGACATGTCACTATGCTCAACCTCCAAAAGTACTTCGTTTAAAATCAGTGTACTGCACTTTTCGTGTTGACTTAGGCCCAATTCATAAAATTGACGAGCTTTTCTTATGTTTCTACGTTTTTTGAACTCGAATCGAGCAGCAAGAACAAAAATTTCAGATTCGTAACTGTGGCTTGTGTTGATCATAGCACTCATAAATTGGCTGCACTCGTCTATTAAGATCTGGAAGGGATTTTTAATTGATTTTAACGGAATTTCAATAATTTAAACATTATAATTACAGTACCTATAAGTAGTGTAAAAGTAGTTGTATACAAATTTTACTTACATTATTCGTACAAAACCCAATGTAACGGTCAAGATGGGCAGGAGTCATACCAAACACTTCAAACAAATGTGTGTAAAATTCATTTATACGAAGATACCCAATTCCCAACACTTTCTTTCCTGTATTTCTTAGACGTTTCAAATTTGGTGCTCGATTAATTTTCAATTCCTTGGGCAAAATAAAATTTCAAAATATTTATATCGTAGGCAACACTAAGAAATACAACTGTAATTGACATTTTATTTACACTTGCCTTGATTTTTTGTTGTACCAAGTCGTACAGCTCCAGCTCTTTATCTATTACTCTTATTAAGCCGTTTTCGATAGGTACTCCACGTGTAATCAATTTACGTTGGTACTCACGATAATCGTTGTACGAACTGAAAGATCAAAACAAAAATATTAATAAGCTTTTATTGTTTTTAAGCGAAATAGTCAAAATGAAAAATTAAAAAAACATACTTCACATCTTCTAATGTTTTTATCTTGTGTTCTATTAAAAATTTATTTACAAAATCAAGCTGGTCTGAGGCCATGGCGGTGTGATTGTGTATGTGTTGGCCAGGTTAGACGAAGAAGGAATTAATGTGAAAAATAGTTGTAATAATTTTGCCAATAATAATAAGAATATGGTTTAAATCACAGGTCGAACCATATACAGATGACTTTAATTTTTTTATTAGCTCTTCGGAGTAAGCGCCGTCTATTATAATCTGTCTGTAATTATAAATGATATAGCTGTTAATTGACAGTAAATATGTGCCAATGGTAAATATATCCAAGAAAATATTTTTAACTGAACTTGAGATAATTTTTAGTAGTTGTAAACCTAGTCATGGATTTGGAGCAATCTGAGCTATCTAGTCACTTGATTTTGCCTATGTTAAGTGCCCTTACCGTAAGTAGTTCCTAGATCCACCCTTGCGCTAAACGTTGACAAAAATATCACAAACCCTTTCCTCTAAATAAAGGGATGGAAACAATTTCTTTACATCTATATTTCAAGCGCAGTTTTAGAGTTTAAAAACATACTTTTTGTTATTAAAGAAAAACCAAAAGAGGGCAAAAGTATTGATTTTTCCTGTGATAAGTGAGAAACGCCTAGCACCCCGCCACCGTTCGTCATAGGGGTGGTAGCCACTTGAGAGTTGTTATAAACTAGAGATCCGACTACCTTACATTCGGTTTAAACGCCATCTATTGGTTGGCTTAGCTTGGGGTGCATAGACCAGCGTCTCACACCCTTAGAGCGCGGCAGTGGGGTTGACATTTTTAATTAAATTAAATGAGATTCGTAATCTATTATGTCCATTTTCAATCCAATATAAGATTAACTATAAAAAAATAATATTTTCGAATCTGATCTAATGATCAGTATCTACTTAATTATGTATAGGTATTCGAATTATTAGATTACTGTATTAGCGGTTGCATATTTACTAAACTAATAGCATATCATTAGTTAATTTTATTCGTCTTTTTTATGCATCATAATTCATAGTATGTTAAATTATCAAATGACAATAAATCGTTTGAGTCCTTATTTATTTATATTAGCTTATGCAAAAGAATGTCCCGGGATGCGGGACAGAGAAGGTATTGTTTTCAAATGGCTACTTAATTACAATTTACTCGTATCAGGGGACGAGAGGGGGGGGGATGGAAAGTTAGATTGTATTTGGTGAGAGAAGGAGATGAACTAGGGAAGGAATAGGAAGGGATGCGGAAGAGTAAGGGTTCGTTGATGATGTTTCTATGGCTATTAGGTACTTCTGATGAAACCGATACAAAATTCAATTATATAGTAAAGATAGTTTTTGAAGAAACGTATACTCACTATGTTTTGTAGCTGGATGGCAAAAATGATTGTGGTTAGACTGTGAGATTTTAGCGGATACACGTTTGAGGTGTTCACTATGAACAATTTGGTAGCAATACACGCATGACTTTAGCGCACAGTACTCAGTACACACTGCGAGACGCGAGTGCTTCTGTGTGTTTAACCCTGGACCGTTAGGGGCACATACAGAATACTCGGACGCAACCTACACTGAGAGTCCAGCAACGCCTTCGATCAATAATTTTTGGCAGTCTCAGCAGTGACAATATATATATATATATATATATATAATGGGTATATGTGTATATGTATATATGATGTTTGGTCCAGGGTCAGTGAGCTTGCGCTTTAGGAGTCTAGTGCATTGCCCCCGGGCTTGAAGTAATAGATTGCTTCGTGAGCTGTGTCGCGTAGCCTGGCCACAGAAGCTCCGTAATATTTTATTCTACCCGCACAACCCCCGTAAAATAAATATCTACACACACTGACAGTGTGGCCAACTTGAGGCGATCCGCTCGTTTTCTATGAAAATAATTGCAACTTTGTAATTTTTCTTAAAAAAATATATATATTTTATAATAATATTATGAAATTTTTAAATATTTACTTATTTCGGGTATTTTACAGAGCCTTTAAATTTAATACAAAATTATAAAAAATTTGCTTTGTCAATCTAGAAACTTGATTACATTACAAGTATCGTCATCGGACTTGATAGATGTATGAGGTAAGATGAGAAAAGAAAGAAAAAAGAAGGAGGATTTGTAATTTGGTCTTATGCTAAACTACCGAACCATTACACTATGATACATTTCTGTTCATTAGTTTTAAGCATGAACATATACAGGGTGATCCAACTAACGTAAGACACTCATTTTCCCTGAAAATATAAATATTTTGAAAACAATTTTTTTCCTAAACTCTTAGGTATATATTTTACTACATTTTTTAATATTTTAAAACATTTTATCGCCAATCCTTATAAGCCAAAAAAAGGGATTTTTGGTTTTTTTAAATGGCAACATATGTTTTTAATTACATAAGTTTGTAGAAAAAAAATTTAAAAATATGTTAGCGTTAAAATTTTTTATTAATCATTAATGTATATATTTATAAAAAGGGCCCAGCCTGTATACAATAATAATAAATAAATAAATAATCTGTTCATTAGTTACGACTTTGTTAAGATACTACATTACTACATACTTAATAATAATCATATTTCTTCGGTTTGTCCAAAACCGGCAGCACATCATATTCATATTTATGTTCGCATTGTCCAATTGGCGATAACATTCTAACAACTAGGAATTCACTATAAAAGATTTTGAAATAGACAAAGGTTCTTATCTACAGATTACTTAGATTATAGGTTATTTATTATACCTGATTATGATACAGAATACGGTAACATGTCAAATTATTTGTATGTAATGTAATAAAACTACTCGTCTTTGTAGTAACTATTGAAAATATTAAGAAATACAGTCAAAAAATCAAATCTTTATAAAGTCATAAGTCATAACAAATAAACAAATAAATGAAAATTCAAAACTCAAACGCTAACATAATTTTAAATTTTTTGTCTACAAACTTATGTAATTAAAAGCATATGTTGCCACTAAAAAAAAAACAAAAATCCCCCATTTTGGCTTTTAAGGATTGGTGATAAAAATTTTCAAAATATTGAAAAATGTAGTAAAATATGTACCTAAAAGTTTAGGAAAAAAATTGTTTTCAAAATATTTATATTTTCAGAGAAAATGAGTGTCTTACGTTAGTTGGATCACCCTGTATGTATTATATATATACTAATAAAAACCAGCCCGGCTGTGCATTATTTATAAATATGTCAGTGCACTAATTATGTTAAAAAGACAACGTGAGCAAAATTTGTTTGGTATTAAAGTTTTACAGCGCTCAGGACATTATTTCAATTAGGTATAATCAAACAACAATAACGCTTTTTTATTTTTTGTCGGGGGTTGTCAGAAGAATATTATGATGATGATTGGTTATGTAGTTTATTTTATTTTATTTATACTTTTTAGTAATTTCTATATAGTCAAAGTATACCTATATAATATAGTTAACAATTTAATTGTCATAATATCAACGTTTATACTTCACAGGACATCCGCCTTTTCCCTACAAAACGATTTAACTTATAATATTTGACAATAATTTTTGAATCTTTTGAAAAACGCGTCAGATAGCCGCTGCCGTTAGGATTGCGAGGTGTTGAGTATCAGGATCCCAGCAACCATATTCGCATTACAACTCGAGAATTATATTATTCAAAAACAACTGCGGGTCAGCCAGCTACATTATTAAGAGCCCTCCTATGGGTTACTTTTTCTGGGACCCTGGTACCGTGAATCTTGACACGACTACGACGGCTACCGAGGTTAGCCGGCGGGAGAAATCTATTTTGTGCTGTAACCGTGGTCCGTGGATACAACAACAGTTCTTAGGTTTATTTACACTTGACTGTTGTTTCCATGATAACCGCCACGTTATCACTAACGCTTAAATTTTAAATTATTGTTATCAGTTCCTATTATTGAATGTCCTATTTAAGTATTAAGTATTTTAAATTTGACTTCTTCAATCTTCAGTCTTCACCGTTCTTCTTAACATTTATCTTCTAAACCCCGTTTTAGACGATAACGTTAGTATTTTCTTTATAAACAATGACGGTTTTCGGATAAGTAAAAGTGAGTCATATTATAACATATATTATGTCATGTAACAATTTATAATGTTTTGATTTATGAAGCAAGTAAAGTAAATTGAATATTGAATTGTAGCCTGTCTAATGTTCTTGGTATGTACCAAAATAAAAAGTGTAAATTTGTTAACATTTTATTTTAATACTCCAATAATTATTAATTGAAAACATTTTCCCCCGTCTATTAAAACACTATTTTAATAGAAATGGTGGCAAACAATTTAAATACCAAACAAAATCACTATACATTCTTAAGCAGGTTTTCGAAATCAGTTAAAATCTATTATCGATTTGAACTCCAAAATGTTAAGAGAACGTCACACCACCCGTATTTTGTCCCTGTAATGCGGGGGATAAGGTTTTTTGGGCTGTATTAAAATTACAAATTTTTTACAGTTTACCATGAAGTACTTTACCTGTGTCAAAGTGTTATAATTTTTTTGTTACTTTGTACAAAATCTAAACTATTTATTGGTTAAAATTGCTTTTTTCCTTCTTTATTAAAACTTAGCACTGCTAAGTTTTAATATAAAAATAGTATATACATGAACATGACTCCTTATAAATGGGCGGAGTGAAGTAATATATTATCCAACTTTTTTGTTTTTTCAGAAAAAAACAACAAATTCAAAAAAGTAATCAGACCTAAAAACCTAGGAGTGAGTGGTTTTATTATTAATGCTGTAAGTATTGACTTAAAAAGCATTTTTTTTTTTTTATACAACCTTAAAACCGTTTAATTTTTTATTTTTAGAAAATAGTCTATTACTATTACAGTAATGAACCAAAAAATAGTAACAGAATACGGTGCTTTAGATGTGCTGGTGACCACCACATAAGAAATTGTAAAAAGAAAAACAAAATGAGTAGTAAAAAGTAATTTACAAATTAATGTACGTGATTTATTATAATTGTGACTATTATATTTTTAGGGTGCCATTTCTGAAAATCGCCTAATCATTTGTACAGGGACTGTCCTATGAGAAAACGGCAAAACAAAAAGGTTTGTACAAATCTTTTTGTTGATACATTTTTTTAAAATTAAATTAAAGAAAGATTTGCCCACAGTTTTAATGGTAGTAACTATGCAAAAAATCCAATCATTTGGCTTTTACCATTTTATTTATATTAACGCTTATAAACATTATGTACTAAATAGTATCATCAAGAGTAAATCTATAAATTAAATTTTGCGAAAAATAGTCTATACATGGCTCCTTAGAAATAGCCGGAGTGGAGATTTATATTATCCAATTTTTTTGTTTTTTTAGAAAAAAACAAATTCAAAAAAGTAGTCAAACCTAAAGAACATCTAGGGACGCGTGATGACGGTCACCACCACATTATAAGTGCAGTAAGTATTGTGCATTGCTCGGAATCAGTCGATGGCTGAGATAATCATTGTTTGCAGTCAGGTGTTGTAGGTATGTTTGTTAAATTAATGTTAAAAACATTTACACTAATTGGAATATTTTCTAGGCTGCCTGAAGTGCAATAACCGTTCGCCATCAAACTTATTGTGATGACCATTACTAAATACTGTTTACGTTTATACTCGCACATGTAAGTATACTTAGTATTTTGTTAAGTATTAAGGGCAAAGGTTCCCAACCATTTTGGAATCACCGGTAGGATATTGTGTATTCATACTTATACTTTATAACTTCGGTTTTCTTTAGCTTGGTATAGAAGTATCTAAACATATTATTAATTATTACTAATTATACATTACTAAAAAAATTAAATACTTTTAACATTAATTTTACAATTCTAAATAAGTAAATTATGGGACTAATTACTAATTCTAATGAGAGATACCTGAGCTTGTTTTTTCCCCCACAAATCCTTTATTCATGGTCGTTTTGATTGGTCTTATTATTACAAATAGCTACAGTGACAAAACTTTCACTTTGAAAAGTGAAATTAGGAAAAAATGTCCATCCCTTCTAAGGGAAAGTGTTGTTGTTTAATATAGTATAGTTTATAATTATAATTGATAATTTATATTTTTTTTTTCTTAGCAAAGAGCAGTTTTCCCTGTGGATGGAGAACAACGTTAATTTTTGGAGCACTAAGGTTTTTGCCACACCATGGAGGCGAATGGTAAGACTCCTTCTCTAGACAGTCATTTGTTTTTCCCAAAGAGATACTCTAGGTATCCGAGTGTCGACACATCACCACCTTACCCAATCATCCTCCTTTGTTCATATAAACTTTTACAGCCAAATGTTGACTACATTTAATCTATTTTGTGACTCTAACTAACAACTTTTTATTTCATCAAGAATTAGCTATTAAAAATAATACCGGGTCGATTTAAATTTAAACTAATTATTTTATCAAGAATTAAACAGTACAAATCAACAGAGACAGGTCATCAGCCTCTTTAAATTTTAAATTGCCATCTCGATAAAATTTTCTGTCTTCTTATTATATTTTAATCTTATGCCATCGTGTGAGTAATCTTTGGACAACACAATGGAATAATTAAGCTCTTTATTTTGCATCAGGTTTTAAAATTATAGTGTCCAGAATAACAAAAAATACCAGCTTAAGTAATTATCTAGATCATTTACCTTATGGTTTAATTACTTATGTGTATGTGTCGGCCATTCTTTACTACCTCCCCATTCGTTCAAGCCATCACCTAATGATTCTTTATTTTGTACTCTACATCTTGATGAAAGTATTTGTGATCTTTTAATAGTCTTTCATTGTAAAAGACTCGCCTACTCATTATGATGCTATATGTGATTTAAAACAAAGCCTAACAAGTCTTGAAAAGATAAAAATTATATTTATAAATATTTATAATTCTTTCTATTTAAAGTACTACAAAGCTGCAATTATTGTTTTCAGTGATAAACGTATTGTGATAGATGCAAGATTGCATGAGACCAAAGTCGCCTGAAGATTGTTAAACATAGGTGATAACTATTTTACTGGCAAGAATGATCAAAGTAATGCCAACTGCAACTGCCAACGTTTTGTCATCATCTCGCACAGTATAACTTAGTTGGATGGAATGAACCAATAACTAATAGATGTTTGGAAAGTCTGTCCTGAGTTTTTTACTTTTAAAAATTATATTTTTATAATCACTACGATATCCACTGAAACCTTTGTAATGAGACAATTGTAATTAAAGGCTGATTGAGCCGTCAAGAGCAAAAGTGGTGTAAGTCACGTTTTCACCTAATCTAAAGTAACGCCACCAAGCGATAATTCTGCTCTCAATCTATCGCCTGCGAAAGTGATTTTAGTCGTGCTTTGCTTATTATCCGCACGATGGAAAGAGAACTTTAAGTTCTCGTAAAAACATTTATACAGATCTTCTACTTTAATATTTTGTGACTTACACCCTTTTTGCTCTCGAATGCGCAATTTTATTTTTGTGTAATGCATTTATCAAGCTTTGTGTGCTCATTGCGCCATGAGTTCTATAATCATAAAAAAATTAATATCAACTATTTCATTTGTAAATAATTTCCATTAATAGTATACAAATTTGATTCAATAGAATAAAATGTAAGTTTATTAAACATGTGGATTTTGTTTAAAACATCCACTCAACACAAATTAGTTAAATACACTATTACATTATGGATATTTTTACTCTAAGAAATGCGCCGCATCAGTATAGCATAACTATCATGAGCTTGTTTTATAAGTAAAAAATTATTAGATTACATTTTCAATTATTTTTAAAAATTACAATTTTTCTCGAATAAACTTGAATTCAAGTTGGTATTTAATTGCATTTTCTCTATTAGTGGGTCTATTAATATTATAGTTATTAAATATAATTTGTTTTTATTGTTTACAAATAATTATTCTACATTACGTTGGATCAAGTACTACCGAGTCAAATGCTACAGAGATTGATAGAAGCAGTGATAAGTAGCCAAATTAATGATAATTGATAAGTGACTCATCAGACTTAAAATAAAAGTTCTAATACAGCGGTGCACATTATTTAAGATAGTTTTCAAAAAACAGTGGGTATTATAAATGTATCCAAAAAAATAATTTAACGACATATATGAAGGATTGTGACCAATTTGTCTAGAATATCTTAAATTTCGTGGTTTGTACTTATAACATAAAAAATAAAGACACCTAATTAAGCAATTCCCACTCGGTAAATCAATGTTTTGCGCTGAACCGTTTGTTCGACATTGAAAAAATGGGCTAAATAAATTAAACTCTGAATCTTAGTACAACTATTTCATTTAATTCTTATAAACTTATATTCTAGTAAATATTTTAACAGATAAATAAATTAAGTAAATGTTTTTGTATTCTTCTTACCAAAGGAAATTTTAAAAACAAAAAAATATTGAATTATCTACAAGCTGTGAATAATTAAGTTAATTATATTAGACAAACACACTTTTATGACTTATGATCATAGTCTTGGACCACACTATAGTTCTAGCATACCATTCTGAGTCATATCTTTGCCTCGCCTCAATTATAAAGTGACTGCACTAGTAGTGCATTGTTGTATATTGCTTATACTATACAAACCATTCATTATTACGTTGTAACCTACTCAAAATTTTGTTTTATTGCCAATATTGTAATTATATCCACAAAAATTAAGTAGATAAAGTAAATACAAATAATTTGTTTACATAATCATTTTCATGGTTACCTTTGTTGTTAGATATTTTTTATATTTAATATTCTCAACTGTTATTAACATAATGTATTAAGACCTGATAAAATTACACCTACTTAAAATGGACTGATTCCAATTCTGTAAAAATATTTGAGTATATCGGTCTTTTTTCTAGATTATTATTGGAATCGGTTTTTATTTTTGGATTAAAATTGTGTTTTAAAATTACTATTTATAATACTATAACAATTTCTCAAATTTTAAGTATTCACTTTTTTTAATTAATGAAATAGTTATTTAAAAATCGACTTCCAAAATATTCTGGAAAAAGGACGATGAGCTTAAATATTTTTACAAAATTAAAATTGTGTACATTTTTTTTTCGTAGGAATAAAATGGCTTTTAATCATAAAAAACCATTTTTGTCTTAAATATTGCCTATATAAAACCCCTTAAAATCCGCATGCTTTTAATTCCCTTAAATACAATATTCGTTAACATATTATCTATGACATTAATTGCCGCAAATGATCAACTTTAATGTCAGGGACGAAATGGTTGTGAACAAAACGTCCAAAGAGAACCTTTTATTTTTGTGGCGTTAACAGCCATCAAGTTTGTCAATTATCATCTTTTTTACATTAATTTAAGACTATTTTTTCTTTTATAAAGATTATATATTTTGATTCGATTATTTGAGTCTGGAATTATTTGCAAATTAATCAATATTTTCTTTGGATATAAAACATTTAAAGCTCTTAAAACTATTTTTTAATGTTTATTCTATGTTAATCAAATAAAAACTTAGACTTTTGAATATATTTTTTTATATTTCATACACACAACGTTTGTATATTTATTACTTAACAAGTGGTTTTATATTTAATAAGCATATAACTAGTTATAGAATTTATGAAGAATACAAAAATGATTTAATAATTAGAATATTAAAGCTTGAAATTTGTACATTTCAAATAGTAATTAACTAACCCTTTCAGTCCCGAATACATTTATCTCTATCATTTCAAAGAAGACAAGGAAAAAATAATCATAAACAGTGGTAAACTTCATGACTTTGAGCGAAGCCAATGAGACTGAAAGGATTATGACATTCTGTTATTATACATAGTATACAACAATAATATTGCATTACAAACATAATTTATTTGCATATAGAGCGGTATAGCAGATTTCTTCACAATTAAATAAGGAATAAGTTGAAACATTTCCGACCCTTACAAAATATATTTAGGGTAGTATTATGAGTTAATATATTAATGTTTTTCATACATTTTACTTTCGAAGGCTTATATTAGTTCAATAGTGATTTTTTTTTTCTAACAAAAAAACACTAGTTTATTTTTTATACAAAGAACTTCTGCTGTTTACGGGGATTGCATACATTGACGTTTTAAACGAAAAAGCCAGTCAAAATTTAGACCACTTAAGACGGTCCAATTTCAATTCTGTAAAGAGTTCTTAGGCTACTTTACTTGGTTATGTTAAACAAACTAACCGGTTAATTAATTGACATGGTCAAAGTTTATTAAAACCTCTTTTTTCTTAAATATTGCATATACAAAACTCTTTAAAAATCAGACGAAATAACAAAAGGAACTCAAGGGTGGTAATAAAACAGCGAGTATTATACTTAATATTATCTGGAATTTGGTTATGTGTTTGTTATTGGATATAAAGTGCGATTCTGACAAAAAAAAATACCTAGTTACATTGTTAGGCTTTGCCACACCAGATAAGACACATAATGTTAATGCCAAAAAATAAAAAGTTATATTAAAACAGATTTTCATGTATTATAAATAGTTTAGTAGTTATTTTTATGAATAGTTTATTATAATCAGATGATGATGATTCATAGTTAATAACTCCTATATATGTGTAATCATTCCTACAGTGCTTAAAAGCTAAAAATATTTGCTGTTTCATTTATAGAATAATTTCATTTGCTATACCACTCTTTATCACTCAGTTTTTTTAGCTTGATGATTTTCATGTTCGACAAAATCATCAAAAACACTTGGCCAAGCGTCCGAATCATCATAATTTGTCAGGTCGCCATTGGGTACAGATTCAGCAAAACACAAGAACATGTTCCACGTGTCTTTTGGAATGCCATGGACGGATTTGCTATTTTCCAAAAACGTCAACCAACGTTGAAGTATTGCCGGTTCGGATATGTCGAAAACCAACTGCCACAGCACAATAGCCGTATCGACTGGTAAGATACGTTGACCTTTATTGTTGTCCAAACCGAATTTAAATGTAAACCTGGAAAAATTGTTAATATTTTTTCAAATATTTCAGATGCTTTTTTTTTTGTATTTTGTATTTCATCGCTATCAATACCTGTACAAACTTTTGAAGTCCTTTGAATTGTAATTGAGATCACTGACCATTTCGGACAGCTTGGTCCGCATTAATTCTATAGAATCGGCGTTCAAAGCCAAGCAGCCTTTGGCGAATTCTACTCTTTTTAATTGACACATTTGATGTGCATTGCATTTCCACGCAAACACGAGTATGCGGAATTCTTCGGGGAGTATTTCCAAATCGTTGCACAGTCTTTCGATTCCGTCTATTGATATCAGATCGACAGAAGGTTCCTTGTACACGTCAAATAACTTTTCCACTCTAATTTGGAATCTTTTCGCAGCAGTGTTATCAGCGCTACCGAATAGCGACATCAAACTACTGGTTAACGATTTAAAAGCATAGCTAATACCATTATCCGATCCGGTGTTAGCACTATTGTCGGTTGCATTAGTCATTGGCACTACAGAATGGATAGTAGCTGTCGTTGTATTTAATTCTAAAAAAAAAATACAATCAAATTAATTATAAAAGTTAGGAAATAATGATTATTTTTCTAACTAGAGATACAATATATTAAACATCTTGGATTAGTATACAAAGGTAATCTTATATGCATTATTTTATACCTTTTACTTGTGTATCCAAAACTTTCTTATCGCTGCAGCTTTGCGATGTTGGTCTACGTGAAAAACAGATTCCCATTTGTCTACAGTAATGAAAATGGTTAACTTTATAGAAATATCGAAGTCTTTTGTTGAAGACTATTATACCAAGATCAAATTCTAAAAAAAAAAAAATGAAACATAAATATTATGTTCAATGACTTTTGGGTGTTGACAATTTTTTTTTTTTTTTGCACTAAAGATAATAAATAAAATAAAATACATAACACAGGAACAAACCATAAATTAGGCGTTAGTGTTAATTAAAATGTTTATCTAATGATCAATTAAATGATGTATTTAAAATTGATGTGTTATGTAGATAAAACGAAAGAAAACTTATTTAAAAAGGTCGTATGTATGCAAGCAGAAAATATTGTATTGAAGTTTTAAAATATTATTTTCAAATTCTCGCCCATCCTGTAAAATTGTATTTACACTGGAAACTCCCTTTTGCTGTATTTCCGATGATGTTATATTAAATTGAATATTGATGACTAATTATGCTTTTGACCAAAATAATATAAAGTGTATAATAACATAATTATTTTGGAAATTACCAATATTATTACATTTCGATAAATAATACTTACTGGCATAGGCAATAGCTAAATAACTACCCGATATGACGAGTGTATAGTGAGCAATGTAAATTATACAGTGTAGATATTGGCTGTGCAAGCTTTACTCACAAAAAAAATTTAAGGTGGGCAGTGTGCGTTTTTAATGGGCTCTATGGCACTTGACCGTACTATTAACTATTCAGACTAGGTAATAGTAAATTTAGTATAGATCTATTAGACCTATAGTCTACACACCTTGGGCTAAACTCAGTTAATTGACAACAGCGAATATCACGACCTCTGCGAACGGATTACATGAAAATGTAAACAGCTGATATGCATGCAGGAACTGTAGGGGTGACCATCCCCGGTCACTAACCCCGACGGTATAAGGGATGAGGATACAATGGACCCTTTTGAATATTATTGATTTTTTCCAAGTTGGTGGCTCAATGTCTATCACCCGTTTTCAGGGGTTCCCAACAAGGTAGCAGTACCATTTCTTGTAGGAAAACAAAAATCCGAATAGCTACACTGACGATGAATAAAGTATAAGCACTCTGCAATAAAGTATAGCTATATGGAGCCAATAGTGTAGTATTAGTTGTTGTTGATGGACAATATACTAAAGAAATATTCTTTTTACAACAACCAAATGCATTTATTTTTCATCTAAATCTTGCCTATTTTTCCCATTATCACCCAAGCCATAAAATGCCATCTCCCGGATGTAATTTACCGGAAAAAACTTATATACAATTTAAAAAATGTATATATATATATATATATATATATAATTAGATGTGTTGCCACAAAATTAATAGAAATGGTCATCTGTCTTAATGTTTTGGTTCATATTTAAAATGTAGATATTTTAAAAATAATTACATTGGTAAAAGAATTAATGTTTTACAATGTTAAATTCATTTTTTTATTTTATTCATTGTATTGTCAACACCATAGCGCTCTCTATAATTACTTACAACCAAAGTATGGACCACGAACACTCTAGTCTGCATGCGCTGTAGTCAGTAGTATTGATCGGCACTGCCAGTGAGTAATGGCTGTAGTCTGAACTCTGACGCACCATTGCACAGTTAGGGTCTTTGAGATTTCTCCAATATAGTTGTTATAAGTTGAAATTCTAGTAAAAAGTTTTGTCAATTTTAAGTGTAAAGCTTGTAGTTGAGACTGCTATTGACATGAGTGCCAACGAGAACAAGAATGAAACCAGCGAGAGAAAAACTGAAGCCAACGAGAAAAATAATGAAGCCAACGAGAAAAATAATGAAGCCAACGAGAACAAAGCTAAAGCCAACAAGAGAAAGAAAAGAGGTGTAAGTATAATTATATCAAAATTAATTTTACTATAGTGTCTATAACAATTTGACCGTTGCATGCTAAAAACGTTAAAATCGCTATTTGGTTTTTAATTACTAGGAAAAAACAAATCTACTCTGGCCAAAGTTATATTTTCAGCTTCAATGTGGTGTTGAGTGTCGTCTTTACAATGTGTTTTATTATTTGTTTGTTTGTGTTTTTTGGACCTATAATACTTACAAAAACCACTGAACCAATTTCTTTTTGTAGCAATAGTCTATAGATCCAATGTCGTACCAGGAAGTTACTTTAATGGACCAAAAAGTCCATCTCAGCCAGTCAATAATGAAAAAATAGCGAAACAAATTTTTTTTCTCAAAAATTACAAGTATTATAATATACTAAAAGTCCCCATCGACCAGACTGGAGCTTTTTTTTATAAGCGCCAGAATGTTCAAAATGTTGAACTTTTATCAATAACTTGCAAAAAAAAATAACAATGCAAATATTGAGTTAAAAGTTTTAAACAAAAAATGTTAATGACACAATTTTCTGTGAAAACAATAACGAGTATTAATATATTATTTCATAAAATAATACCTAACCTATATATTGACATTATAACTATGTTTTTCTATTTTTTTTGTTCAATATCGATGGAAAATAGATTATTATACACACACAAGAATATTGGGATTTAAATATTTTTGTTGTCCCCCTTTTAAAAACCATGCAGATGTTTTATCATAGCCAATTATCGTGTGATAAATAATTCTTTATTTTTAATAGTTTCATTTTTTGTATGAAACTTTATTCAATGTTTGCCATATTTTTAACTTAAATTTTTCAGAGCTAATAAATAAAAGCTCCAGCCCGATCAATGATGGCTCTTAGTATATTAAAAAACATACGTCAATAATATTTTTTTTGCTAACTTCCAAAATTGTAATCTTAGAGACTGGCCAATTCTTCCCACTTCAGAAACCATTTTTTTTTAAAAATTCAGTTTTATGGTAGTTAAATAAATAAAATTTGCAATTAGTTCAATATTAAAACCCAATTATTTTACAGAAAAAAAGAAAAATCAAAAATCTGTTTTCTACATAACCTAGTAAATTTGTCAAAGAGCTCGTTTATCTTAAAAAAATTGAAATCGAACCATCCTAATTAGTCGAAATTTTGTCTGGCTTTTTGGTCAAAAACGTCGAAAAACAGCCCTCAAGCAAAGTTAAAGTTTGACTACATATTTTTAAGAAAATCGTATATGGTATAGCTATACCCACTCTAAAGCTTCATTATAATATTCAGCCTTTAAGATATAAACTACATTTAAAAAAGTGAAATAAAGAAAAAATATCTACTCCAGCTAGTAAAAAAGGGTTAACGATATTTGTGTTTGATTTGTTACCATTATCGATAGTACTTTATCTAAAAAATATTCCATGCAAATTTGAAACTAAATTTAGAGGATTTTTCCTTATCGCCATATTATCCAACACCATGCCCTACCATCACCTTCTTCCATTCAATTACAATATATTGTGCTATCCTCTCCCCTCAACATATATTACACTAATATTTCTAAAATATAAACAGTAACATTGAATTACAATATGCTCTCTCTATCCTACCGACCCAACTGAACTTAACATTTTATTAAAATACTAATTTTTTCTTTTCCAAAAATCTAGATTTTACACTGATATTGGTCGTATTTAATTAATTCTCTATGTCACCCCTTTCTCAGCCCTGTTCCTAGGAGTGATTTACCACGTTTTGGTAATTTTAAGTCGGTGTGTTTTATTTGACAAGTGTGTATTGTGAACGTTAATATTTTTGATTTTACAGGGTGATGGCAAAAAACCGGTATATGGAGGATGTGAAGGTCCAGATGCAATGTATATCAAATTGATTTCAAGCGATGACCATGAATTCATTATAAAACGAGAACACGCTATGACTTCTGAAACAATCAAAGCCATGTTGAGCGGTCCTGGACAATTTTCTGAAAACCAAACCAATATGATCCACTTCAAAGATATACCGTGAGTGATGTTAAAATTTGATATAAAAACGAGCCGACAAATGCATTTTAATAATTATTATGTTTTAGGTCACATGTTTTGAAAGTCATATGTCTGTACTTTGCATACAAATTGCGTTACACAGACAGCTCTTGTGAAGTACCAGAATTCCCGATTCCTACACAGAGTTCATTGGAAATACTGATGGCTGCCAACTTTTTAGATTGTTAATACCCAAATGTATCCAATCTGAATAGTCCCAATGTAGTTTAATAATGTAGTTTTTTTTAATCTTACATTAACTTTACAAGTTCTTGACTATTCTATACAATATATTCATTTTTATATTTCCGTCAAGTTGGGTAACTTATGAACTGGTACGCTTATTTTAAAATGCCAACAGGTGCACCACCTTCCAGGATGGGAATTAGAAATTAAAATGGTGCACTCGAATAAATTTACTATAATGACTATGCAGATCATGTTTTATTAGAAAAAAATATTTTGATTCGTTAAATTTGACTTAAACTATTTTTTCTCATAATATTTATTAAACGTTGGTGATCTAAATTACCCAATTTGACCATAACTTTTATTCACAGTATAATTCATATAAAATATATAATCGTATTTATAATTACAATTTTCTTTAACACAATAATATACTCTATTGATTACATTTACATTGGTGTTGTGACATTGTTTTTTTATGAACCTTTAAATAATATTATTGCGAATTAACTATACTGACTGCTATGGTGTATATCATATGTGTATATTGTACTTTACATTTTTCAACAGTATAAAATGTTTTTGGTAGGTTAATTCTGACAAATTGATCTACGAATTTTAATCCCTTTTTCTTATTAAGATGCCTCTTATGAACTGTCTTAACGCATAGGTATTATTTTTACAAATTCTGAACCTTTTTATTTTTTTGTACACTAAACTTTTTATAGAAAACATTTTTTTTTTTTCAAATCACTTCCATATTATAATCCTATTATTTTGAACGTTTTTATTATTTCACATCGGTGAACTTACTCAAGTTAAGTTAAGAATCTTTGATTTTATTTCCACGGTTGTTAAACGTTTTTTTTTTAAACGAATAAAGCAAGGTTTTAACATACTATCAATGAACAGTAGTTTGGTATTGAACTGGTGATAACATATGAAAAAGATAACAATAAAATATTCCCCAACGCAAAGTGTAAGATAGTTTAGCCACTTTACAAGTACAGTTTAAATTGAAATTAACTTTTTTATATATTTAGAATTCGAAATAAGATAAGATAGTTAACTTACACATCATATTAGTCTGTGAATAAGTAACAATGTTTTTTTTGGTTTAATGAGTAAAGAAATAAGAACATTTTTAATGCACTTGAAAATTACAATTACACACTTTTAATACAGACGTCAGACACACTAATTTTGTATTTGTAACATCGAGTAGCAATATTATAAACTGTTACTAATAACTATTTAAATAATAAATGTTCTCTATAACATACTAATAATGCAATTTCATAGGGTCAAATTAGATTTTTATTAAAAATATTATGGTTTTATGTTAAGTGTATAAATAAATTATAAAAAAAAAAATGAATACCTCTCAGCTCAACATTGAAGCTCAATTATTTGTTTAAAACAGAATTTCTTGCAAACATAATATAATAAAGATATCACATTGTACACATGTATTTGGTGGGACTGATTCCGAATTTGGTATCAGTTTTCAATTCAAAACTGGTTATCGAGACATAATTTTTTTTCAGTAAATTATCTTTAATTTAAAAAGCTATTTAAATATACACGTTGTCGTTTAAGTTTTAAAAGTTGATAGAGCGCTAGCAAATACTGAAAAGATAAAAAATTGAATATTGTCTAATATTGTACTATAACATAAATCAAAAAATGGCAATCATTAAGAGTAAACTAATGTAGGGCATTAAATGAACCATCCGATATATGAATATTTCTTAAAGTTTTTTCAAACGGAATTACTAAACGAAAATTTTGAATAAAAAGTTAAACACTTAAGAAGTTGTATGGTTGTAGTAAGGCTATATTATAATCCAAAAATTGTATAATTAACTTTACAATACAAACAAGTTATAGAAAATAGCTGATGAATGCCTACTGTAGTTATTTGTTTTTATCGAAATCATTTTTATCCTTGAATCGTTTTTGATATTAGTCTTAGGGTTTTTACCGAATTGTTTAAATTTATTAATTTATCCATATTTCTGCAATTGGTACATTTTTACATCTGGTCATGAATAATTTTTATATTAATTTAAAACCTTTTGAAAATATTGTACGGTTTTATCATTGTTACTACTTTTCTAAATAATTGTATATACGGTATTTTACTTTCTTACCCGGAAAAATATTGAAAACACGTTTTAAGTTGTGTTATTTATTGAAATAAGAAGAAAACATATTTTGATGTGATGCTTGTTCAAATAGTTACCTGTTGGCATACAACATTGTACTAAATAAGAAATATATCTAAAACAAAAACAACATCTTTAAAATCGACCTAGTAAAATTATTTAAAGTCTTCAAAGTTAAAACGATTTTGATTATTATTTTATTATGGGACCATTTCTTTTTACTTAAGCAATTATAATAATTTACTTTTACAACTTTTACAACTTGTACACTTTTCTTCAGCTGTTCTTCAGCTTTTTGGCTTCAACTTAATGTAGTAAAAAAAACATGTAGAACATAATCATTCATCACACATCAGTTGCCTATCTGAAATCTAACCCATTTCCGGTTAATGACCTTTGAAATCGAAGGCTTATTAGCTAAATGAAAAAAACACGAATATCATTGATATAAAGTTATTATTTAAAAACTGAAATTTACCAAATAACTTGGTCTAATAATACATTTAACCAGAGGCCTAAATTTTGGCTTCCAATTAATAATGTGTAGTATGGAGTAGAATATAATAAAATAAATTAAGCATTAAAATTGTATCATATTTTGTCAATAATGCTAATTCAGCAATAATATGTACAAATGACCCACATTATTTTTATGTAGCATAAGCAAAACAACAGCGATTATTATTACTATTTAACTCAAATGAAAAATAATACCAAGAGGGTTCTCTAAATCGAGACTCGTTTGGAAATAGTTGTGTTTAATTTCACATTGATTGTACGGTCTAAGATAATTATGTTTTATGAAAGTTTTATGTGATTTTATAGTTGTTTTCAAAGTATAATTTTTTTTTTGTGTTTATTCAAAATCGTGGGGTTTATTTTTGTTAAATTATGAAAAATACATATTTGTTAGCAATCAATTTATTTGATTGATAAATTAAAAAAACTATTGACACAGTACTAACTGAATTAAAAATAATCACTGCTAAATAACAATATAATTGTGATTCTGTGCTATCGTTATAATCAATGATTAAAATTTCCTATAAAAAACTTTTTAGAAATGGTCAGTATCCGATCCCCTTAAACGGTGACCATGGTAGTGCATGGTAGTGTGGCATGTACTTATACCGAATTTAACCGAAGATTCAATTTGCATGTCGCATAATACCTAATACTAATAAACTCAGACGTTTTCAATAAACTCGTGTGTAATTTTTCAAAATATATCGGGAAAAGTGTTTAAAAATGAGTGACCAGTCGACAATTATTCAAAATTCTACAGATAACGTTATTATGGATACAAGTAATTTCAGTAATGATCTTGACGGCCCATTTTTCAAAGTTGATATACAAAATTCTACGCTTGATGGGACAACGGTATTTGCCAAATTTTTAAATTTCAAAACCGACAATATTATAAATAAGAAAATTTGCGTTCATCTTCAAATTTCTTAATGCACTTGAAGGTACATTTTCTCAAACTTAAAAACGATTAGACAAAAATAATTAAAAACTTAAATAACTAAAACTATGATTTTTTTTAAAAACATCGAATTTTTCGTGTTTTTAATTTTATTGATTTTGAACCTGGAAAAATTGTTGCCACTATAACTGATAATGCAACAAATTTTATCAAGGCGTTTTAGCAATTTAGAATTAAAAACACGGAAAATATTGATAAAGATGAAAGTCTTGCGAATGATTTCGACTCGAGTGAAAGTAATATAATTAAGTATACATAAATTGAATAGGTCGTTTCAAAAACGACACAAGTTATAAAATTGAAATTTTACACTAACCACAGAAGAATTCAGTTCTCCAGAAATTCAACTTATTTTGAACTTACACCTATTTACTAATTTATTTTTAGGATTTCGATATTCATAATCCATAGTTTTAAATAATCTAACTTTGGCCATAATTCATTAAATTGAGATAAAACTATTGGACTTGCGTTGTTTTTGCAGGGAATAGAAATTTATCATATACAAATTAGGTCAAGAAATAAAAAAAAACAAATGAACAAAAACTGGTATTATTATTTAAAATAAAATGTAATAAAATAAATGTAGTTTTTACACAGAATAAATAGTAATTTTTTAAAAATCGGTGACTTATGTCGTTTTTGAAATGACCGATGTATATTACTCTAATGAAGGGGAGGGGGGAATTCATGCTATGAATGGCATTGGTTTTATTATAATTATATCGATAGTAAAACATTGTAAATAATAAATTCTGCTTTGTAACGAAAAACAAATCTGAGATCGGACTGTGAACATTTTTAAATATTATATAAAATTATATTATATAGGTTTATTTAAATATTTTATAAGAACAAGAGTGTAGTCAAAATTTGAAAGAAAAAAAAAGCTTATATTTTGTTACCAAAGAATTAGTTGTTAATACATAATGATTATTCAATAATTCTTAAAAACTAATAGTTTTTTGTCGTTAAAACATTTGTATTTTTATTATATTTTCTTAAAAAACCGAAATATCTGCTTTTTTACCAAAAATTATATTAAGTAGGTACGGATTTTCTCTTGTGTTGAACACAAAAAGTCGTCGTGATAAACGTTTTGTTTTAAGCTATTACTTGTTGCACTGAATGAAAAAAATGTACCTAGTCCAAAATCAAAAACACAATGATGTCTTGTACGTGCCAATTGCTGATGACATTAAAAACTATCTACCCCACCATTTAATATGCTGCAGTCACACTCTGAAACTTGTAACAGCAGACACAAACAAAATTATGGATAACGAACCGGCATTAGGTAAAAAACAGGCATCAATATTTGTGAAGTATAGGAGAAAATCAACAAAGAATTTTATGAAGCTCAGGTGACAAAAGATTTCACTTATAATGAGGAATATAATATGTGCATGGCACCAGTTGCACAATTTGCATTTGATTTTTATCAAAAAGATCACGATTTCATATTAAGTGTAAAGACAATATTTAATATCTCCTCAACTTTGTCAGCTTCGAATCCGGGTGGTTACTAGGGAGAAGGGTAGGGTTTTTTTTTGGGGGGGGGTCCCGGTTTTGACATTGAAGGATATGACTTTTTATAATTTTGAGAGGTACCAAAGTAAAAACTATTTAAAATATGATTTTTAAAAAAGGATAAATAATAATGATATATTAAAATATGAAAAGAACATATTAAGCTAGCACAACATTTTTTTTATTTAAAAAAGAATATTTACAATCTATGCTACGAGGCATAGTAAGCAAATAGTTACATTAATATATTATTTACAGAAAAAATAAAACGATGATATAATATGACGAGAGAGGCCATCCATGATCCAGTGATAGAACGCACAACAGTATAACGTACAGAAAATGTAAAAATATATGTAATCTGTTATCTGAACACATACTCAAAATATGCATTAGAATATAGATATAAATAAATTGCTTATAATATAATTACAAAGTAGTTTAAGTTTACAGAAAACATTAAAAAATGATTAATTTTGATTATTTTAGCTTTGATGCGAGGCTGAGAAGGTATTATATCTACAACCATGTGTTGTTGGTTTTTGTGTCTGTTACTTTTACAAGACTATTATATGAGAACTATATAATTCAACAAAAAATTTGAGTTAAAAAATGAGAATCTGTGGATACTGGCCCCTTTGGTAATTTTGTCACTATGCTTGGTTTCGACTATACTAATAGTTTAGCCAGTACTATTGATTTGTACTCTACCGGTTTAAACTGTATTAATTTGGACTGTACTGGCTTTTTTAACACTGTTGTTTTGAAAACTAAAACACGGCTCACGATAATGATTTACTTATAGTGAGTAATACTCACACGGACCACAGTAAACGCATAATATCGAAGTCGAGCACGGTTTTTCCAGAACAAAATTATTTATAAGATTTCACCGTCTTACATGAGTTACACCTTTTCCGGAGAACCGGCCAAGTGTATACGCGTTAAACATATTATATTATTATGCCGCTACACTGTACAAACTAGTCACCGAGGCGATGCTGTCAGGTCGTAAATAAAAATTGATTGGCCTCTGTGTTTTCTTACGGACAAACCGGCGTGGCACATATTATATGATTTAGTAAACAGCTGTATAGAAAAAAAAATAAACAAACACATTTTTCGCGTTCTCGTTAATTGTTTGAGACTTACTGCGATTCGCACACGACAATTTGGCTTTTCGTTCTCGTCGGTTTGTTTCGTTTGCGCTCGCAGTTTTTTTTTTTTGTTTTTTTTTTGTTTTAAATAACATTTAAGATGGGCAGCCGCTATTCCGACTGGACCGGTTCGACACTGTACAATTCGGAACGTGGCCAAGGCGACGGAAGCGCTTACGGTAAACGTCACCGGAACTTGTCGTTTTCCCGCCACCAGAACTGGCAGATTAACATGACCAACAAGGTAATTAAGGACAAAATCGGTACAGCCAAGTCCAGATGCTTTGTGGAGTCTTCGTCCACCTCGAGACAAATCGGAAAGTCTAGCGCGGCCATAAATCAAGCGAAGAACAACAGGGAAATCGCGAAAGAAAACGAGCGGTTGGCGATGAGATTAAAAAATGTCAAATCCACGATAAACAAAATATAAAAATGTTCATTCTCGACGAAAATCCAACGTGGTGTTTTGTATAACGATAATAATATTGTGTAGTAAGTAATTTTTAAACTACATGTATGTTCACCCTCGTGATCATTATGTTTATCTATCAAAAAGCGCTCCCGACCCTTTAAATAGGTAGTCTAGTAAAAAAAAGTTATATAATTATTTTCATTTAGATAACACAAAATTATTATAATAGTGATTAGGTAAACGGTTATTACAAAGGTTTTTTTTTTGTAGGTATTTTTAATAATTTTTTAACAAAATATTATAATTATAACGAATTATTCTTTTGACAAAATAAGTATTATTACTTATTACAACAAATACGATTTTAACAATTTATATAGATATATAATTACAAAAAAAACATAAATTTGACAAAATAAATGTTACCTCTTAGATTAAGAAGTTCTTTTTAGTTTTTTCATGCAAAAATTCGAATATTCGAATTATTCGATTACTATTCGAATATTCGAATTATTTTCATACGAATAGTATTATTCGATTATTCGAATAATAGAAAAATTCGATTCGAGGTCTCAGCTCTAGTATATGGTGTATAGCATATTTTATCATTAATTAACATATACTATACCTACTGATAATGATATTAATATTTGTTTTAAAAGCAACGGCCCTAAACCGGTAGCTCGGTAGTATGTATAATATATATTTAGTTCTATGATTTCAACCATGGCCTAAAGCATCCGTTTCCCACAGTTATATAATAGATTAATAATCCAATGAGTAACATATTTCCTGTAATTCATTTTTGATTCGACGTGCGACTCCTTATTGGTAGTTTGACATTAAAAACAAAATTATTCGCGTAAAATAAACTGCTTTGGCCTGTCCAATATTTTATGTTACTTTAATTATTTTGCAATTGCCATATAGAAATGGGGATTATCTAATGGGACTGTGCTTTAAGATCGGGTAGAGTAAGTTCTAATGGAATACGGTTATCTAATAATTGGTCGGCTAATACATTGTATGCTACATATTAGGCCACCGTTTTTCTTCAAAAATTTTTTTTTATATTGATAACCCTATTTGGCTGGTACTATTAATGGCGACTATTATAATAAATATTTATTCATGGGTTCTATTCTACTGGAACAACAATAGTATGTATACAATATGTTTGTGATGGCGACCCATGTGATGTTGTGACAAAACCGATTGGTCTCTCTCACAGCTATTTATTTATAAAGGTTCGCTAGATAACCGTGTGTCCCTATTTAAAGGCGGCTTCCCACGGCGAGCGGCTCGAGGGTCGGCAGCTGCTGTGGGGAATGGGGATAGTCTGGCAGCTGGTTTGGCCCCGTTGTACGGCTCGGCGTCGGCGCCGGTTACCCGGTACGTCGGCTTGGGTTACCGAGTAACCCAAGCCGAGCACCGAACCACGCGTCGCGGCAGCCGGCAAGCCACTCCAACACGTGCGGTATCCTAGTGGTATCTAAGTTAGGGTTACCACTTACCGGGTTAGTGGATTTTTTATAGTTAACACTTTGTATCATAATAGGTATTATTATTATGTATACACTATACAGCTGGCAGCAGCTGTAAGGGACACAATCGACCATTGTGTGTTATAGCTCTGTTTTTGGAGTTTGCTCTTTAAAAGACTTCTCACTTCGGTGATCGTTAAATTGTCAGTTTTGTTCGGCCGTGGTTGTTCAAACAGTCTAAAATTTACTACTTCGTTTATAACCGTTGCAATATTGGAATTTTTATAACGACATTGCTGTGTATTGTACACTACTCATTCCGACCAAATCCGGTATTCGATTCGTAAAACACTCGGTAGTATTGTGTTAAATATTATAATCAGTGATTTTGAGTTTGAATTTATCATGGCCAACTTCGAAGATAACATCAAAGCAATCTTGGAGGACATTGAAAAAGATGTATTATCAATGCGGAATAATTTAAATTCGGCGACAAAAATGGTCGAAGATCAGACCAAAAGTTTGAACATGGCTGTTAAACTCTTAGCTGTAAGTACATTCTGATGATTAAGTCGACATTAACAAGCCGTACTTTTAACTATTACAACTGCTATCTAATTATTGTTCCATATTAACACTTATGGAATCATCTCGGTGTCTTGTCTGCCTGTTGTCACGGTCCAAAAAAAAACTGCTCTAAAATTATTGCTCAGAAAAATCTGAATAAAATCGTGAATAACTGAGAATTAGATTTTCATTAAACAAAAGTTATTAGAAATGCGCTAGATTTTTTTTTTTTTTTTGTGGCCATGTCTACAGCGCAAACAGTCGAATTATACTCTGTCTCAAATAAGAAAGGTAGAAACGCATGGTAAAATTAAGTCCGTCTCACCCATCCCACTTTACAAATCACTTTTTAAGTGCAACACGGCAGACGGCTGACAGCAACCATCGGACGAAAACTTCGTCAGTATTCACTACTAACCAGGCTTGCAGAGGGGGTGTGACGATCCAGCAGTGCTAGAGGTCTTAGTTAAAATGTGCAAATCGCTGTCTTTCTTATTTGGGACAGAGTATAAATATTTATGCGTTACTTACAATTAATTATTAGTTTTTAGTCACTTTTGAATTGCTATTTTTTATTGTTACCCAAGTTTAAATGTTAGATGTACCTTTTATTTATTTATTGTGCACTTGTGCTATATACTAATATAAACTAAAACGCGTTACTCTCGAATGCGCTTGCACAGCCAAAAAAAAGCGTTTTGGTTTCTGTGCGTCCGGTTTATTCTCTTGTAGGCCAGAGTATAATTGCGCAAGTATGACTTGCACTTAACTGATTTTTTTTTTTAATAATACTTTTTGTTTTAGGGGTCTATGAATATTTCGGAAAAGGAGCTAGCCGAAATGATGGCAGATGTAGAAAATTCATCATTAGGCGTAAATAATGAAGTGCAAAATGAGAATGCTTCTTCGGCAGTAAGTATTATGTTCATCACGTTTCACTAAAATCTACATATTTAAAACCATTCATTTATTTTTACACTCAAAAAGTGACTTGAATTATCGTGTACTTGTAATATGCTCAGTCCTAGGGAAAGTTATAGGCAACATTACGTCTTGTTTCTAACTTTTTAGGAGGCTACATTGTGAGTATTTCAGACAGTTAATAATTGGAGTAAAAATTAAAGTTACGCAATGACTATAGGCAATTTTGCAAAATCTTAATTTCTAGGTGTAATTATTAGTTTAGTAGTTAGGACTTTTGTCCTTAAATTTGGGGTATAACGTCCTGTGAGTTTAATATGTTTGTACTTTGTTTTTACTTATTGAAGACATTTTTAATAAAATTTTACATTTTTAAAGTAAAAGAAAATTCAATGTACGTGCGAATCTAAGCAAATTTGATTTATAATCATTTGAGCATTTTAGGAAAAAAGTCCAATCTAATTAGTATTTTAATAGTGCTAAAATCGTAACAGGACATTTTTCTACTATATTTTTATTTTTTATATATTCTTATTTAGAACTACTAATAAAATGTAATTAGAAAATAGTTTTTAAAAATTGGTTTGTTGGTGAGACACAAAAATATATTAAAGATAACAAGATTAATGAGTATAATTTAGTATCGGTTTTTGCAGAAGCGTTCTCCAGGCTTAAACCTAGCCTACTAGAACACTAGAACTAATTATAAAATGTTCAGTGCATTCAACATTTAACATGTTATATTATGACAATCGAGATCAATAATACCAAAAGCAAAATTCATATTATGGTAAAAAAAAAATTGTGATTTGAGTTGATTTCATTAATATCAATTTATATTATATTGTCAGCCTAGTTAGCAAAGACCGTAACTACAAATTACCAAATTTTTAACTAGAAGGAAAAAAACTTTTAATTTATTTCAATAAACAATTTATTACTGTTCATAGAAAAAAACAATAAAGTATTATCATCATACTTAGCCAAAGCACAATTTTTCTTTTCTTTTAAATGGTTTAATATACTAAAAAAAATGTATTCGAGTTATACGTGCTTTGTTTACTTTGCTGACGATATGCTTGGTGCACTGACAATAATTTGTTTAAATTATGTATATTATTTTACAGGTTTTCATACAGTAATTTTATTTTATTAATTAAATGTATTTATTATTCACTATAAATTAGAATTATGAATGCTATAAATGTCATTTGCTAATTTGTTTTTTGCTACACTGACATGCTTTGCTGAAGTCACTGTACAATAATCACTATATTAGTACAGCAATTGCACTGTATCAACACAAAACAATAATGTTATTTTATTATTAAGTGCCCATTATATCTCTTAAAATTATCAAAACAAGTTTAAACCCCCCCCCCCTCACAAAAAAATATCACATTATTTACTTTTGTACTGATTTTGTTGTTTTTTTTAATTTTAGGGCCCTTTGAAGGAAGCCGAAGAAAATACAGAAGTTGACACTTTGCACAAAGTCGACTAAAAATTCTAAAATGGAATAAAATTGAATTTTTATAAGCTTATACATTCCAAAAGTCATTATCTAAATGCGTGTTTTCTCCTATGTAAGCTGTATCGGTTAAAAATAGTAATAATTGCCAATAGACTTCATACAAAGTAGAATCATAATTTGTATAAAGTAACTTGATATCTGACTAGTGGCATCTACCGTTTATTAGAATAGCTGCTTTTTTATTGTGAATATATCTAGTCAAGTTTTTCTCCAATAAATCAATTTTAATTACATCAATGTATTTTTTTTTCTACGTTCATTTAGTTCCTATACCTAAAGTTGAAAACTTTAGGTATAGGAACTTAGGTAACTTGAAAAAATCAAACAGTATGTGTATTTGCGTGATTAAACGTCAGTGTGTGGGTCAATAATAAGACTGAGTTTTCAAAACACATCAGATTTTTTTAAAGGTCTTGTGAGTAACCGAATTAAGTTATCATAGAAAGATAACTTATATTATATTGCTTTGAAAAATTTATTTATTTAAAAGTTAGGTAGGTTTTATTTTTACAAAATTAAATATAATAAAAATAATGTAATTTCATACTATTTTTTATTAGTCTTCTTTCGCCATTAATCCACATAAAAAGTGTAATAAGCAATAATATGATTCATCGATGAATAATAATACTGTTAATATTTAAATATTACATAATATCTATCTACCTCAAAGGTTAATTATAAATTTATTTTTAGTAGTCAGTGTATTTACTTATTATATTTACAAACATTATTTGCTTTTCTTATATTGTTAGATCAAAAATCCTTTATCCAGTGTTATTACTATTTTATGGCTACACGTATAACTGACAACCTTAAATTGTATCTCCTTCTATCACTTGTTGGTTATCTGCTGTAAAAAGGATGTTTAGATGGAAGCGTTTAGTAGTGATAAAATTGACAATGAATACTATAAAAGGTAGCTAATTAGTGCAACGTCAATGCTGCAGTAAATAAAACGATAAATATATTGATTTTTCCCACCTTACTTATAACATAATAATGTATAGAAATGATCATCTAGGGGATTTTACATCATAATATTTTGTATTGGATAAGGTAAGGGGACGAAGAAATTTAGACGTGAACGTATTCATGCTGCAATGAACAATCTAATTCATATTATTATTTAAGAATTTATAGTTATATAAAAAACTAATCAAAATATATTAACTAGCAGTAAAATAAAATTTGAATTTACAACTAACAATAATTTTATAATGGATATTACATTATTTCAAACTCACGTATTCACCTGATGGAGGAGATACTGTTTTGAAGGAAGTTTTAAAAATATGAATTAAATGACAAGATCATTTTTAAAGGAATACTTGTATTTCAACTGTAAGTATACACAATTCCAGCAAAATGTTAATTTTTAAAAGAACACTGTTAGTTATTTTTAACAAGGTAATCGTGCTACAAAAAAAAAATGTTTACAACATTGCATCAAGGATAAGTATTATTATTTTATATTTTTATTAAAATTTAAAATATTATAGAATTAGATTTGCAACTTACAAGCTCGTAAAATAAACCCCTTAGATACACATAATATTGATTTTAATTATAACAAAAATAAAAAAATGTGCACGTATTAAATAAACAAAAAAATATATAATACATTCAAATTACTGGTAAAAAATGTTCAGGCAATTTTTCAGGAAAAACTTTTTTTAAAATTGAAATATTAATGTACTGTGATTTATACGGCAATCTACACCGAAAATAGCTTTTAAAATAATAAGTATCAATTACTGTGAGTTTATTTAACAACATTAAATTAGTTCAAATGAAAAACAAAAATTAAGTTATTTTAAACTAAAATGTATTGTGTAGGTAAAATAAAATATTAATTAGTTTATAAAACCAAAATGGTCATTTGACAATACTTCTTTTAAATAAATTTACTTACAACTTATCAACTCATAATATAGCTAAATTAAAAATATAATAAAGGTATTTTTGATGTTTCTTGTAAGTGCTTGTATCATATTTGGATATGTGGAATTGCTGGATTGCATAGTACTTGATCCAGAAATGCAAACTCTGGATGTTTCAAATTAACTGTTAACAAAAGTAATTAATATTATTGTACTGTTTTTCACAAAAATATGGTGAAATAAAAGTTGGTTTTATATAAACTATATTTTAGGTTATCGTACAGTTTCATACTATTTTATAATACATACATATATATATATATATATAATAATATAATAAGAATATAATGTTAAAATTTACTCGAACAATTATTTTAATTTTTAACCGTGTATTTGGATATAGCATTTTTTAATAAATATTACTAAAGCAGAGAAGAATATTAGAATATTGAGATAATTTATTCTATATTGTCTGTGCTGTATCCAAATAAGAAATATATATTTTTTTTCCAATAAAACTACTATATAACTTTTTTTACAATTAAGATATGTAAAAATAACTTACCTAATTATTATAAGTAATTGGCATTTGACCATGGGTTTTTTTATTTGAAAATTGTGAAAACCATGTACCAACATGGCAACACTTGGGAAACAGGAGAAATGGGAAAAACCGAGGCTGAAACAAATAATTATTATAAGAATATGTACATAAAAATAAAACATATAATAAAATTCACCCAAATTTGGGGGGTCGCTGTGCATCATTACCATATTATAGTGTAGGTTCACTACAACGGTCTGGTGAATTCATAATAAACGACCATGGATGCTATTTTGAGCATGAAACATAGCAAATAATAGGAAACGATGAGTTCCAACACTTGCTTCCACATTTTCACTGTCGAAGAAACGAGCAAAGCAGTAAGAACTCAGCACGAAGCAACAGCTACTTGTCGGCGTAGAACAGTAATTGGAAACATATCAATCGATCCAGCAACAGCACATCCGGCCATCCAGGGTTTTGGGGTTTTACCATTTTGCGCAACCGCAGTGCAGAGTGCTTGTAAGTAGAAGTATAATATAATAGATGCTGCGGAGTGTGGTACCTGCGTCAGGTTTTTTTCTTTTATTTTTTTCTTTCAAAGGTAAAAAAAAAACAGGTATGTCAACAGCTCGTGATAACCGCGAAATGGCGGCCGGTTTTTTCGGGCGGCCGTTTATTTCTTACCGAGAATACCTGCCACCGGCCATCTTACGATATTGTCGAGATTCATAAGATACTAGCTGCTGACTTACCTATGTATTGGATGGGATACATTTGGCCCATACAGTAAAATAACCAGTGTTATATTATTATACCTATACGATTGATTGATTAGATGCCAACCTAATAATTTTACTTATCGCAGACAGAAAACAATTAGAACTTGCTGGGGTATTAATTGTTTAAATATTAGGTCGGGTAGGTAAATAAAATTATAATATGATTACTATAAAAACTAATTTCAAGTATGAGAAACTAAAAAAAAAAACAACCTTTTAAAGTAAAATAGCAAATATATTCAATAAAAACAAATTAAGTCTTAATTAATAAAGAACACTGAAGTGCCTAGAATTTATTCTAGTTATCTGGAACATAAAGCTTCAACAAGAAATGGTTAACACTTATAGTTTATTAACACGTTATTGGGAAAGCCATTTTACTTTATAATTTGTAAATTATAAGATATTTACAAAAAAAAAAATTTGCTGTTATGAAACGTTCAAAGTTTGCTGTGTGAATAAATGTAAAAATATTAAAATACGAAAACTTAACCTTGATAGATTCGCTATTTATTTGTTGTGTGTAAACTGCACAGACATGACTTAATATACTACAAGTTGTAGGATAATAATATTGTTTCTGTGGTTAATTGCAATTACTATATTCTAAAAATAAATAATTAAAGGTATCAGGGTAGCAGTCGTGCACAATGGTACAATTATTGATAACAATTAACATGATATGTTACAGCGTTTGTGGGACGTGCGGTGAGAAAACTAAATGTTAAAATTAAATTAAATAGTTATTAATTTTTATTAAATAATAATTAGGTACCGTGAAATTGTAATAGTCATGTGACCTGCACTATAACAGCTTTTGGTGTAATTAAATTACATTGTTCTGTCTTGGTACGTCGACTACAAGCAAAATCTATTACTATTGCTGTAAGATTATAGAATATTCGTATACAAGTTACAATACTGTCTCTCGGCTCTCAAAAACTTTTCTATACCAGACACGTCACTTACAACTGCTATTTTCAGTATCATAAAATTATTTTTTCGAGATAACATATTATACAACTGTACCTAGGTGTCCTACAAAAATCTCACAAATGAAATAAATTTTGTTCCAGTGAATATTTTTAAGATTTTTTTTTTTAAATTAATTTATACTCATTAGCGCTATAAACACCACGGTTTGTATTACTCTTGTATTTCTCTGTTTTAATTTTTTTAATTAAATATGGCCATTTTATTGCGAATAATTTTTCTGAGAACTTCGACTGGTCGATAACCAGTTTTGGATAATTATTTCTTATGTTATTTAAGATTGAAGGGTAAAGAAAGGTGGAGTGCGGTAGAGTAAGCATGTAGAGTTATTTTTATCTGCGCACATTACTTAACGGCACTTCACTTCTCATCCTACACTTAAAACTTTAAAAGCAATTATTCAAAACTAGTTGTCGACCAGCCAACATTTTCAGCAAATTATTTTTAATAAAAATGGCTATCTAATATTTGATAAAATTACAGTTACCAAAAAAATGAAACTGTTATTAAAAAACTCATAACAGTTAAGGGTTTTACAAACCGTGGTTTTTATAGTGCAAATGAGTATAAATTAATTTTTAAAAAAAAATATTGACTAGAATTAAAGTTATTTAATTTGTCAGGTGTTTGTGGGACACTGTATAAACTGTTATTGTTAAACCTATGATATTTTCTGAGGCATACTTGTTCCAATCTTTATTTCAATTAAAAAAGTCAATTTACGCTAATTGTGAGTTGTGTCTATCAGTCTGGTAAACTCTATGATATAGTTTAATATACTTAATTATTATAGATTTTGTTTAAAATTTGATAAATCATACTGGCTGAGGAGTCTTTGAAAACACTTGACAATCATCATATTATTAATAAATGAAAACTATCATCCGTATTTGTTTTAGGTGGTCCTCAGCTTTGACTTAATTATTTAAGTGTATGCCTAAGCTCCATAAACAAAGACTATCACAATTAGTCGATAAAAAAAAAGTTTTAATAAGCCTGGGAAATGTACGATACTTCTGAAGAAAATACTCACAATGCTGATGTAAGTTTTATATTTAAATATATATTTTTTTTTAATTCACCACGAAAACTGTTCACACAACAGTTAAACTAAGTAATAATAGAAATTGAGGTGCAGATTTCTTGACCAAAATAAACGTAGATGCCAATGGTTGACAATCGAACCGTCAACGCCAGTGAGCAATGCACACTGACATCTTACTCACTCGGCCACTTTTCCTCCCTACTAAATATTTGAATAGCATAGTCCACTTATTATAGAAAAAATTGTGCCCCTGTTTAATAGGATTCGAATATTGTAAAATGATGATGTATTTTTAGTTGAAATTGCCTTCAAAGGAACGACGATCAATTAGAATTTTATTAGCTAAAAAGGAGCCAACAAAGGAGAAAAACAATGCTACACCAAAGAAACTGGTTTCAGTAAAGCGAGGTAGAACAGTCCAAAAACCTAAAATAAAAAAAGCGAAACCAAAAAGTGCTAAAATTGATGAAATAAAACAAGAACATAATTTAAAATCAAAAAGAAAATGTACCGAACATCTAATGGTAAACTGTTATTTATTTTTTTTTTACTTAAAATTATACCTATTTAAATTGATTCCTATGGCATAACAATTAATTGCACCTAAAAACTATGAAAGAAGGAATAACATTATGTATATAAATATAATCAGAATCATAAAACACAGCTTTTCATTTTACTTACACAGCAAGGGAATTAATTTTTTAACGCAATATTAATAAAGGTTTATAAGAAATTAAGGTTGTAAAATCTAAATAAAATAAATATAATATTAAATACCATTTGACGTTCAGTTAACTAATTGATTTAATTTATTTAATGACAATTGATTGTTTAAACGCCATTTATGTGTTTCTTAATCAACTAAGTAATTTGAATAATTTTAAAATTCTAGTCTGGAGATTTTGTTGTGCTTAAAACTGATATGACTCATGATGGTTACCCACTTTTATGGAAAGTCAGTGGCCGAGTAATGTTGCAAAAGTACTTACCTTTCGAACAAGATGGTAAAACACTGTACAAAAACACCTGTCTTGTATGGACTTACAGTACCTTTCAATTGTTCTTAATTTTTAAATGTTAAATCTTAAATGAGTTACATTTATTTTTATGTTTAGTATTCTTACTGGAATTCCAACATAAAGGAGCTATACTATTCTGCTCCGGTATCATGCTTAAAGCAAACGAGTAATGAACACATAGTTGAATTTCACAAAGATAAAATAGAAAGGTATGTTATCTTATCGTTATATTATAAGTTTTAATATTATTTTACCTTCTACCGAGTGATATTAATCAACGTAATATGACTGTTTAAGGAACCTGAAGTTGATGTAAAAAAAAATGCAGAATATTAAAGGAGAAAAAAAGAAAACTCAAGATGATGTGTAATGTTACATTTTTTTATGGAGTTTAAAAAGTCAATTATCACACACATATTTTTTTTTTTAACATTACGATAATTATCTCTACGAGCACATTCACATTCTATATGGATACATACATATCCAAACAAGTTAAACTTGTGCGGGGCTTGGAGGTATATAACTCTTATTATGCAGCTCTACCATAATTGTACTCGATCCCTCTGACGCCTTTTACCACACGTTATTGATTATGGGTACCGTAAATGTAGAAATTAATTTTTTTAACATACACTAAATACTAATAATTCAAAAATGATTTATTCTTTTTATTATTCTACTTTTACTCTAAAACTACCTTTTTGAATAACATTTTTTATTTGAGAATTTCTTGCTAAATTATTTCCTAGAGAAAATTATCACCTTGTAAAAAATACATAGGGTAAATATTATAATATTTAAATTCGTATCACTTGAATTTTATGTATTAAGATTAAAATATCAAAGTTTTTAAAATAGCTAGTGTTACTTTTTATGATAAAATTGTTATATCATTTTAACCATTAATCGAAATAAGTGTAGTTAAAATAGTAAATTGTTTTTTTTTTTTTTTACATGAGCACTTGTTCTTTTTATACAAACCAAGTCGCAGTCGTTATATTATTTAATTAAATATTTTATACACAATTCATCAGTATTTTCTATTATAATAATTAATAATAAAACTTAATCTTAAATAATTTGTCTCTTAAGGAATTTTTTCACGTCATCATCTTAGCCACTAACTAGCTAGCGCAGTGTGAACAAACATATAAATTGACAAACGTTCTATATGCATTTCATGTTTTAGTATTAGCAAAATACATATTAAATATTAATATAATGAATTTAGAATATCCACATTTTATAAAAATGGCGATAACTTTATAATTAAGATTTACAAATAAGCTGTCGAAACAACCAAAGTTTCTTTTTTTACCAAAACTTTAGAGTCTGAGTTACTCTTTTTCTTTTAAATAAAAGAAGAAATTACACATACATGATACAATATCAAAACATTTAATAGCGTAAAGTTGTAAAACTGTGTTATTCACAATAATATATTATAATAATTATCGTATTTACTTGACGAGCTGCGACAACTGTAAATACTTGGCAACAGTTTATAACATTATAATTATTATCTAACCTTAACATTCAAACTTTAAGTTGTATTAGTTAATTAACGAGAATTGGTACATACAATAATTTAATTGACATCGATATAAATAGACTAGGTACAATTTACTAAAAAATTTTTTTACAAAACGATGTTGTTCAACAAACCATTAATTATTTAAAAACTAAAATTAAGAAATATTGTACAAGATAAATTACATTTAATACTACTTCGTCATGCATTAGGAAGAAATACTGAATGAAAATGAGTATTTTTTTTATACAAACAACAAAATTAGATTAATTGCAATATAATATGTTCACACATTATTTACACAAAGAAAACAAATTTAGTTAAGATTGAATATGACAATTTGTTGCTTTTATCAGGGATGTCATATTATTATATTTCAGGTTCACAAGAACACTATCAGTATACGTCGCAAGTATTGATTTCCCGAAACTGTCACAAATCAAAAACGGCTATAAAAATTACCTATTTTGTCTGAATTATTTTAAATTATAACTTATCGTTGGTAGAACCACAAAAATTCAAATTACAACAAAAACAGTCATTCTAGCCAAATCATTTTTTTTTTTAAATATAATTCTAGATTTTATAAGTCCCGACATTAATATATATATATATATATATACATTTTTTATAGTTACTTTTAATTTTTGTTCACGTAAAACGCTATTTCAAGGTTGTCAATATTAAAAATTAAAATTAAAAATACTCGACTAGTTATAATAATACAATAATATTATAATTCATCAAATATTTATTAAACTACTTTTTTTTAACTTAATTTAATGCCCAGGAGATTGCCAACGACCAGAATGTGAATTAAAAAACTATTTATTATGTACAAATCAACCATTCGTGTTTAACTTATTAAAAGACATTCTTAGCTTCTCAATTTCTTTTGTATTTTTTTTGGAATGGATCACTTGCCTACTGATAATATTTGTATGATAATATCTATTGATCTCTTTTGCTTTTACCATGGCTTTGTTGTATATTTCTGGGCTGCTTCTATTTGGATATGTGATACTAAGGGCCTATAATTCATAAATATATATTATATTATACATTTCATATATATATATATATATAAATTTGTTAAAATAAGAGTTATAAACTACTCAATATTCACTTACTTTATTCACCAAGTCAAAGCTACCATTTATATGCCCATTCTGTACAAGTTGCACAAGTTTACTTTCTAAATCGGGTAAAGGTATATTAAGACACACTGCCATTTTTCTTATATCAACATAATCCAAGGGCCTGTATACAGAAAAAACCAAAATAGATAACACAAATCAAGTTTTTAACACACAATAATTACCTTAGATATTCCAACATTGTATTGTGGCCGATGGTGGAGTAGATTGTTTTTATATGAGATCCAATGTACATATCGAGAAGCAATAATGGCTAAACAAGAAAAAATTATATACTGTGATTATAAGTTATTTATACTAAGCCAAAACAACGTAAAATACCCTGTATGTTAAGATATCAACGTAAATGACACAACGATATAAGGTATTGAACATGGTATTGGAAGGGTCGGGTTTAGTTGTCGAGCTCGAGCATATTTGAAGGAGAGGACGGCAGTTATAAGAAATAAAAATAAAATGGATAACAGTTTGTGTTAACAGAGTTCGTTGCTTGATAAAATATACCACCAGATAAGACCCAGTCAAAATCTTTTAAAATAATTATACCTTAATATCATCGAGCGTTTTCAAATATGCATTATATTTAATATTGTGCAACTGGAAAATTGCATCAAATATCTTGGGTTCCAATCTGAAAAATGGCTTGAAAGATCTAGCACGAAAAAAAATGTAAACTATGGTTAGATAGGAATACATATAAAAGTAACAACTAAAACCTAGTTAAGTATAATTAGGAAAAAACAATATAAAATGTTTAATACTCACTTGTTGTCAATTATTTTGTCTTTTAATTCTAAGCGGTTAAATGAAGCTAAAGCACACAATCCACAGTATATAGCAACATTATTTTTGGTCAATACTTCAAAATCATCATCGTAATGAAAAAAATTAACTTCTAAGAAATTGTCAGCTGCTGATTTGTAGCAATGATTTTTTAAATCGATTAAGCCTCTAATGCACGCCAACGTTGAACAGTATGAAATGTCCAGATGAGAATCCTAAATAACAAATAGTAATAAATTTCCAATATATATTTTTAAAAAATGCAATAACTACTTTTTCTCGATCTTCAAAGACAGATTCGTTTTTTAAGGTTCTGGCGACGGCTGACCAATCTTGCAAATATATCTTCACCTAAAAAATATTAAAAATATATTAACATGCTTTATTAGTAACTAAATGGAAAATGTTGCTGATTTCTATTTATATATTTTAAACATGTTGTGGTTTAGAATTTAGATGATGAAATGTTTAAAAACTGCTAAGACATAAATCAGTTTGGTATTAGCTATTTGAAACCATTACATCTAACATCTTTGTTATCGCCTTATAAAATTAAGAAAAATAAAAACCTTAAATTTATTTGAAGTCTAAAAATTGTATTTTTGAAAATTTTATTTTAATTTTTATCAAAATATGTATTTGTATGTACCTTAATAATCTTAATATGCCAGGATACAAACTGACTAAATTGATCTACAAAGTCTTTAGCTTTTACATAACAAGTGGTAGCTTTAGTGAAATCTCCACACTCAACAAAATGGTCACCGATGTGCATACAATTTTTGTATATGTTATGCCTGGTTGAGCACGTAAAAGATTTTCTTAGCTTTTTATCAAGGTGTTCATATCTACAAGCCGCTTTTTTTGACATTATCTCCAGCCTATGTTTAAATTCACGTTCATGAACATCTGACTGCCTAATTCTATAAAATAAAACATTAAAAAATAATTATAACAATAGATGAAGTGTTATAATATAACATACTTAAAATTGCATTGAAGTTTATAATGAACCAATTTAAATAATTCGGTATTCAGAGTCTTGAGGACATACGAAAGAGCTAAACGGAGTGCATCACTACATATTTTCGGAAAATGCTGAGCAATGAACATTAATCTGTTTATCCGTGTTAGGCCACTGTACTTATCAACATACTCTTCCAGATTCTGTAATACATACACATAAAGTTTTATACAAAATAACAATACAAGCAAAACTCAACTTACAAATGAGTCAATGTCAACCTCGTAGTAAGTATCTTCTTCGTCATCTTCATTTCCTTCATAAAAGATGGGAAGCTAAAACATAAACAAAAATGTATTTTCTATCTGTAGAACTCGTGTGTTTACAAGCTTAATTGAAAATAATTAAACAATAGGTAAGTACAAAAAGGTATCTCACCATTGCCATGATTATTTTTTTCCTGGGATTTTATTATTTAAAAGATACTGCACCACTGACTCGAATCAGTAAACACTAATTTCGGATGTAAATTTTACAATATTTCCGCTGCATAAATATCCCACTTCGCAAGATCCCTGTGGAATACTTAAACTTCAGTACAACATGTCAATCGATATTGTTATAATAGATAGATAAACTTACGTATGATATTAGTATAATTTGGTAACTTTTATAGGACAACACAAAATCTAAGCAACAACGTCGATGGTATTCCTTTATATTCGCGTCAACGTAATAATCGCTACGCCTACTCGGCTGCGCAATTGCAAATAAAAGCAAACTGGATAGTGTATATTGTAATCAATACATTAAATGCGAACGGACACTTCCAATGTAGATTGTGCAGTGCGACCACTAAACGTTATTATTATTAGTTGTGTTTAGATATGACATTATACAAAAAAACCATTTTAAAAAATGGCCGTCACTTTTTGGCTTACATCGAAAGTGACTCTTATGCTTTCATCTAGAGAGCCTATATAAGAATTTTCTCTAAAATAAACTATTTCATTTAATTTGTGGTAAAAGTATGAAAATGTTCATAACGATTGAACGTTAGTAAAATATACGATAATTCGATAATATTGTTTGGTTGGCGACACTGATGAACCGTTACTCCCAGGTCCATGACAAAGGGCCAATCAGAGCCACGCGGGAGAAGGCTTTATAGTAGTTTTATTATCACAGAACAAACATGAGATAACGTACTATATTTTTGGAATAAAAATTATTGCTTGGCTACACCCGACACATATAGATTTACATAAATTATATTACCATACACTAGAGTAGTGAACACCAAACTTTCAACGCATTATTTATAAGTGTCGCCAGCTTTTTAATATAAATACTCCACTGTGCGTCACCTAAAACGGAGTCGCTTCTTATGAATATTTGTTTATTTATTCATTTTTTTATTTATTTATTCAGGTGTTGCTTTGAAATATAAAACTAACCACAATACCGTAAAATGTACCTACTATTGTCTAAAAAAGATGTTATTGTTATGATATTTTGTCCGAATATAAAAAGTATATATATAAAAGCATTGTAATAATAATATTATGCTTAAAATCGTGTGTTTGAGATTAAGTTTCAATTATTTGGCCGTAAAAATATGTTTAATTTATTTAATGACACTTGTACATTTTCTGTGAATTTTATCCTTAATTTATAAAATAAAACTCTTACTAACCAGTAATCTATAAACCTCTGGACACCAGGATAAAATAATACAATTTGTAGGTGTCCATATAGACTGCAACAAGCATCCCACAAGAGCAAGGAATAAAGTATTGCGAGCCTGTCTAAAGTCAATCATAGAGCTCAAAATTAAATACAGTTTTTAGAGGCAGGTTACTTGTAAAGAATTATATTTTTTTATTCACGTGTCCATTACCATTATCGCTTACAAAATACTAGAAATTATACATTGTAATTCTATAACTTTTATTTTCACTAAAACATGTCAGTGGTGAATTAAATAGTTTTTAACTTAAAAATACTACGAGTAATATATACGCGGTGTTAAATTGAAATAAGCCAATATGAACATTGTTTAATTGCATTTTTTGATAATTTAATAATATACACATTAATTATTGAAAAAAAAAAAAGAAATCAAGTCAACCTGAACATTTTGGTTTGTAGTAAACTAATCAATAGCAATTGTATTAGAAAGAGTAGTGATTCCGTTCACATATACAAACCCTAAACCAGAATAGTAGATTGTGGCCATCATGCCGACAAACTGTTTAATTTGATTGTGAATGAACTTGACGAACTCTTCTTCGGTGCGTTTCTCACATTTCTCTTGTAAAGTATTGTACCATTTATCGATATGATCGACAGGGATCTCACCAGGATCAACGCAGTGATTGCTTTTGAATACTGCCAAATGACCACGTTCATCAGCATTTAACAGGTTGTCGATTGATTTCAACAATGCCTTCAAAGATTCACTAATTCTTTCCTCATGATCTTTATCGTCTTCGTTGGGTCCATTATTCGGCATTACTTTTAAACTCTCCAATTGGTATCTTATTCCAGCGAAAACATTTTCGACCTTACTTTTAGTTTGAGTCGCCATTTTTGCCACGTCAATCAACACACTATTTTGAGAATCTTTTGCCGGGTCCATTGCTATTACGTAATCCAAAGCTGTGAACATGTACTCTGTTAACGGCTGACATGTTACCACATGTTCCAAGACAGTAATGCCTCTTGGCCCTACCGTATGGGCAAACTCGATAAGGTATTTTGAAAAAGCCATAAATCTTTGTAACACGTCTGTGTATACACACCCTAACAAACGTAGTGTCATGTAGTATTTTGTCTTCACGTTTTCCTCATCGACAATACGATTATCCGTATCTGGTTTGTATATTTTATTTAGGTCCAACAAATGCCCAATTTTTGTTACTAAATCTTTTCCGTTGTACGATTCCATTTCATCGCCTGCCGGTTCCAGACACTTGGCTCTCATTTTGATTTCCTTCCATCCTGAAAAATTCAGAAGCGTATTCAGTGTGTTGGCAAATCGTTCGTTGTCCTCGGTGGGACATAATGTGACTTCACAGACAACAATTAAAACAATCAGTGGTGCGATTGTCAAATTGAAAATCATTTTAACAGAACAAAAGTATTCAAACAATGTAGTAACACGTAGGTATACGTTCTAATGGTTCTAACACAACTGATTGTTTTCGGGGAACAAAATTGTATAGAATATATTACCTTTAGCGTTTATGTACCCACAAGTATATGTGTTCAATACTATTTGTATAAGCACAGTTCAGATGTTTGATCAGTACACACGCATTGTTGTTTACTCAGCTTATATTTCTTTTGTTTTGTAGTTGAAACTCTTACCATACTGTTGCTTTATAGAAATTTCTTTATACACAGTTAAATAAGTCTTCTCGGTGGTGTTTTTAATAAATTATGATTATAGCTTTGTGGTTGATATCGTTAAACTGTTGATTGCAAGGGATATTAAGAGGGTAGCCCGCCTAACGATTTTACCATCGGATGTCATCGGTTGTCTCCGTTTTACACAATAATTGGTTTTTTTATAGTACCTTATAAAAAATCTCTCTTAAAATTATTACGCATATAATAAAATATTATTTTTTACATACAACTATGCAGTATATTATGAATTATGCAAAATCTAATTTTTTTTCTACGAATTCAGTAATGGATAAATCTTCTACATTTCTTACCTCCGTTGAGCTGCATTAAGTCAACAAAATATATATGTAAAAATCTACCAGTCAGACGTGTGGTCATAGAATTTGGTCGCACGAAAATTTAATTCAAATTTAAGTGCTCTAAGTTTATTGCGATGTTTATTTGTTTCACATTTATGGGTAATTAATTCAGCTATGATATCTGAACCCTAGCTCTGGGGGTCGTAAACAATATTAAGGGTATGGACAGGGGGTGGTTTTTGAGTATATACTTAAAAAAAAGCACTTCTTCTGGGCACCGCATTCCATTCTTTATCGTTAGTAATTCGATTTTGATGTTTCATCTAAAATGTATTCCATTAAACACTTAATTATTTATGTTTAGTACGGAAAACTGATAAGCTAAACCAATTAAAACGTTTAACCGGTAATCTATAAACCTAGAGACTAGGATGAAATAATAACATATTTAGGAGCCCATATAGGCTACAGCAAGTACCACATAAGAGCAACCCGTAGTAGTAAAGTCTACCTAAAGTCAATCATAGAGCACACAATTCAATAAAATTTTTAAAGGCAGGTTACTTGTAAATAATTTTATTTTTCATTTATATGCTTCCATTATGGCTTACAAAATTTTAGAAATCATTGTAATTCTAAAACTTTTATTTTCACTAAAACATCAGTGGTTAATTAAATAATTCTTAACAAGTGAACATGAGCATTGTTTAATTGCATTTTTTGTTAATTTAATAATATACAGTGACATTATTTCTAAATTCTTTATTTTACTTCTTATTCCAGCGAAAACTAGTTGGACCTTACTTTCTAATATTTAAGCACAACTGCTTATTATTTGGAAAAACAAATGATATAAACCCTGTTGCCTTGAGCTTTTGTGTACTTAAGTACATATATTCAATACTATTTTATTTAGGATAGCTCGATAGACGTTCGGTCAGTACAAAAGCTTTGTAGTTTTCTCCGCTTTTTGTCTTTACTTTCGTAGTTGAAGCATTCACTTTATTGTTGTGTTAGTGAATTATCAACATGGGTATGTTTTTTTATACAATAAATTCATCTTTTCAGTGTTATTATGATTATAGCTTCATCGTGGTTGATATCGTTTAGCTGTTAATATACGGTGAACTATTACTTGTGCATAGTTTTCGTTGCTTATTTCTTTCTTAAAATAAAACAGCCATAATAACATGATTTTTGGATACCCTTTTTACAGGGCCAGTTATTTTATCATCGGTTAATACAATTATTTTTAAACTCAAAGCTTGTATTGAAGATAGATTTAGTGTGGGACTATAAAATAACATTTTTTTTTATAAAACTAGTCAAATTTTTTTTTATGTTACATAGAAACCAAAAAAAAAAAATTACAATTTCACTGTTGTACATTTCTAGGTTGCTAAGTGTGAACTGAATTAACGGTTGACTGTTTTCTGACGAACATTTTTATTTTACTTTTAAATACGATATATCTGTAACAACAGCAATAAATTATAAATATAAATAATACAATATAATAATAATAAAAATAATTACATTTTCTAGTTTTTAAAAATATTCGACACTTCATTTAAATACATTAATACAACGTTGTTCTAAACCGCTTTGTTAACTTGTAATTTTTGTATTTAAATGAAATTGGACTCGAGTTTAATGTTTTACTACGTTTGTACAAAATAGTAATTCTCCCAGTTTTGTAATAGCAATCATTTTATACGTGTATTCATTGTGAACTAGCAGTTTCGTTGATTTTGTCAAGTTTGTTTGAAATTTTTAGGTGATAAGTAGTTATAAGAATGAGAGAAATCAGAGAAGACAAACCCCGTTCTTCGATAAACGTTGTCAATTCGAAACTCAGATTAGGACGAAATAAAAAAAAAATTATATGATTGGTTTGGTTCACTTGTATGATTTTCCAAATCATCGTCGAGATTCCAATAGTCGGTTATCATTTATCATTAGAATTGGTAAAATTCATAGATTTCTCGATTTTCTTGGACTTTTAAGGAGGACTTGTCGATTCAAGGGAAATGGTTTTTTTTTTAGCAAGTATTATCATCAAACAACAACTTTCTGTTTAAATATTTTCGTATGTCTCACCGAGAATACTTGGGGACACTGTCAAAAGTTGAAACCGATTTAAGAAAAGAGGACACACAATTTTCCCCCGATTTCTTTCCACGAATTGGATTTAAAATTGGTATCACAATATTTACGTTGTGAAAAATCTTACAGCACACTATTTTCTCGCTCTAATTCAATTACAAATTCATTGTCCACTGTAAACGACGAATTGAAGACTCTTGTATCGTTATATTACGAATACATAAATTGCCTACACAATTAAAACTATACTTAGACACATTATTAATACACAAAATAAAAATAGTAATTGGCAATTTCATGACTCGCCTAATTATTTTTATGTTTTACCTAGGTACTAAAATTATAAAACATGAGAATTTTTTTTGTTTTTAACAAACATTTATAATTTAAAGATTTTTGTTTTTTTTTTTTTAACTCAGAAATCAAAATTTAAAAGGGGGTAAAATTATAGTTTTTTTGTATGATAGTATATATAATTATGGTAACAATTAGTATAATTATTGAGGCATGTTTTGCGCCTTGTGTATAGTCGGTACCGGCAACAAAATTAACTTCATTAAAGCCTAATCATTAACGGCTGGGAGATCTATTGATAACGTCATTCACTTGTTCATTCTAATTTGAAATGTCTACCTTTTAAGTTTAAAAAAACAAATCTACTACGGCCTCGGGCTTATTGGGTGTTCTGTTTTTTGCCTTTTTAAACCATTATCGTGTCTAGTTTCTACTATACAGTATGTTATTAGTTTGTTAAATAGTTTTTATTTTTGATTGTGATGAGATATTTCCTTTCTCAGTCCGTCAAACTCGCACTATAGGAATTTAGGCGTATTTGTGTTCCTGCGTAGGTACTGATCAATCTGCTGATGTGATGATGAATCTGAAAATATATTTGAATACCTAGAAATCTTTTCCAGGGACGGCAAGATCATTTTATACAATTTTGAACTTAAAAGTGTCCAGTATTCAATTATAAAATGAAATATCACCAAAGAATCGTACTTTAGAAAAAATAAACAAATGAAAAAAGTTGAAAGGTCGTCTCTTAGATAATGAAGAATTCAAATTTGTTTACAGATTCTTTATCACATCAGTGGATATAACATAAAACCAGGCACCGTTATAACAAAATTACGTCTAACTTGCTATGAGTATTGTGTGTTAGATGGACCGAGACAGAATATATCGCTTTCCAATTGCCTTTAGTTTGAAATTTTTTATAAAGCAAAATATATTTTACTTGTAGACAAACAAAAATGTTCAACATGTTTCCAAAGTACTCTCCACATAATATACCAATCAAAACTTTGAGCATAATGTATGAACATTTTCGAAACTTATACGGGTTTTTCCAGTAAGTTATGTTTTATGACATAATTATAAGCTAATTTCTAAAATGATTTTTTTAAAGTATTAAGGAGTAATAAAAATATTTTGTAAAATTGTTATAGTGTATTAGGTAATGATTTTTTTTAAAGTTTAAGTATACAACGTTGATACTAAAAAATCACCCTGAATGTGTTGAAACATAATTTTTCAGGCGACACAAAAAATATTTAGAAAATAAACAATTGTTAAAGAACATTAGTTTATACACCTAGGATGATTTTTTAGATCTTAAATACTAACCTATGTATTTCTATAATTTTAAACTTTTGTTAATTATAGCATAGCCTTAGTTTTATAAATTATACAAAAATATAAGTATTTACAAAATTATCTTATTTGTATTCTTTAAATAGCAATATATTAGTTTGCTTAGTGGAAAAACAAAAGTTTGTTTTGTGGAATTTTTACAAACTTTATTTTTTTTTATACACTTTTATTATTTAGAATATTTTTGTCCAGTTTTTAATGTACATTTTTATTAGCTGTTTCGGGATCCTCATGTACATGATCAACCAATAATTATCGAAAATAAATACATTGGTTAAAACAAATTAACTTGTCAATATCTCATAGTCATTAATGAAGTACACAAATTTTGCTTTATTATGTGTAGTTTTTATTATATTAATGTAATACATTTTTATGTCTTAAAAGCCATTACAATAACATTATATATGTTTTTTATTAAATATTTATTAATTATAAAGATACCTTTTTTACAGAGAGCAAACCTTATGCGATGTTACGTTGTTATGTGATGATGGCGTTCAAATTTCAGCGCATAAAGCAATTTTAGCATCCGCAAGCCCTATGCTATTAAAAATGTTCGATAGTGGCTTTAATGAAACTAAAGAAATTACTATGCCTATTAAAGACATCGAGTCTGGTATTTTAAAGTCAATTGTAACTTGTACATATACATTTCAGATGGATATCCAGGAAAATAAATTTTGAAGTAATACATAGAAAACAGATAATAACTAATTATCTTTAAACACATTTATTGTAATGATTTTAAATGTTATTTTATTTTTATTTTAGAAACTATTGAGAGCTTCTGACTACTTTCAATTTAAATATGCTAAGGATTTATGTTAGAAAAAACATAAATATCACTAATTGTCTTCATTTTATGAGATTTGCTGAACCAACATCACAAAAATGGCTGTATACTTATTGTTTCTTGTATTGTTTAGAAAATTTCAAGTAAGTGTTTAAGATTGGCATACGTTTGAATAAATCTAGATTTATACTATACTCTGTCCTAAATAACAAAAGCAGCAATTTGCTCATCTCGACTAAGGCCTCTTGCACTGGCAGACCTGTCAATCCCCCTTTACGCGACAGCTGGTATATGAATACTAACGACGATGTCATCCGATAGCCGTCCACTGTGTTGTGTGTAGAAAGAGAATTAGGCGAAGTGCAGCGTGGGGATGCATAAGGATGTGCAAGACGGACCGAATTTTGTCATGTGTTTCTGCCTTTCTTATTTGGGATAGAGAATACGTACATCTATATCAATAATATGTTTATGTTTATTCATAGAACAATTATGGAAACTGAAACACAAATAAACGAAACATATGAATTTAGTTTTGATAATGTTGTTGAGTTTATAAAAAACGATCATTTGCTGGTTGAATTTGAAGAAAAGGTATTTGTAAAATTACAATTTAATTTGATTAATATTTACTCATTTAATTACATATACTATAATTTATTAACACTCAACAAAAAATATCGTTAATTATTCTTAAGTGTTAAAAATGTCAGAAAAATCTAAATTAATTACAATTAATTACAAATCTAAAAGAAATGAGAACATTATTTTTAGTTCTTGTTAAATTATTCAGTAGGTATACTTTTGTCTGTTCTCATTAAGCACTGCTAACTTCTTAATAGGACAATAGTATATATTAAAATTGATCTAATAAAATGTTTATAATTTTCTTTATGCAGTTTTAATATGTATTACAGATCTTCGATTTCATTATTAAATGGATCAAATATGATATAGAGGAACGAAGTAAATATTTATCAAATTTACTGAATTATTTGAGGTTACTTTTAATTTCGAAAAAAGCATTACTACATATCTGTGATGAACCACTAATGAAAAGCCAACATGACTGTAAGTATTTAAACCGATGCTGATCCTACAACAATATATAACATAAATAATGGATCTTTTTACAATTTACATTTAAAATTATTTTCACATAGTATATTAGTGTCCCATAATGGTTTTTAAATATTTATAGGTTTGATACATATCATGAAAAATTATATATCTGTCGATGTTGATGAAAATATTACAAAAACAACAATAAGGACACCTCGTTTGTATGAACCAAATGTAAAAAATATTTGTTTATAGCTTAAAATGTTGATATTTTTGTTAAACATATTTTTGCTGTGTGGGATATCTATAGAGTACTTTTTATATTTGTAGAAAATAAAATATTTGATAATTTGTTTTTAGATTATCTTCGCAATTAAAGGTCAATCCAATGCTGATGATTCTTATATAATGTACATGGATCTGCGGTGCGAAAATGATCTTAATTGGAAATTATGTGATGATTATTCATTTTTTTGTCCACCCCGTCGAAGTGCAACTTTGGCTGTTTTGGAAACTGGAATTCTACTTGCAATTGGAGGTTATGATGTATTAGGAAAATGGAGTAATTGTGTCGATGAACTTGATCTTACTTCTACATCTAAAATGTGGATACCTACAACGCCTTTGCGAAGATTACGAGTTCATATTTCTGTTTGCACTCTAGGAAAGTATATATATGTGGTGTGTATCAGTATTGGTTATTCTTAAAACAACATATCTGAGTCGATCAATACATGTAATATATTGAAAATATATATTTAATATGAGTCTTTTTATGATCTTTGCCGCATAGGTAGGAGGCCTAGGTATTCCAGGAGGAGAAATGTTAAATTCAATAGAATATTATGACACATATTCGAAAGTATGGGACGAAATAAAAGAGCCAATGCCCACCGCTCGGATATATTACAATTCAATAATTCACGACTCTTGTTGATATGTTGTAAGTATAATATTGTATTGCTAATGTATGAAATTAGAAGTTAGGCTTAATTTAACTTTTATTTATAAATTAAACTAAACCTGATGTTTTTAGTCGTTCCCTATTTTATTTGTTTCCTATTTACCCAAACAAAACTATCCAGCAACCGCCAAATGCTAATAACCATAACTACGATACCTAAAAAAATATCTAATATGTTTAAATATAGTATATTTAATGCAATTGATTTTTTTTTTCTATAAAGTTTGGTGGACATAACAACAACAACTATTTAAGTAATGCAGACTGCTATAATCTACAAGAAAAATGTTGGACACAGTGTAATCCTATGCCAACAGCTAATGCTTTAATGGGCATTACAAGTAGAGGAAATTATATACATTTATTAGGCGGTTGTGCAAAATCCAAAGGTGCTTACAAAATGAAGTTAAATGATTCAAAATGGGATACGCTACCTGACATGATCAACGCAAAAGTGTTTGCAAGTAAGTGTATAATAATAATAATGTTTGAGAAGTTTTGTCATTGACTATCTGACGTTTCAAACCTATTGCAGTTTTAGACCCAACCATTTTTCTTTTGCGACCATACTGTAGTATGGTGGATTTTACTTTAACACAGCGATTTTTTGAAATCATCAGTATGACTAATGACAAAATTAATAGATTTATAACACTATATTTTAAAATGCAGATGCCGTGACTATTGGAAACGATTTATTTGTTGTTGGAAAAAATACAAACTGGTGTTTAAAAAAAAATGAAGAAAGACCTGACGGAGTCTTTTGTGAAAGATATATTGCTGAAAAAAACACATGGCAAGAGATTGAGTCATCAAATACACTAAGCGACTATGATCATATAATTTGTCTTAATGATGCGAGATTGAAAACATTTAATATTAACATATCATAAAAATGTAAATATAATATACTATGAAATTAGAAAACAAATTTTTTTAAAAAAATTAATCAAAATTGATTAATACTGTGCAGTGAATTTAAATATATTAAAAATATCCATTAAACATGTTTAATTATTATGTATTTTGTTGGCTAAATGAAAATATAGTGGTTATTTAAACCCACTTTTAGTCTTAAATAAACCCCTAAATCTTAATAAATGTAACAAGTTTTTACCTCTATAGGGGAAAGAGTTAATGATATTTTCTTGGTTTGACAATGTACATTGGTAGTATTATCTAAAAAACAATACACAAGTTTGGTACTAATCTGGCTACATTAGTTGGTCCAACAGTTAAATAGTTATTATTGCTCCAAACTCGATAAGAAAAAGAAACATCATTGTAAATATAATGTTGAGAGTTTAATAATATCACAATGTAATCTATAATAGAATACAATCTACTTGATAGGATTATCATTGTATAATTATTATGAATTTCTATTCTATCATAAAAATCATGTCAAAACATTTACTCGTGGTGGTTATGCGGAACATGTATCAATATTTTAAAATAAAAGACCAATCGACTACTAAAATCAAAATATTTTCAAATTATCGCATATTATAATGTATTCCTAAAATGTACATTGAATTGAATATCTATTTGTATTTAATTAATGCCTCATGCATAGCCTGATGATGCCAACATAAACGAGGAAAATGATTACAATTGCATTTTGGTTGTAAGATAGTTTTTTAGATAATATGCAAAGAGAAACATCGAAGCTAAAATTACTCAGCTTGCTAATTAAACGAATTTTAGTATAACTTAGATAGGTATTTCATTTTTATGTACTTATTTTTACCGAATATATTTTCGTAGGTAGGTACTTGTATCTACTACCTGGACCAAATAAATAAATACAAATAAAACAAAAGTATATAGTAGCTACCTATTGGTTTTAAAAAATTGTCTACATGCTATAAAGTGTAATAAACATGTCTAAATGAAATATTTATACCTTTATTTTCGCTACTAAAAGCGCCTATACAGTATACGTTACCTACACCTATACACCTATACCTTATACTTTTTTCCCATAATAATAAAACAAAAAAAAGCCAGCCCATGTTTTGTAACATGCAGTAAATTTAATAAAAGTACTACGCCTTTCGTTATTATGTTGGCTAAACTACATTAAGCGCAGTGCTATTGATTTTATTGTTAGCTGCTGTCCCACACACCTTACCCAGCTGTCTCCTTAGTCCTACGGCAAGCAGCTTACGAACAACTTGGGGAATTTGCTCGCATCGAACACAAAAGGTATTTGTTACGTTTTATTAGTCTTTTTGTAGATAAGATTTTACATATTGTTTGTATTTATTTATTTGTATATTGTATTTATGGTGGCTACCGCGCCTCCGCCTCTTCCTTTTTAATTTTTACGGCCTTTAAACTTAAAACGCAATCATAATAGATATATCAAACGGAGTGAAAATACATTGCTCCTATTTCTGTACAATACAAATCAATGATTACAATTTCAAACATATTAACTAAATCTGGCAGTGAATTAATCAGATTCAAACGCTTCAATGCGAATATTGTGAAACCTGCGTGTTCTGTACTGGTTTATATACTGTGTTAAACTTCTCTGATGGATTTTACTGATATTATAATTTACTGAATCTAATTAATTTGGTTTTCTTTGCAGTTGTTTTACTATGTTTTATTATATACTGTGCTACATTTTTCTTACTTACCCTTTTACTGCTTATGTTTGGAATCTATATTTATATATGTTGATGCTGTGGCTATATTCCATTAGCCCACTATAAATCCTCTAAATCTACACAAAAAGTTTATACATCAGATAATTCCACGTATCCTTGTTGTTACTATTTACAAAAGCCACTTACTTCTTCTTCGAACTACGAAAATGGATTTATTTATGAGATTAAATGAATGCTGGTAGTTATTTTCACGATTGTCGAATTTAATATAAATAATAAAAGCCAAATCTGGCAACAATAGATTAAATATAAATATAGTTTAAATCGACAGTAACTAGAATAATTATTTACAAAGGAGAGAACTTCTTAAATTATTTCTTTAGATAAATTTAATTGACAGTTAAATCCTTCTATACATTTATTTTAATCATTGGTGGTTATATTATACACTAGCACTATTTGTACATTTTTTTGTGTTTTCTTTAAGTCCAAATACATTCTTAAGTCTTGACCTTTTTTTATTCGAAATTCATTTCTTAAAAATTCTTCAGTTTTTACTAATAAAATATACATGGAATACCAAATTTTAATAAATATAGGCATAGAACATACCTCATTATACCTCATTTTCACACTATATAAAACGGTTTAAACGAATGTTTCAATGATAGATTTAAAAAAAATAATAATAATATTACAATTTTTGTTTAAATGTACCCTAATAATTATTTTTAATAATGAAGTTTAAAAATATTTAATGTAATAGATGCACTAAATTTCAAGTTGGTAAACCTAAAATTGGCCATAATATATATTTGTTTAGTTCTTACTTTTAGTAATAGCAATATTTAAAATCGGTTATAACAATATTTTTCCAATATGTACCTATAATTTATTTGCGACCCACCTTCTGTCTAATTTTCAGCTCTTAAATCCTATAGGTAATTGGGAATCCAGAATTAAAAAAACACCATCTTAAAATAATAACATTCTAAACATAATTAAAAGATGCATAATAATGCATGATGTTTGTTTTATAATAATATTCTTAATATTCTTTAAAAATATTGGCATGATCCGGCCATTATTCTCGAAAATATAGTTAAGAAAGTTAAGTATGTTAAGATGTAGTTAAGTTTTAAAAAAAATAAGTTTTATCGGTTGTCCTCGTTTTTAAGTAAACTTTTCCACTGTTAACGTTCCTAAAAATTAATTAACTTTTGTATATTATTTCTGATTAATTGATATATGAGTAATTAAAATCGACCAAGCTAAAAATAGAAAAAATATATCAACTCCTTGACTTAGCGAAGTTGTAGCTAATCAAATTTGAAAGTAGACAAATTAGCTGATTTGTTGAGGGCGAAGAAGTGGACGTTTTCAACTTTTGCCCCATAGAGTTACTATTTTGGTTGTTGTTGTTATTGGTAAGCCGCGATAAATTCTAAATAGACTATTAGTGTTTCAATATATTAAAGTTAGTTTTTTTTCAAAACCTAACTAAATAATTGATAGTGCATTTTTAATATTTTTATGGCCGAAAAATAAACCTATACACTATTTGTATATTTTATACGATTGAAGAGAAATTGTACGTTTTTTTTTTCTAACACTATTTTTGTTTTCAACAGGTACCTGTTATACGACAAGTGGGGAAATTGTGTAATTTGTCTACACTCGAAAATGGAACCCGAATCGCCTTCGGTGTTAAAGCTGACGCATGTGTCAGAGAAACATCCAAGAAGTGTACTCGCTGAGTTCAACGTGATGCGTCGCCACCGTGAACTGTGCGACATCGCACTCAGAGTGAACAACCGCAAGATATACGCACACCGTATTGTGCTTTCCGCGTGCAGCCCTTATTTCCGTGCAATGTTTGTCGGCAACTTGATTGAATCTCGCCAAACCGAAGTGACCATACGGGACATAGAGGAACCGGCCATGGAATTGTTGGTCGAATTTTGTTACACTGCGCGTATCACAATCGAGGAGTCCAACGTCCAGTCGCTTTTGCCCGCCGCTTGTCTGTTGCAGTTGCCCGAGATCCAAGACGTTTGCTGCGAGTTTCTAAGAAGACAACTGGACCCCACAAACTGCCTCGGCATCAAAACGTTCGCCGACACACATTACTGTTTGGATTTGTTGCGCGTGGCCGACAAGTACACGTTGCACAATTTTCAAGAAGTCATGGAAAACGAAGAGTTCTTCATGTTGCCCCTCACGCAGTTGATCGATTTGCTTGCCAGCGACGAGTTGAACGTGAAAACCGAAGAACAAGTGTTCAACGCGGCCATGTCTTGGGTGAAGTACGACATACCCGACAGACGACATCATCTCCCCCGGGTCCTCCAACATGTAAAATTGCCACTATTGAGCCCGAAATTTCTGGTCGGCACGGTCGGAAACGACTTGCTGGTTCGCAGTAATGAAATGTGTAGAGATCTTGTGGACGAAGCCAAAAACTACTTACTTCTGCCCCAAGAACGGCCTCTGATGCAAGGACCCAGAACTCGACCCCGCAAACCCGTTCAACAGGGTCAAGTGCTGTTCGCCATCGGTGGTTGGTGCAGTGGAGACGCTATAGCTTCGGTGGAACGTTACGATCCACAAACGGAAGATTGGAAGGTCCAAGCTCAAATGACCAAGAGACGGTGTGGCGTTGGCGTGGCCGTACTCGACGATTTGTTGTACGCGGTCGGTGGACATGACGGCCAAGCGTATCTGAACAGCATGGAACGCTACGATCCACATACTAACCAATGGTCTTGTGACGTTGCTCCGACGTCTTCGTGCCGGACCAGCGTTGGCGTGGCCGTTTTGGAAGGTTACATATATGCCGTCGGAGGTCAAGACGGTATCCAGTGTCTGAATCACGTCGAGCGTTATGATCCCAAAGAGAACAAATGGACTAAAGTGGCGCCGATGACCACGCGGAGATTAGGCCTAGCCGTTACAGTTTTGGGAGAACATTTGTACGCAATCGGCGGCTCGGACGGTCTGACCCCTTTGAACTCCGTCGAACGGTACGACCCGAAGCAAAACAAATGGACCAACGTGGCCTCAATGTCGACACGGAGAAAACATTTGGGATGCGCCGTTTACAAAGACATGATATACGCAGTGGGCGGACGAGACGACGTCATGGAGCTGAGCAATGCAGAAAGATACAATCCACAAACTGACGAGTGGTCGCCGATTGTCGCGATGACGTGTAAACGGAGTGGCGTAGGATTGGCAACGGTCAACGGACAACTATTTGCAGTCGGTGGATTTGACGGATCGGCCTACTTGAAAACTATTGAGATGTATGATGAGAATCAGAATCAATGGAAGCTCTGTGGCAATATGAACTACAGGAGGCTTGGAGGCGGGGTAGGTGTAATGAGATTCTCTCAAACCAACAGCAACTAATGAATGAACCTACTTTACTTTTTAAAACATTAATTGCTTTACATTTTTTTTTTTTTTTTTTATATACTTATGTTACCATTATTGTGTATAATTTGTTTTGTAAAGTTTTTGTTAGCTTCGATGCGGAGCTGAGAAGTTGTAATAATTCCAAAACACCTGTGACCCTTGCTCTAATATGCTCCGTCCTACCAATGACCCGACCCCGCTGTGCTGTCATTTTTAAAACTTATTCATATCGGTTTTGTACAGATCAATATCTCATATATCATCTACCTATCATTATTATTATTATTTATTTATTTTTTGTAGTCGTTATTATTATTATTTTTAGTTAGACAATTGACATTAGACAATGCTGGTATTCTTCAGAGTACAGCAACATTTTTAGGCACAAACCGCGTATTTAACAGTAATTACTATACCCTAAGTTTACTCGAACATTTAATTGTCGATTTAAAAATATGACTAAGTTATAAATTAAAAAATAATATAATAATAAAATGCATACTAATATTTGAGTATTTAAACTTAAACATAAGGTATTTAACTTAAAAATACTTATATAAATAAACGAGTTGTATTCATGATTGTTTTAAATGCGCTAGCGAAATTTTTTGAGAAATAAAAATAAAATATATGATATTAAATATCTTTATGTTATACAACAAAATCTAATATTGTTTTTGATTAGTTCTTCAAAACAACAATAAAGGAAAAATTAAAAAAAAATTATAAATAAATATTTAGTAACTAGTATAATTACATAATAGTATCATGTAGTATAACTTTTAGACATCTTGTTGTAAAACGGCGAAGTTTGTTAAATGTATCTAATACATATAAAATCTACAAATTCAAATTTAACGATTATGTATGCTATTGCTTTAATATAATAATATCATGTAGCGATTAACGATAGTGACAACATGTACCTATGTAACCTATGTTTAATTTACCAAATAAGTTGAATCATGAATAAATGAGTGGAAATTTATACTTATGACTTATTATCTTATTTAATATATTTTCATGCTGTACTTGGGGTAATATTATTAAGTAAAATTATATTATTATTTATTTAAAAAAATGGTCTTAACGATGGTTGTACTTCATCTAAAAAAAATATGAAATAACATTTAACTACTTTTTCTATAATTCCATTGCGCTATTTGTTATAAATATATCCATTGAAAAGTATTCTTATTTTTTAATAGTTTTAAAATTTAAAAATTAACATAAAAACATTAAGAAAATGTTACAATTAAAAAGTATAGAAATAAAAAAAATTTACTAATTTATGCATTGATCTTAAGTACAAAAAAATTCAAAGTCATAGCAAACGAACAGGCTGATGAAAATTACAATTTCAAACATTACAATTTTTTTAACTGTTTGTCTACATATTTGCTGAATTAAAAACTTATGTTCCCATTCCAACGAACAAAGTCCATAATTATTTTACGTATAAGGGTAAACATAATAAAAATTAATAGGTAAACATTTTCTAAGTATTAAAAAAAAAAACTTTCAATTTACTCATATTTTCCAAGAAAATGAGTTTCTTACATCAGATGGATCTGATGGAAAATCTACCGTATAAACTTAATATAGTGAACACGGGATCCAAAACGTATACTACCACAATACAGGGGAAGGAAAATTATAATTGGGGTAATTAAACTATTCGTAAATTTATTTATTACTCAAAAAAAAACCTGTACAAGTTAGATAATAATCGGTTCAATAATAACAAAATAGTAGACAATGGCCAAGCACATATGACGATAGATCCAAAAGAATTGAACAAATTAAAAAACTACATACTGTTATTAAAATGGTTATACAGTAATATGTAAATTAGTTTTAAAAAAAAATTCAATCTACACATTTGCCTTGTTATTGTTACAAAAAACAATATATCGACAAAACAAGGAAAACTTAAGTACATATAAATGCTGGTAAAGACCTATTAAACAAGTACCTACACGAGTTCCCTAATTGATAAGATTAATAATAATTCGATATTTTACACGTGCCACGATTATTATACATTTAACGTTTTATGTTAAATGTATGGTATTAATTTAAACAACAAAACACAGACACTGATCAAATGATAAGTGCGTCTGTTCGTTTATGATTCGTTTTGCATTTGGCTGCATAAGTACCTAAGTAGTCTATAAAATTGTATAGACTACTTACCTACTATTAACACTATAATATAATATAATCAAACCTGAGCAATGAGCATTATTAAAAGCCAAATGCATTCATGAAATTTTTAATTCCGTTTGTTTTGGCGCGGTTACAAAGATTGGCTTAACTGTCAACAACTTGTTAAAGTTGGTTGCCGGCTCGTTGGGAAACTTATTACACTCTACATGTCAACCAGAGTACAAATCATTTAGTATAAGTGAGTGTCTGGTATAACGGATATAAAAAGCAAATATAATGGCAAACCAAATGATATCCACGCTTTCTATGTAGGGTTATTAAAATCTTACATCAAATGCGATCACTTGCTCCAACTTGGTTTTCACAACAACGAGTTTGCGGACACTATGGTCTTATTAATCCTAATTTAAATTAACATTGTATTAAAATTACATAAATTAAATTTTATTGTGTTACAAAGTAGGTATTATAATTGAATAATTTTCGGATTTAATGATTTCAATAGTTTGTGATGTAGTAAAACATAAAAGTCAAAATTTCATTTTACCACCCGAGTTTTTCTAAAATTTTAGAATATAACAATACTAGGTTTTTTATTCATAAAAATATCATTAATTTACCCAAATTATTGTCAAAATATTGCTATGTAGTAGGAAATATTTTAACAATGAAAAAGAAGAAGCGTAATTTCATATGACAACACGGATATCGTTTTTTAAATAAGTATGTTTTAGTACATAATATGTACATATTATGCACATTACGCCAAAAAACAAAGTCAGTATGTATTCATATTAGAATAAAACTATTTCAAAAAAAAAATAAGAAACTGTATTAAAACAAGATATCACTATTTACTTTATATTAAACAATATTAAATGTACCTATTGTAAGAAGTATTCTCCGTCACGTGGGATCTGGAAAAGGTGCAGATCGTACATAATAATAGATAAATATGTATATATATATATATATATTATATATGTGTACATATACATTATTTGTCCTGCATACTATTACATTATTTTAATTTTTATTTTAACATGGGTGGAGTACATTAATATTATAGGTGCATCCTTTTGGAACGCACTGCACTGGTCTTCGACGCCGACGTCTTCGACGCAGACAGCATCGACTCTATGTTGCCTAAATAGTTGTCTAGCCTTTTGACGAAATCGGGCTCCATAAGGAGTTTCCTGGTTTCCGTGAAAAAGGTCTTCTCCCATTTGGCCACTTGCGGGTCGCTGGCCATCTTGATAACGGCCTCACCGCCTTCCTTGACGATCTCAGGTAGTCGAGGTGACGTGAGCGTCCTGATTGCTGCGTCCACGGTACCGGCTTCCGCGTGTGCCTCGTTGATCTCTCCTAACTTCTCCAACACCACCCGAACCGCGGTGATCAGCAGGCCCACGGATTGTGAACCCACCGGCGATGTCATCACCCGCTGAGCCGCGTCGCCAATGGCGCCCATCACCCGAGCGGCCTCGGGCCCGCTTAACGCGGCCTTCCACGCTTCGCCTATCTCGCGTCTGAGCTGCGCCACCTCAGGTTTGTTCAGCTCCTTGTCGACGACATCCTCCAACGTGTCTCTGACCTCGCCCCGTTCGACACGCTCTCGCGCCTCCTCCGTCAGCTCCGCTTCGGCACGCTGCAGTTTTAGGTTGGGCTTGAACCGCGCATCGTTGGCCATTGATCCAGCTTGGTCTACCGTTGACAGCGATTCATCCTCAAAGTCAGCGGTTCGAAAACTATACTCGCTGTCGTCGTTGCCATACTCGAATCTGGCCTGCAATAATAAAAACCGCTCGATGAGTAACGAATATTTAAAAATTAAAAATTATGGAAAATAATTACATCATGTTACAAAATTGTGTTTTTAATACTTTCCACTACTAAATTATAACATGTAGTGTTTACAAAATGTATTTACACCGTGAGTGAAATATTTATTAAAGTTTGTACCTTAAATCAAACTTTATGTTAATATTATATAAATCAATTTATTATTATTTTTTTTTAATAAGTAAATATACAATCTTAAATAACAAAAATCATGTAATGATAATGATCATGTAAAAATAATGTAATTGGCAAAGACAAATTTTTTTAAATATCAATAATAGTTAAAATAATAATACTCTTTAGGTTGGCCGTGGAAAGTAATATGTAAAAAGTGCGTGACTTTATAGATACAATTCCAAGTTAAATACATAAGTGTGTTTAAATACTCGCCCGTTTCTTGTTAAGTTAAAAAATTAAAATTAAAAAAAAAAAAACCAATCAGTTATTTCTTGGCTCCGACTCTTGCGCGGTACGGCCAGACTTTAGACCTTTATTCTTATATTCTTATAAATGTTTACCTTGACCAAGACTAGTGCGGACAACAGCAGACACACGACAACGTTGATTTTTGCCATTTTCCACAATCGGTGATGATACTTATTATATTTGGTTGTATAATATATTAAAATATTCTGTAGGACTTTGGGTTCGATTGGCTCGGGCCCGTTGCTTTTATAGACAGAATAAACAATGCAAGCAACGGCTGTTCTTGTTTTTTTGGTAATTTGTTACACTGCCACAATATAGCCTTTTGTCCCGTTTGTTGTGCGCCATCCATTATTTTGCGGTTTTTCTCTTACACAATAAAATATATAATTGGTCCGAATGGATCCGCCAAATGTTCTGTACACTCCGCATTTACCTGTGTAACCGAAAAATGCAATAGTTTATTTCAAAACAACACAAACAAATTAAATATTATACCTAAGTATTAGTTTTCCCCATTTTATTCTTTCGGTACATATGCGAAATAAACATACCTATATTACATACAGGGTGATTTTTGTTTTATCATGGTCCACTCGATATCACATGTTCATCACACATTACATTTTCCCATGTTCCTGCCCCTTTCCCTAACTAATTATTTTTATATAAACTTTTTAAACTTAAATGGTAACGCAGACATTTCATTAACGTACTAAAAATGTTGACTGGTCGATAACAAGTTTTGGATAATTATTTTTGAACTTATTCAAGTTTCAAGTTTAGGGCAGGAGGAAAAGTGGAGTGTAGTACGATTTTTATCCGTCCTAACTTAAGATCTTGAAACTTTAAAAATAGCTGTTCAAAATTGGTTATCAACCAGTCGACAATTTTTAGTAAAATATTCTCAATTAAAAAATTTACTATAATAAAATATCCAATTTGGGAGGGGGTTGAATAACAATAAAAACTTGTGAAAAAGTGTTTTCACTATATATATATCTATTGAGTTTCTTCAAGTCTTCCCCCCCCCTCTATACCACCAAAGATCTGGATATAATTACAATGAATAATGCGGTTACTGCTTGTTAACACTATTTATTAGGCAAAACACCTGTCTGCGAGTTTTTAACTAATTGACATTATGTCTATATTGTACTAAGCGGCGCAGATGTCAATATTTTAAGTTGTACATTTCAAAACTGTAATTTTTAACACAAATTTACCTTCACAAGTGTTTTTGCGTACATTATTATGTTTTAAAATATAATTCGAATGAATCATATTCTCATAATATGTTATATTATGTCCTGCAACAATAGAGCGGATTTTGGACAGGTTTAATACATTATTGAAAAAGTCACTAAAAATTTGAATTTCATAAAATTGGATAAAAATTAAGCCCTTGGGCCTTTGGGGCTATCAAGTTAGGTTTGATTGCTGCTATTTTTGAGAGACCCTGAAGAAGTTTTTAAAAGATCTAAACGCCAAAAGCCCTTCTTTCTCCTACTCCGGTTTGGTTAGGTTATAACTTATAATTTATTTATAATTATGTTATCCATACTTGTAGTTTTACAAGGTACCTATACAGGATGTCCCACAAATATTTGACAAATTGAATAATTTTTTTTTTAGTGAACATTTTTAAGATTTTTTTTAATTTAACACAGCCATTTTAAATAAGAATAATTTACTGAAAATGTTGATTGGTCGGCAACCAGTTTTGGATAATTACTTTTAAAGTTATTTTATCTAGAGGATCTAAAATGTCGAGGAACTCGATGGTATGTCACCGATTAGGTTAGGTTGTGATTTATACAAATCACTAGTATTTGCTTAAAATTATTATTGTAAGCTGCACGCGTCGCCTCTGTTTATATAGACTTTAAAGTGCAAATTTCGAAACAATATGTACTCTGTACACAACGTTTCACATATTTGGCTGTATATTATTATAGAATAAACATTTTGTTTACAAAACCCTATTTCAGAAAATATATTAAATAACCATTCCTTCGATCTGTGAATTTTATAAATAAATCAAAAAACATATAATTTATGATTTAACATTTTTTTAATTTTTACATACAAGAGAATTTTTTTAAATGCAATATTTAGAAGTTGTTGTCATTATTAGCAAGTATAATTTATGTGGTGGTGTAGCTGTAGCAGATTACAAAATGTGGTAGTCTCAAGATTTGATCTCTATGGTTGCGACAAAAGATAATGCGGATAATTTGGAATTACACCTAACCTAACCGGCACACTAGTAAATTATACATGTTTTTTTGGTAACTAGATATATTGTTATTACAATAATCACCGACACAATAATATGTTGCAACAAAAATACCGTTGTTTGATTGTATAATTATAATAACATATTTATTAGAACCGAAAATACTGTTACTACTATTTTGGAATATCACATTTAAGGCTGGTCAAGATTTTCGGAGCAATCTTTTGGCCGCCTTCAGCGATGCAAATATGACATCATTGATGCTGACACCGGCGTACGATGAGCCTGCCAATGTCAGGGGTAGCCGATTTTGGAATATGTAATCCTTCATTTGCGTCACCCGGCCATAGTGGCCGACGGTGTACTGCGGTATGCAGTCGTACAGCACGCGGGAACCGTACCTGTCGGGCAAGGCGCGGACGCCCAGCACCCGGCGTACATGGTCCACGGCGGTTACCGTAAGGCTTTCTTCGGACGTCAGTGCCGGGTCGCCGCCGAAATGTTTGTCGAACGCGTGTCCGCCCATCATGACGGTCAGGTCTACACGGTCCCGGCGGCCGTACACGCAATTGTCAAACGTGATGCCCAACAGCGACAGGCCTTCGCTAGGAGCGGCCAGCACGCCGAATCCCTTGTACGGCGCCAGGGCGTCCGGGTCGTCATATGACAGGTTGGTCGTGGCAATGGTAGCGGTGGGCACGGAACTCAACAGTTTAGCCAACCCGTCGTGGCCGACCAAAACCTCGGCTAACCGGCGCGCCGGTATCGTGCTCACTACGTGCTCGCATTCCAGCGTCTTGCCGTTGCTCAGCACGGCAGTAGCGCCGCCGCCCTTGTTGCACAAGTGCAGTTCCACGCACTCGGTGTTTAGCTGTACTGATGCGCCTAGGCTTTCGGCTCGCAAGTGCAGGATGCGCGTCAACCGCTGTAGTCCACCGTCCAGGTAGTACACAGGCGGTGGTTGCGCCGCCGTCAACCCCGACTGTCCGTCCACGTCTTTACCGCGCTTTTTGCGGCCGGCCAAAGTTTCTTTCAACAATCCCACGGCCACCGACCCGTGTTTGCGTTCCGCTTCGTACAAGTGCCGGAACATGAACTTGACGCTTATCGTCTTGGCGTCACCGCCGCAAATGCCGCACATCAACGGCGAAATCAAATAGTCGGCCATCTCTGGGCCGAACCGCCGGTGGAAGAAATCATAAGCGCTCTCCTCCTCGTGGTCGTCGTCCGCACAGACTTCGGCGCCACCGTTGGTCAGAAAGCACTCGCGCAAAACGTAGTAACCCAACGGCCGGGTGAACGGCGTGTTGACCGCAAACAGGGCCCGCAGCGCACCGCTCGGCAGTACATGCGTGTCGCCCTTGGCGTAGATGTACCTGGCGCTGGCGTCCGGCCCGACGGTGCGCACCAAGTCGTCGATGTCCAACTCCTTGATGAGCCCGAACGTGTTGTTGGCCGTTTCGCCGCGGCCTCTGATCGTCCGCGGACCCAACTCGGTGACGACGCCGGAGTCTTTGTCCGCCCAAGACCGTATCCAACCGCCGGCGTAGTCGTTGGAATCGACCAACGAAACCGGTTGGTCGGGTTTGTCCCGTTTCAGATAGTAAGCGGCGCTCAGGCCACCCAGACCGCCGCCCAGTATGCCAATGGTTCCGGTCGGCATGACGTCACCTGCAATAGATGCAATTATTGTATTATAATGTTATTTTTCAATGATAATAATTAGTTGAATGAGAATAATAATTGTTTTTTATAACACATTTAGGTGTTGTCTGATAAACCCACAATGAAGTCTGTAGTACTTTAACCCTTTTTTTTTACCATGTCAGACAATATTATAGTACATAAAAAAATGTGTTAGTTTGGAATATAACATAATGATATATACCTATATATTATAATTTTATCTTTTTAGGTTCAAACAATTAACAACAAAAACTTTTTTATTTTTATTTATTTAAAGAATATTTACAATCTATGCTACGAGACATAATAAGCAAATAGTAACATTAATATACAGAAAAAATAAAACGGTGATATAATATGAGGAGGGAGGCCATCTAATGATAGAACACAACGTGAACAACAAAAACTTATTAGAATTATTGTTACTTGTTTACAATTGAATAATAATGTAGGACTAAAAAAAGAATAAAACCTCTCTTGGAAATGTAGGAATTATGTATGTGTTCTCCAATTGGGTAGTGTTCTATAAGTATTTTAGTAAACAATGTATCAAAGGGTATTTAAATTGGCTCAATTTACACTGGATATTAGAAAGGCCTTCGATACGGTTGATCATAAATTATTGATTGATAAGTTATGCGGCAAACGGTAAAATGTTTAAATGGATATCCACCGAACTCAATTATTGAAAGTGTGTAATGAGTTTCCTGACATTGTTGTTAGTTCCGGTTCGCCTAAAGGAAGTCATTTATACCCTGTTCTTGTTTAAATACATATGTTTAAACTTAGGTATTGAGTTAAAACACAGTAAATTGTTAATGTTTGCGGATGGTTTCAAATTGTTCAGTGTAATCAAATCTATGGCCAATTGCCATGAGATGGACAAATATTTAAATAGATTTATTGTGCCGAGTGTAAACAAACAAAACCATGATTCATTTCATTTAGAGAACCACACAAACAATTTTGTTTTAAACAGCTCTCTTTATCATATGTTGAGCTTTGTGCAACGGTTTTTGTAATTTTGATTTATGGTTTGATAATATTAAAAAAGTGGAAAACATGTGCTTGAAATTTATTGTGATTATTATTTGTTTTTTTACTAGTTATTTATTAGTTTTATTGGTTATTATATATTCTATCGGAAAAACTTTACGGGGTACCATATTTTTTGGCTAAAAGAAAATTTGAAGGGGTAAATAATTTAAAATTCACCATCAACTAATGAAAATACTTTAATTTTAATAACTCCGAGTGTCACAAGACTTAATACTCAAATTGTTGGCTAAACCTTTTTTTGATTTAAGACTTGAGTTCTCAGCTAAGCTATGTATGAAATGTATAAAATGCTTATCTTATTGTAGAAAAATACCACTCCTCTTAATTGTTGTAAATTCCACTAGCTATATCATTATAAATATTTGTTTAAAACAAAATGGTAGCTAATGTAACGACAGACAACACTATTTTACCTGCATTCATGTAATTCACTGTGTTAAAACTATTACGAATTAACGTTAAATCCGTATACAACCATTGTCCATTCTATACTATATTTAATCTTTTATATTAATATATTATTAATTGCATAGTTTAAAAAACGGATTAACCAAAAGGCTCCTAGTTTATTTTATTGCTATATTATTAAATATTAATACAATAAAATATAATACATTTAGGTGTTGTTTGATAAACCCACAATAAGTCTGTAGTACTTTTAACACATTTTTACATATCAGACAATATCATAGTACATATAAATTATAAAAAGTACGAGTTTGGAATCTAATATAATGTATGATTGGCCAAACAAATAACATAAAAATAATAAAACCTCTTGGAAATGTAGGAATAATATATGTTTTTATCGCTTGAAAATACCCTTTTAGTAGTTTTTAATTAAAACAATAATATTATGGACAGATTTTTGTGGTGTACAAAAATTCAATATTTTTCAGTTTGTTTTGAAAACAACCATATTTTTCGATGTTTGTAGTCAAATTTGTTTTACATTATACATAAAACATTTTTTAGGTAATTATCAAACAAATAAAACAGAAAAATTATCAGTCTTCTTGTGCCTTTTTGTTTTGGGTTCTTCCTTAATTTCAGGGAAAACGAGAATATATATCTAAGTTACATATACATACGAGAATCGAATTTAATAAGAGTCATTAATAGGCTACTTTTGTAGAACCTAAGTAGGGATAATCCTAAGCAATTTATAAAAAAAGTATTTTTCTTTAAATAAGGCTGTAAATTGCTATACAATTACAAGTACACTACATGGAACCAAACATTATGAAAAATGTGAAAATTATCAAAATGAAGAGGAGAAAAATAAGGGCTTGCGCTTACCGTGTCTTTCGTTAGGTGTTGGTGTTCTGGTCTATTTCATTTTGCCTACGCTCCAAACGCAATACCGTAGCACCGATAGTGGCGTTCACTCGATACCAACGAAAATCATCTAGATATATTTAAATTTATTTTAGAAATATATATATGTTTACACAATTTGATGGTGTGTGTAAAGAGAAATATATGTATTTTAACTAATTATGGCATTAATTAATTTGTTGAGGAAATTTGCTAGTTTTGCAGAGAAAATACTATTACTGTTATCAATGATATTGGCCGCCGATAATTGTTATCAGAGAAAAACATAAGAATATTATCCACAGCTGATAATATAGAATGATCTTTCTTTCCATGCAACGTTATGCCTCGTTCGCGCCATGAAAAAGTCGAAATTCAAAATTTCAAATAATTAGTATTGATTATTGCAGTATTCGATACGATTAAGAAGACATCAAGAAATTGCATCCAATTTCAATCATCGCTACCGCTATCCGTAGAAAAACACAAACAATTTTTAATTAACGGTTTACCGAACTGGACGTCCACAATAATAATCATATTGTTTTTGTACAATAATTAATATAACTCATATATATTGTATATTATTATATTAAACACTCAACTCGGTGCAATGACCAGATAAAATCGGTTAAGCGAAATAAAAAAAAATGATGACTGTATGATTAATGACGGGGAACGGCTGTAAGTTAATAAAACCATAGTCATAATTTATCCTCTGCTGACTGCTCCAGAGTCCAGATAGTTATTAAAAGTTCCGAGGTCGACATAGTAATAAAACAATATAAACGACGACAGTGAAATAATATGATTTCAATTTTCATCAGACGGTTTTCACAACAACCATCGTTTGGCGTTCGTGTGGCGAGTAGTAAGTCAATTAATTTATAGTCATATGTTTGTGTGTGTATGATCGATGTGGCAATTAGCAAGAGAGATAACTATATAATATATATATATATATTTTAATAATAGTGTATTGTGTAATAATATAGCGGCATATGAGTTGTGGCATCTTTTAATAATAATATTTTTTGTTTCGAATAAAAAACTTTAAAGGAATACACGGATACACCCTTAATCCTTATCACGATTAAGTTGTTTTGTGATAAGAAACCAAGCGGGCTGCTGATCGGATAGCCGCTGCTGTTTGTTATTGGTCGGTCGATTTGCACAGCCGATCCCGGATCCTTTACGGGCAACGGGCTTGTTTTGAGCTTTGCTCTCAATAGTGAAATTCATTCATCGTCGAATCGTTGATCATGACCGAACAAAAGGAATTCGGATTGCCGTTTTACGGTAGCGGTTTGGTCGTCAAAGGATTCGGACGAGGATCCAAACACTTGGGTATTCCAACAGGTCAGTGACACACCAACGACAACAACAAAGATAATATCTAACAAGCGTTAATTATTGTTATTCGGTAGTAGGTATTCTGTTCGCGAATGCACCCCCGCAGCTATTGTATAATATTTCATATTGGCGTAAAACCTTCATTGTCGTGTCCAAAAAAAATTGTTGCACAATAATATTTCACAATACCTACTAGTTAAGAGGGCAAAGTACAACTTGGCCAGTGATTGTAATAATATAATATACCTATGTGTGGCGATGGCGTTCAACGAATTTTCCATTTCATAGAAAAATTTGTTGAATAATATTTTGTCCCGCTTACAAACATCAATGATTATTATTGTGTGGTAACACACATAAGTTTCAGCTATTCGATGGTTAATTTAAAATTACTTAGCGCACGGGTGTTGAAAGGGATTAACCATAAAATAAATCGTGCTCCGGAACTGTGACTATACGGTTCCAAGTGAAACCTACTAAGTTAAGATGCTCTTAAATGTATTTTGATCATACTATAATTAGAAAGATTGGGCATTAAAGGTTAAGTTTAAATTCAATTAGTTATAAATTCCTTTTTCTATAACTTTTTAACTTAACAAGTTATTTTACTGAATAACAGAGTTGCTCTCCAAAATTAAATACTGAAAGTACTTAAAGTAGTAATAATAAAAGTTTACCTAAAAGTTAATAAGAAAAACGCCCTTAAAACTTTTTTCCTCTGTGATTAAGGATGACATAATAAACATATAAGCAAGGTGCAATAAAAAGGTTACATCATTTTTTAAATCCTATTTGAAGTAAATATTTATAAAATAATAATTCGCTAAAAATGCAGTTAAGTGCTCTTGCAGTTTAATATTTTTGTCTTAAATGTATGTGTATAAATTTCTATTGTATGTTTTAATGAGCTAGGTGTAACATTTGCTAAAAAGTTTTGACTAAGATATTTGAGTAAAGAAAGTCGTGGTCATTGTAGCTGAGGGTTGTGCTTTTAGTGTAGAATTCACACACAATTATACAATTATTTTTTTTAATATTAGGATTGATCGGCGTTTTTCTAATAACTCGTTGTTATATATAGCCAAGTCAACAAATTAAAATGAGTTATTAACACTTAAAAGTGTAGATGGAGAGATGCAGTGAGTTATGATTGTTATCTATTCTTTCTATTGCACCACAAATTATCTTCCGTATATTCATATAACTAAAAAGTTAAATGACTAAGAACTCAAAAAGTATTTTTGCTTAACTTTTTACCAACCAGAGACTAACTAGATTTACAATACTTCTCTGACCACCAACAAAAAATTTAAGTTTTACGTCCTAATAAAGGTTTTTTATTTTTTTATTTAACTAAACTGTACTTAATTTATTTGTATTCAGCTAATCTTCATAAAGATGTGATTGATAAGATGCCTGAAGAAATGACGACTGGAGTATATTATGGCTGGGCTCAAGTACAAAACTTTCCTGTTCATAAAATGGTCATGAGCGTCGGCTGGAATCCATTTTACAAAAACGAAGAAAAGTCGATGGTATGTGGTTGCTATTATAGTATTATTGTTATTATCGCTGCAGTATTTAATATGAGTATAATTATTGTTTTAGGAAATACATATACTCCATGAATTTAAAGAAGATTTTTACGGATCAAATCTTAGGATAATCGTCGTTGGATACGTCCGTCCGGAAATGGATTTTGATTCTGTTGGTATGACAAAAATACATTTTTTTAAACCTCCGTACATATTAATTTATAGTGTAGGCACATTTTCCTTCTTTAATTTCAATCAAATAGTAAGAACCTAAAAATAAGGTATTTTTTTGTCATAGTAAGTTGTCATTGTGTTTTTTATAAAAACTAACACTCGACTAATAAAGAAAAAAGAGTTACTCATTTTAGAATTATCATAATGTCTCTAGTGACGACAACAGAGAATTAGAATTTATTATTATGTATTTTTTTTTTTTTAGATGATCTTATCAAGACGATTCATTCAGATATTGATATTGCCAAAAAACAATTAGACCAAAAGAGTTGCCGCACATTTAGCAAGGATCATTTCTTTGATAAACATTCCTGATTTAGGAGGTTGTTTCGTTACATACGAAGTATTATGTAAACGGAACTCTACACAACTGAACATAATATTCCATCGCTATTGCCAAAAGACATTTCAAACCACTTTAGCTCCTTGTGATAATAACTTTATGGCAATTGTGTGATTAAACGATAACATAAAATTAAGTCGACTACATGATATATAGTAGTAATAGTATTTTAAAAATTAGCTTATCAAAATATATTGTTGCATTTACCAACTTGGTAAATCAATTTTTGTTTTACCTGTTTATTCGTTTTTAGAACTACATAGAATTAGTTATTTATATAAAAATATTGTAGTTACCTTTAGTTTAGTTGTTGATCATAGTTTTTAGATTTGTTGCTGAATATTACCAACCAATGTGTACTCATAATTTGTGTGCTTAGACCTACAATAACTACTTATCACTTGAACCAATATCTTTAAAGATTTAGTCTATAGATTATAACTACTTTAATTATATTTAAGTACTTTAATTATAGACATAATTGTCAACTTAAATACAATAATTTGACTTAAAGAAAATGTTTGTTAGTTATTTAAAACATGTCTGGGGGTTTTTTTTTATATTTATTTCTGTTGGGCATTTATAATATATATGCAAATGAAAGGTATTGTTTTATTTTTATAACTTCATTGATATTTTAAACATCTACAGATTTACATTAGTTATAATGTAATTTGTTTATCGACACTGCGTGACGATGTTACAAACATGTCTGCAACCACCTTATTGTTATATCAACTGTTGCACCGATGAAAGTCATAACTCAATTTTTGAAAACGATACAAAAAATAAACTAGATCCATAACGACTACAAACAATATATATTTTATTCAACTTGCTTACATCTTAATTGTTTTTTTTTTTTTTTTTAATCGTAAAAATGATAACAAACTATCCTACACGTTGTAGGAAAACTAAATGTAATTTTTGTACTTGTATTTCTACTCTGAGAGTATCACGCTTGATAGTAGAATTTTATAATACAACACCTTGAGATTATAAAAAATGCAAGCTCTTTAAATACAAATTATAGTTGATAAAAAAAGAAAAACGTTTCTAATAAAATATAAAAAATAAAATAAAATACTGACCACATTAAACTGTGTGCATAATTACACAATTGAGTAATAACAAACGTACATTGCAATAAGTGTTATATAAATAGTTTTTAAAGATAATACCCGTTTGTATACACATATTAGTACGTTAGTATCTATTAACGTACAGGTTAAAAGACAAATAAATTTCTTATAAAAAATAAAGTAATTAAAGTGATTATTTAGAAAAAGTATCCAAAAACAATGACCGCCAAGCCAGCCCAGTAGCACGACAAGAATGACGCACCAGTCGCGAGAGACGCTAAATACCAAATCAATAGAACAATGGACACTTGCAAAGCCACGTTCAACCACATAAGTCTAAAAAAAAAATTAAATATTCATTAATCATATTCCTTGCCAAGTCGAGAACAACCAATGAGCTCTTACATAAAATTTTTCTTGATGGCCGCTTTCAAAGTTTTCTCACTCTCTTTGAGCAAATATTTTCGAACACCTAGTGATAAATTTATGAAAAAAGGCGTCCATTGTACACCAGTGGGATCAACGTAAAACACAGGCTTGTCATCAACACCCAAGTCTTCGTGCAAACGTAATGTACGAGCATTGTCGAATTTCCACTCGTTAAATATGAAAGGAGCGAGTTTGCTGAGTGAACGGTTAACATTTTTGTGCATACGGACCAAACTGAAAAATCATTTATTTAAAATTAAAACTAATCTTATTCAAAAATCAAGCATTTAATATCATTTTTATTTTAGTGAATGTATTTTATTTAAACACTTGATTTTTTAGTCAAGTTTAGTCAAAGAGTTATGCGTTATTCATTAAAATATCAACATGTTGTGTAAATTTAATTTACTTACATGGGACGTCCTCCAGATACTCTTGTGACGGTGTCCAATATATAGGCAGGTATGAAATGAAATATGGCAGATGATATCCAATACATGAACAGATTAGGCAAGAATTTGAGTGTTGGATACCATACGGCACCCTTTATTGGATATTCGTTTAAACTGTCATTCATCCTGGATTGAATATCGTGCCAACGGAAAGGATTGCAAGTGCTGGTAGTGCAGTGAAATACTGGAGTTTGACCAGTCACAGCAGGATCACTAAAACAGTTAAATACAACAATTTAATCAATAGGTCTTACGTTTTGTGAATCAATCACCCGTATTGCCAAAATAGTATTAATAATAACATATAGTATCTTCTAATATGTTACGCTATTTAATTATTTAAACCTTAAATTTTCAATGTTATTAGTTTGGGAGTTTTTTTTCAATACAGGACACACTCATATAATTATAAGCATCTTAAAAAAAAAAGAAATGTACACGCTTGTGATACGTCTTGTCAAAAAAAAAATATATATGTATTAATAATTTATATAAAAATTAGTTAGATTATAAGTTTTTCTCCATATCTTTGGGGTTATTGATTACACCGGCACACAAAAAAAAAAAAGTCGTTTGTGCATTTGACCAGACCCACCTACGGATATGTATTTTGATCCGCTGAATCCGAATTTGAGGTCTGTTTGGCCCGGTTACCCTCCAGATTTAAGTAAAATGCAAAAACCCAAAAATGTAAAAAATTGCGAAAAACTGCAATAACAGCGATGAAAACATTTTTGTGGACCCGGATCAAGTATGTTTTCTTTGTATTTCAATCCGATAAATCTGAATCTAAAGGTTAATTAAGCCCGTTGAGCCGTCAAAATTTAAAAAATTTGCAAAAAACCGAAAAATGACAATTAAGGCAGTTAATTCAATTTTATAGTATATTTTTTTCTTTAAAATAATAGTTCAGGTAATATATTATACTTTTTTCAAAACAAAACCAAATTATTTGTCTGTAATATAGCAATAAATGCTTCCTAATAGTGCACTAATTTGAACTTTAAATAGCTATAACTTTTAAACAACAGTTGAGTATAAAAAATGGTTTTTAACAGTTTTGTCTTCAAAATATTAAATGCTAACAGAATATTTCGAAAAATGTAAGGGATCCCATTTGAATTTCAAAAGTTGATAGTGTGCTTGCGCAAACTACATAAGGTTAAACTTCAGATTTGGGTTCAAGTCATAATGTAAAATATATCATTCATGTTATTTAATTATTATTAAAATATATCTTTATTTGAACATAATAATAAAATAATTAATAAATATAATTAATACATTTGGTGAAAAGAATGGTAAGCTTAATTTAGAATTTACTTAGCAGGGGAGTGCTTGAAAGTATTTTGAAAAAAAAAAATAGCTGCGATTGTAGCCGACAATGTGTGAGATATACTTCAAACATAATACTATCAAAATATCCTTGCTTTTTATGTTTGTGGGATAGTAGGGACAGAAAAAATCACTATATTAAGAAAGAATGGCCAACAAGAGAAAAATTAAATCCAGGTTCTCACAATGTTATACGGAAATCAATGATTGATCCCTCTAAATATTTGCTACCACCACTGCATATTAAGTTGGGTCTTATAAAACAGTTCGTCAAAGCTCTTGACAAAGATGGTGATTGTTTTCAGTACTTAGGAGAAAAATTTCCAGCGATAAGTGATGCAAAGTTAAAAGAGGGCATTTTAGAACTTTATTTAATGACGCCAATTTTGTTGAAAAAATTAGCGACACGGAGAGAGCAGCTTGGGTAAGTTTTAACAATGTTTCACAGAATTTTTTGGGAAATAATAAAAGTGAGAATTACGAGACTTTAATTGAAGAATTGATGGCAAACTACAAAAATTTGGGTTGCTTGATGAATCTCAAATTACACTACCTGCATTCTCACCTGGACCACTTTCCTGAAAATCTTGGAGACTACAGCGAAGAACAAGGAGAACGATTTTATCAAGACATAAGTGAAATGGAGAGTAGGTATCAAGGAAATTGGAATTTCAACATGATGGCAGATTTTTGCTGGATGCTGAAAAGAGAAATACCAGAAGAAAACAGAAAACGTAAGAGGAACCCGCTGCGTAGGTCATTTGAAGATAAAAGAATTCGAAACAAACGAAGAGCAGTTTGAAATTCAAAAATATTGTTTCCTACCTTCTTTTTACATGTTATTTTTTATAGATTTTAAAATTTTGTCGATTTTCAGATTCTAAGATCATATTCTATCCATAAAAATACAACCAAATCATTAAGAATCGTGTTTAATAGATTTTTTTTCATATTTATAACTGCAATTTATTTGGTTTTTTGAGATTTTTTTTTAATTTTGAAATTTTAATGGACCAAATAAACTTTAGATTCAGATTCAGTGGAACAAGATACATAAAAATTATACTCGATCTGGATCTACAAATTTCTTTTATCTCCATACATTTGGTTTTTCATGATTTTTTGCAATTTTTTCGGTTTTTTGCAAATTTTTTAAATTTTGACGGCTCAACAGGATAATTAACCTTTTGCATTTTACTCAAATCTGGAGGGTAACCGGGCCAAACAGACCTCAAATTCGGATTCAGTGGATCGAAATACATATCCGTAGGTGGGTCTGGTCAAACGACTTTTTTTTTTTGTGGCCAGTGTTATTAAAATTATGTTTGAAAATTATACTCGTCTCACGGATGCTCCATCTCGTGTCGGTTTATTTGATGCTATTCAAAGGGACACGAGGTGAAAGTGTAGAACTAGACGTTACGTTTTTAGACAAAGCTCAGCGAACACTTTAAGAGAAAATTTACCTGGCTGATAACTGTGCACTGTACCACACACTGGATATCATCGAGTTGACCACCACATCTACAGGTATGTAATCGTACACTAATTTCTTATTAACGGGCAAACGTCTGACCACACCCTTGGATGCACCCATTATAAAACCTTGAGGGCCATTTTTCGAAACTGTCCATCCTTCGACAGGTTCTTTCCAAGCGGCAACAACTGTAAATTCAAATAATAAAATTTATACTCATGTTTGTTATTAGTTTTAATTTTAAGATATTGTTTGCGTTTGCAATGGTAAATCTAATTCACTTAAAAAAAGGAACATAAAACCCCCAAAATCCTTATACAGTCATATTTGAAAAATATAAATACTATCTTAAATTATAAGTTTTAGATTGGTAATAAATTATTATTTAATATAGTAATAAAAAATATGATTTAATGCACTAAAAAGAATGAATTTTAAAAATTGCATCGTTTGAAAATCATTATTTGTAATTTTATTGGAAATGGCCTTTGTTGTTAACAATACAATATAATATATTATAATGTATATATTTTTCCAATTAAATTAGTAATGGCTGTACAATATTAAATTATCACACATCTTAGCTTTGATGGGTAGCTGAGAAAGTATTTTTATTTTATAAAATTGTGTGACATTGTATTTACAATTAAACCAATTAAACTGGGTAGAAAAATAATGTGAGATCTTAATAAATAGGGTATAAAAAAAACTAAATTAGTTTAGATAACAACAAATACTTACTCATACTAGGCCGAATTATACAGGTACGGATGTTACTTCTAACATCATTAACAACGTGTTCAGCCAATGCCTTAGTAAATGTGTATGTATTAATGTGATCACCCAAGATTCTAAAACATAAGTAAGATACTATAAATGTATTCAGACTGATTTATTGATTTTCATTAAAATACATAACAAAAAAAAAAAAGCTAAAATAACATCAAGAGCATTAACTTTAGGTTGGGTAACACATTTGTATATAAGTGTTATTTATTATTTACACAGGAATCTTGTGTAGTTTTGACAAAAAAAATAATCATTTTATAGAACGAAAAAAATTATATTATATCACAGAAATGTATTTCATGTATGTTTTTCCCAAATTAAATGTGCTGTTACATATTAAAAACTACAATATAAAGGCAGATCACGTTAGTTTTCAAAGCATTCTTCACACAACAGAAGGTATGTATGTATTTCATGTTCGATTCATAAAACAAGAATGATAGTTAACATTTGTTTACAATTTGTTGGTAACAATGTGTGATATTACAAGTCAAACTTGATGCCCTAGATATTATATTGGGTTCGTTCGCCACAGTACTACCAAATAGACATTGAATTTTTATCTAACATATTATATGATTTGTTTATTTGACTACTATAATTTTTTGATTTGTTCCAATTTAGCTCTTCATAATTTTAGTTTAAAAAAAAATAGATTAATGTACAAACTTTTCAGACGCATTATTCAACTCATTGGCATCCATTGTCTCAACATAATTAATTACATCGTTGTAATTAGCAGGTGCTTCGTAAATTATTTCTTCAGCATAGCTTCTATTAGAATTGACATAAGCGCTCGAAACATGCAACATACACTGCAATACATTGATTCAATTATTTTTTATTATTAAACTATTCTTTTTAAATAGGTATTTATATTTATATAAACATCATATCATAGTTTATTAGACCTTGAAGGCCATCATAAGATGATTTCTTTTCACTATCCTGGACGGCTCATCGATCCGTCGCCGGAAACCGGGATGTCAGCTCTTTTTCACCAGAAGACCTCTTGCCCATCAAATGGAGCACCCGTGACAGAGTGTCGTCAAACAGGCTACAGTAAGTCGAAAAACTAACGCTACACCCACTCGACCACTCCTCCTTCAATCTCTTTCTCTTTACATAAATATATAAGTAATATTATTAAATATGTAAGGCTTACATCTAAATTTTTGATTTTTTTGCTCAAGTCTACCACACGTTTTGTACCCAACAAGTTGATGTTAATAGCAGTTAACAAATCCGTTTCGAAATCTAATGTGGCAGCACAATGAACCACAATGTTCACATTGTCGATCAACATCTTTTCATCGTCGTCGGATAATCCTAGTTTTTCTCCAGATATGTCTCCGTTAACAGGCACAAGCTTGTCCAACAGTGCGGGACCACCCTCCATATTTTTTAACGTCTCAAAAACCTAAAAGATAATAAAATCACAAAATAAACTTTATAACTGTGCATATTCAAAAGGCCTTAAAATACAATTATAAATATCATTTCACAAATACTAGTTCTACAGAAATAGTAATCTTTTTTTTTTATGTAATTTACATAAAATGTTTTTAATTAACAAGAGTTAAATCAAACTGGCAGTATTGAAAATGGTTAGTGTAATTCAATAACCAATAGTTTCAAAACAAAAATGTCAGTCTAGTTAATAAAATATATTATTTATGTTACGGTCGACTTCTCTATTTTATTCTTAGGACAAGGTTTTTAATAAAACAATTTTTTTTTCCAATATTATTTAATGACTATGCTGAGTTACCTTATTAGCTTAAATTCATTTTATTCCCCATTCAAATTTTAAAAACTGTTTTTTTTCCAACATATTTTTAAGGACGAAAATGAATGTGATGTCAGATTGTTGTTCCGCAAAGTTATAAGCTAACCATTTCTTGCTTAATAATTAAAAAAAAAAAAAAAAACCCAATCAAAAGTTTTTGTTAAAATTTGATTCTAAACAATTTTTTTTTTTAATTGACACATTTTTTGATTTGAAAGTTTTTGGTGCAATTAATTTTCCCAGAACGGTTGGAATCCCTTAATATAACTAAATATTAACTTAGTTAAACTTTCATTATAAATACGTATTTTTTTAATAATTTATTTATTAAGCAAATTATAGTTCAAAAATAAAATAACTGACCTAACTAGTCCAAATTGCGACTTTCGGCACACCGATCAGTGCCTATGCTTATCATCTCAGTTTTTTGTTAATAACTAAAAAATTAATAACAATGGAAAATTTCTGTTTTCGCCAAACATTTATAAATAAAAAAAATTATAGATTAATTTTTGAATTAAAAAAAAAACTTAAGTTATTGTTTATAGATTGAAAAACAAGATTGACCGACAAATGCTGACTTCACCATCGTTTTCTTCAGCATCAAAAATACATGTTTAAAATTTTTTTAAAAATAATTGAAAAACTCTCATGAGACGGTGAAATACATTTTATATTTTAGGTAATAAATAACATGACATTGTAATGTGAAATATCACATCAAATTTAAAAATCGGCATGCCAAAATATATTTTTTTGGCTCCCCAGAGAAATAAAAATTAATATAATTTACGATATTTTGCCTTCTACTCGGTTTTCCAATTACACTAAATATGTAGATTAAGTATAAATAAGAGTAATTTTAAATACCAGTATTCAAATACAGAGGATAAAGTATACATTATTAGTTTATTAAAAACAAAATGATAGAGTAAACTACATTTCAATTATTTTCACTTTACTGTCATTACTAATGACATATTTACAAGAGAATAAATAAATCCATAAGACGATTAGAGAGCTATATTTCCTATCTCTGTCCATGTAACACATAGCATAGGAAAGAAGTCGTATTTTTGTTCCAACCAATTGGTCTGAAGATACGATATGGAATTAAAAAATAAAATTGAATTAATTTCCCACTTTACTTATTAAATGTTTAAACTTAAAATTTTCCAGTATTCAAATAAAAATGACATAAAAAAGTTAAATAAAAAATCACACATAAACAAATAAATTAAGAAAATTCGGAAGTCATTCCTCTTTAAACCGCTAGAAGAAATTCTGAGGAATTTATATCAGTTTTCAGATTGAGAAATTGATTGTATTGTCTGTCTAAATTCTTATGATGCACATAAAATGAACACAGATGGAAAATTTCACTCTCTAATCCCCTTAGCTGGTTAGTAGTATATTTTTTTAAAAAAAAAAACTAATTTTTACATGTAATCGTAAAAATATTTTCGAGCGTTAAATTCTATGTATTATTAACACTCGACACGGCTGAAAAAAAAAAAAAAATAAGACTCACCGAATTGTTTTTGATGATTTCAAATCGTTCTTCGACGCTCTGGCCCTTGCGAGCTCGAAGCAGTACGTAAATAATTCCAACATCTGGTAGGCTCCTGATGACTTTTTCCAAATAGGCTACTCCGACAAAGCCAGAGCCGCCGGTCAGGAATATATTCTTGCCGGCATAGAATTGTTTCACTGTTTGGTACGGCATTGCGGTATTCTAATCACTGGCCCTGGAGCATGTAGCGTGTGTGAAAAAAAACAAAACACAAAAAAAAAAAAATTAAAATATTTTTAATTCGTACACAAGAGCCGTCCACCACATACTATTCAATAACCACGTACAGCGAAAGTATAGCCTGTGGTGGTCAATGTACACGCGGAAGTGGTGTAATAAAAAAATCTGGTATTACCTGTTTTGATCAAATAAAGTTCAATAAAACTAAATGGTAAAACGGTAAAAACTAAAAAAAAAGTTAAAGGAAATTTATCTGGGCGAAATTTGTTCGCACTGCGGATGAGAATAAACCACAGTTGCGCGTTGACCGCGAGAAGAGGCCTACTACCGTTGCTGTTAGAGAGAGAGATTAGCAGTAATATTATGAATTATGCATAATATTTTACTATTAAACAGCGCCGAATGTTCTGGAACGAAGCATCAACAGTAGTGAAATGCACGTTAGATACACGCCCTCAGATCTTGGACAACACACGAATTGCGTCACAAAACAAGTTTTCCTTGAGTGTGTGTGTATGTATGTACATATGTGTAGCGTGTGTGTTATTATATTTTATAACGAAATTCGAAACTGTTCGTGAATCGTGTGCGGTGACCACGCGCTGGAGCCGAACGCCAATCGACGGTATTACAGCTGTTATATATATCCATGTACAATATTAGTTTTGTAATTATTATTGTTGTTAAATATACGTAGGCCGGTCGAGACTAGCGGTCTCCCGAGCAATAACCATATTATAGCGACGACTATCACACGACCGGTGCGCGACTTGAATGGAGAAAGTGCCCACGCCGACTATAGAGCGTTCAACGTGGGAAAACCGCGTTATGAATTTAGTATTTATTTGGCACTTACCGCCCCAATAGAAATGAATTGAACGATTTACCGACGATGATGAATTATTATAATATAGATCACACGGTGCTTCGAAACAGTGTAGATGACGACGCTACAAAAAACGAACTAATCCATCCAGTATCTACTATCTCAGCAGCGGCGCGTCGAGGTGCAAAAACTGGTATCCGTGACGTAGTCGCCGTCGGCTGATAACGATATCCGGATACATGATAACGTTATTGCCATTGATAACGTTATTGTCAACACACCATAGATTGTTTTATTGTGATAACGTCCGCTGCCGGTCTTTTTGCCGCCAAAACACAGAACCGCCACCCACAAGTCACAACTGACGTTCAAATATGCCTACACAGAATGCGTGTTACTCGCTCCGTGATGGTTGTAGATGAAAAAAATACATAAAAACAAAACGAAAGATGACAAAATTTTGGAGACAATGTCGTTTTATTTTTTTTGATAAACCTTATATTTAACATTTAAAATCAATTTTTTTTTTTAAATAGCCAAAAAATTTTTTCACATTATTATTTTCAAAATCGGATACTACAACTTTGTCTCCAAAATGTTGTTATCTTTCGATTGATTTTATAATGGATGATTTTGCTTTAAAACCACTATGGACCAAGTAAAACGCATGCGGTTATGTTTAAATAGTAAAAAAAAACATTTTAAATCTCTGCAAAGGCTGCTGTGATAGTCCGATGAATAAATTTACAGTTTACTATACAACAATTTCCTATTACTGAACTAATAATTCTTTGATGCGTGGTCAAAAGAAGTTGAGTCATGGTTTTTAAAAAATCATGTTTTGACTCATTTAGATTTAAAAAAAAATAAACTCGATTTTAGGTACTAACATAATACAAGATAGTTAAGGTGAAAATCGATTGGTATTAAAGATATATTCAACATTTTAAGATCTAAAAGAGTTATGTCAATTTATATCATTCTGATTTAAAAATAAAATTTGAAGATATTTATGGGTCGTCGACTTAAATCATTTCAGTTGAAACATATACAGTTTCCACAATGTCATCTGCATACGCTAACATAACTTGACCATTACTTATCTCCGTCCTTCGGTTGTCGTTTGTGTCTCTTATTATTTTTTCGAGAGCCAAGTTAAAAAATGAAAAGGCTTCTCCTTATTTTAGGCCAGATTTAACTTCAAAAGGATCTGAGATGCCTTACAAATAGCGCACTCAGCATAATGTTTTTTCGTAGCATTTTTTTTATTAAGTTGGGTATTTCCAAAATTACCAGTGCCAATTTCTATATAATTCTGTTTTAGTGGGATTTCCTTTTTTAAATATTTGACATACGATTGCAGTCTTCCATTCCTCTGGGATAGTCTCAGTTTTCATAAATACTACTCTCACATAGCTAATATTATCTTCATTAAATTTGATATTTAAAAACAAACTATAAATTTATAATTATTTTCATCTAATTAAGAAAATGAATAACTTAAAACTAAAAGCATATATTGGTTTAAAAGTGGTACAACAAAGTTTAATGTGTAATAAAAAACCGATTTAGAAAACATTTTCAAACTTTCAGTAACTCCTACTGAAAAATTATTATTTTTAACTTAACACCTTTTGACGGCGCACCAAAGAATTACACATCGCAGTTTAACCTTTAAATAATAATTTTACAAAAATTTCCTAACTCCTTAATAAATAAGAACACCCATTATGACACAACGAACATCGACTAAAGAGCTAAACAGGGTCAACGGTTCCTGATGAGTGATGTATAAGCTCTTTCAGTATATTTTATTCTATTCCCAATGGCCAAAAACACATACACGCCGTGTGACGTGTGTTGCATAGACGATAACCTTATGAATAAGACATAAGTACGGAACAAACAACAATTATTATAGCCTATCGTACAGAATAATATGATTTCACATTAATACAATAATTGTCAAGGCCACTATTTTCGTGTGCAGTAGCAAATACATTGGAGATCTATTATAATGTATAGTGTACAATGTATTGTGTAAACAGTTATAGATATCCTACCTTTTCCCTTTCAAAATCGAAAAAATATCCAAAACTTCAAATTTAGACACTTTAACTTTCAAAATTAATTTAGTGTACTTTTTAGATATACATTATACCAAACAAAAACCTAACCGTAAACCGTGTCAAAAGGGGCAAGTTCCATGCCCAAAAAAAATCAACCTACCAAAGTAGTGATATCTAAATTGTGGCCAATTCTGCTCTTTCTTTAGCCCATAAATAACCTCACTTCACTTCTACTTTCATTAGCAACACTACTTCTTTATTGGTATTGCTTAACACTTGGCCAGTTTCTGAATGAGATACAGCATTTTTTCTCTTGTAAAATTGTTATAAATATATTATGAATTTGTGGTATTAATATTTTAGTATTCACAGGGCGCGGTACATAACTCAAATGCGATTAAATGTAACAAACAAATTATTTAATATATTATTATACATTTTGATTGTTATAATGCAGCACAGTTAAGATAATAACCATAACATTAAATTATAAATGCAAGTTGTACTATGATGTAGCACGTCTTCCCATGACTTTCTAGAATAGGTCAATGCTCCCTACACCTACACCTGTTTCAGGACTCTTACGGAACGATTTTCTCATGAATTTACAATTATTAGTTAAGACACAGAAATAATAAAATCATAAATAATAAGTCTTTCGATACATAATTGGAATGCAGTAGAAAAGGAATAAAATAAAAGTTATCACTTTTACTTTATTCCCCTATTATGGTCATAATTTTTGGATCTGATTTTAGTCTGAAAATTATATGTATAGTTTCTCCTTAGGCGGGTCACTATCCAATCCGCTTTACTTGGAAAATCGGTTAAAATATTTAAAATAAAAACTTGCGTTTTATCAAAACTGTTTATAATTAGCTTGATTTAAAACTGATTTTTATTTTTCCTTTTCATATTTTCTAAAAAAAAAAATTATTATAGCTAAAAAAATACAAATTAAATTTGTATGAAATTGAATAAACAACAAGTTTAATAATGATCAAGTTAAAAATATTAATTTTTAAAGTAGTTTTAAAAGGTTACATTTAAATTTCATATAGCAACCTAGTACTTATAAGATTTATCTATAGTCAGCCAATAAAGATGTCATGAAAGCAGACTATCTGATAACCCGTTTTGGATAATTACTTTTTAAGTTATTAGTGTGCATTGATCCGCACAAATTACTCACCTAATTAATACTAATAGCTCATAAAAAAGTTATCCAAAACTGATTAGCGACCAGACACTATTTTCATTACACGATTGTGCTTTTCATAGGTAAATCTAATTGAATTTTAAAAGTTAAATTAGTTTAATATTTTTAACTCGAATATCATAAATCATTTTTAGCTTAATTATTTTAAATGTTAGAAAATCCTCTCTCCTCACTGCCTATGGATGGAACACATACACTTTGGTTGTGCTATTTCAAAACTAGGGATGCTAAGCACACCTAAGCTCCCCCCCCCTCCCGAATTGCACCTATGGATGTATCGTTTTTTGTGTATCTTTAAAAACTTTAGAACCGTTTGACTAATTTCGTCCATCACAAAATGTATGCGATCGGTACTTGTAAATGATCAAAAATTTACTCCTTCATCCTTAAAATCATGAAAAAAATAATGTTGATAATTGTGCAGATAACCATAAAAACGAGTAATGTGATCTATGTAGTTATTGATAAAATTGTTAAACACATAACAATATGTTTATAAACCAATAAAGTAAATGAAATCATAATTATTCGACATAGTGATCAAAAACATGCTAAACTATATTTTTTAATACAGAACACTATTATAGGCTAACATACAATGGGAATTCTCCATCTTGAGAGACTACCTTTTAAGCAACTGAACTAGGCCTTAAATCCTACTCCCAGTCAATAATAGCCATACAAAGTAATAATAAAAACTATTAACTATGCTTACAATTTATAAGTACAATGAGCACACAAGTATATAACAATTTGGCGCTAATAGGCAAACGTAGCAATTATAGTATAAAAAACACGATTCATGGTTCGCAATTATTAATAAAACGAATCATGTATCTTAAGGCACTCGGAACGTTTGCCATAAATTAATTTGTTCGTTTAATCATTATCGTTTTTGTTACTTTGTTTTGGCTATTAAGTAAAAAAACGATCGCCATTACAATTAGAAATAATTATGACATGGAAAAAAAAGTAAAAATAAAACGTCGGATGAAGTTACATTATGAAACTTACATAATATTATACCATTACATTGTATATTCGAATGCCAATAAAATATCCAATTTTTTTTCTATTATAATAATGATCACAGAACAAATTAAAATAAGTACATTCAATATAATAAAATTTCAATATTTTTAAATATTTAATTAAAATTGAAAAAAATAAAATTATTATAAACGTCGTTATTATGCGACGACAAAAGCCTTTATGACATTATGGTTTTTTTTTTATATTCATTTTTAAAGGGAAATTTTAGTTTAAGAGAAAGTATAATAATGAACCTATACTCATCGTTGTTAAATATGTATATATAATCGTTTTTAGAACCAAATCTACAAGTTAAAAATCTTTATTTATATATATATATATATGCAAAAGATGTTGTAGTTAAAGTGCTACCGATTTATTTTTTATGTACCTGTTTTTTATGCATAAACGTGCACTGCTTTCTAAAATAATAATTATTATTCAATTAGGACATCTCAATTAGCAAGTCGTGCGTTTAGTTAATATTGCAGCGGTCTTAGCGATATCCTTTAAAGTAATTACCACCTTTATGTTAAAGCCTACAGCAGTATTCAAACTGACCAAAAGTGTTACCTTTCTATAATCTTAAAGTTAACCTCCTCCCTCCTTCGCAAAATATAGACACTATTGGCCGAAACGGTTTAATTACACTATATAGATATAATACTTAGCAAGATAGTAGATCCACAATATTCACACATATTTAAGCAAATTGTCTTAGTCATAACTATAACAATTTCCAAAAAGTTAGGTAAGTATGAGATTTAACCAAAAAGATCATAGATTTATTATACTCATTATAATATAATGAGTATAATAAATCTAAGTATAATATTATTATACTTAGTTTTTTATATCATGTTCTGTTAAAAAAATGTCGATTTTTACGAATATTATCCGTAAATCCTACTTCTTATTTTTACTACAACCTAACCAAGAGTTTCGGCTAACAAAATCAAGTCGCTAAATGAAACTTTAGGGCTTTCTATGAAAAAAAAAAACAAATTAACAGATTTAAATATAGATTTTATTTAGAGTTGGGCATAAATCGAATTCAATTTTATTTAGGTAAAATTTTTATCATATGAACAATTAAATTTAATTTTTAATTAGGTAATTTGTTTATATTATTTTTTGTGCTTAATAAAAAATTATTAAATAATATACAGTTATCCAACTTTCTACTTAACAAATAAAAAATTGAAAAATTAGTTTCACATAAAACAATTATTACATTAAATGGTTTATGTTCAAGTTTAAATTATTATTTTAATGAGTAGTCCGTCGTTTTAGACAGAAACTTTCAAAAATCAAATAGCAGTATACCTTTTTTGATTTGCTTATCTGTAATCAGATAATGTAAAACCAATGTCTGCTCGACAACCAGTTTCCATTCAACACTTCTTAAATAATTAAGTATTAGCGTTTAAAGATTTGGGCTTCGGGAAGGTAAACTGCAATGTTAATTATGTATATCAATAAGCGTCAAGCACTTAAAGTGGCACTTCTTTCCTTATTTAAAGTTTTCATGCTAATAACCCAAAAAGTATTTATTTAAAACTGTTAATATTTTTAACTTGAAATATTTTTTTTATTATTCAATACAATTAACAAGACGGACATCTCACATCCTAACCGTATCATAACATACATGCTGCTCGCAAGTTATGTTTACTCCCACGGGGACGCCAAGTCAAGGGCAACAAAAAAAAACGCATTGGAAACATTAGATTAGATTATCTTTAAAAGATGTACTTATTAGAAAACAAAAATACGAAAATAATAAAAAAACTTGACCAAACCCGCGTTTTAACTCATTTCCTGCTGAATAAAATAATAACATGACCTTTTTTTTTAATTGTATTTCTTAAGTATATGTAATTAAACTTAGTTTGTATTTCAATTTCCTATATTTCACCGTAACAATTTAAAACAATTAAACACCTACCGACCAATTAGTGTTTCGAATAAATTACACTGTCGTGAGGCACGAGAGGCCACCAGACTGGCCAAGGCAATCTACATTTTCAGTTAGATAAAATCATTTTTTTTTTTAAAATACCTCCAAGTTTTGCCGAGTTCCTTGTTTATATTTTGAACCGGCTGATCTATTTAGAGATAAACACTCCTTTACTTGGAAAAGGATTACAATTTTACAGTAATTCTTTTTTAAAACTTTTTTTTAAGTTATTATTGTACAATACTAGAAGATATCCAACATCAGTCGTAAGTAAGATTCAACTCACTTAGCCGTCAATAGATCTAAAGTTATTGAACGTACAATCATGATAGTACACTTAAAAATATATTCTATTATTTTATGCAAATGCATACCAGACATTTTTCTACACAGGTTTACTTGGGTATTTGGGTACCAAACTCTTTGATTTTTTAGTAATGTCGAATATTTGATTAGCTGTGGTAAATGGACTTAGTGCTCAAGTTAAAACACCTTTAAATCCAAACATTCCTTAAGGAGACGTGAATCCCCCTATTTATTAGGTATAGGCAATTTGTTGCAAAATCTTAATTTAAAGCTTAAATTGTAATGTCTAACTATTAGACTAATAACAAAAATTCTTTTTAAGCAGTTCATTTATTTTTCGGACTATCACAGCATCTTCGTCAGCGATTTTAAATATTTTTTTCGTCTAACATAATTTTCTAATTCCAAAAACACGGCTTACTGAATGGTTTTATTGTTTAAAAAAAAACCCTATTATAGAAGTTGTAGGTGAGAACTTTTTTTATGTTTTGTAAGAAACCAACTTTATAACTTATATCCCTGCGTGCGTTGTAGACTTCATATACCATTGGAAATACTAAAGTACTATTTTAGTGCTATTATTTTGGGTATGACGTCCCCTTAAAGAATTAGATTGTTTCTGGCTTTATATTTTAAAAGTACCAACATTAATATAATATTAATCAATAATGTTTTTATTTTTTAACGAAAAAAATTGAAATTATAACATGCATTACGTTTTGGACATACGTTTCTTGCTCCGTTTTGCAGGTCCAATTTTTCGAAAGTTTTAAGTTCACCTTGTGGCGAGGTAATGTTAAGACTGTAGTATGGAGTAGGAAAATATAAATATATCAGCTACTTGCTGTCCTCTTGTACTCTTGACTCGCCTCTAAAATTAATTTAATATTGTCAATATCAGCAGGAACGTTCGAATTTTCAAATTTGGTTACAGATTTGTTTTGAGTCTGAAATGCAAGCAAGAATATTATAATAAACTAATAAATTATTTTTTAAGAAAAAAAATTGAAATTATAACATGCATTACGATTTGGTCATACGTTGCTTGCTCTGTTTTGACAGTACAATTTTTCAAAAATTTTAAGTTCACCTTGTGGTGGTGTACTGTTAAGACTGTAGTATGGAGCAGAAAATATATCTCTACCAGCTACTTGCTAGACTCTTATACTCACCTCTAAAATGTATTTTATATTGTCAATATCAGCAGAAACGTTCGAATTTAGGTTACAGATTTGTTTCGAGTCTGAAATGCAAGCAAGAATATTATTATATACTAATTAATTCGTGTTATGTGAACTTATTTAGAATTAATTTTTGCTATTGTTATAACGCGATATTATTGTTTGCCACGTAATTCTATCATTTTTGGCACTAGTTTCTAATTAAAATATCTACTCAGGAAATTATTTACAAAATAATATGCATATTAATAAAGGAAATTTGGAAAAATGGACAAATACCTCAGGATTGGAAATCGGCAATAATTTGGCCAATCTATAAGAAAGGAGATCCAATGGACACAAAAGACTACAGGGGAATAGGCATTACTAAATCCGAATTTCGACTACTTAGGATGGTCCAATTTCAATTCAGTAAAGACACGAGTTCTTTGGTAGGAAATATAATTTTGAATTTTTGCTTTTTTTATGAAAAAAAAATGGGTTTTTATTTGAAAAAAGTAGAATCTCTTTACAGAATTGAAATTGAACCATCCTATGTTGTCGAAATTTTGTCTGGCTTTTTGTTAAAAAACAAACCAAAATGGCCTTTACTCGCAAAAACAATTATTTAAATTAAAAATAACACCATGAAATTTATACAAATTAACCGCTAAATTAACTGTCATGGTCGGAATTGATTGAAACCTCTTTTTTTCTTAAATATTGCCTTTACAAAACTCCTAAAAACAGACCGCGTGCGTTCTCCTTAACGTTTAACGGTAGTAGGTATTATTTCTAAAAAAATATGGCATATTTATTCGAAACTAATTGAACTATTTTTAAAAAAATTATAGGGCACCGTAATTTTTAGTTGAAAAATATGTACATTTTTTGGGAGTTTTTCACAATTTTAAAGGGGTGAACTTTTTACATTTCGGCCCCATAAAATAACTTTTTGTACGATTTTTATAGACTTGCTACACAAAGAAATCTGTTCAGCGGTTTAAAAGATATCGTGGTTCCAGAAACAAAAACAAAAACACATCATTGTAAAAACAATACATTCACAGCTCCGCGTATCTAAGCTAAAATCTTTAGATAAATAATAAAATATTTTATGACCTGAAAATTGTGATAATACGACATGCATTGTCGCCTCTTACAAAATCAATACTCATCAGATTTGTATAGATACAAAGCAAAAATTAAAAGATAATCAGCTACTGGTTGGTGGTTACTATTAATAAACTAGTGAAAGACAATATGATTAAACAGTGCTTAGAAAAGTTAAAGTACACACAAATGTAAATACACAGTGTGTAGACATTTTTATTATTTCATTCCCCTACAACAAATAACAATAACCGCGACAAAATATTGGTAACTGCACAATGCACTTATTACTACAAAACAAACAAAGAAAAGTATTAAAACTAAAGGATACTATAAAAAAAAAATGAAATATACAATATTTTAAGTTCACGCGATGACAATTAAAAAAAAATGTAAGTGTAGAGAGTCGAGAATCCACTGTGAAGTCGTTAGGTTAAATACTAAAAGAACATAATAGGCAAGTTAGGAAATATACATAGCAGGTGATTAATTTGAAATACACTACACACGTATTATCTAGCAATAATAATTGTCTTTTTTTTTTTTGTAGTTTCTATTAGCGATCGATTTAACGAATTTAGTTTTATAAAAAAAATCATAATTATTTATTAGTAAAATCAGTGTTCGAATTGAAATTTTTTTAAAATTACAATAATTAAATAAGTTATTTTAGAAAGAAATAAGTCATAAATACCAAATTTTCGGAAAAAAGTAAAAACCGTCATGGGCGACCTAAAGTGGTACACAGACTGTGCTATTTTAAACACATAAGTTTAAGTAGAAGAATGGTTTATACTCACATCTCTCTTCAGAGAATCGAAAAAGGCTAATCTCATTTTGTCATTTTTTATAAGTCTGATTAAATTCTAAACGTTTTTTTAAAATAAATCATTAGTTTCTATTTTATAAATTGATCAACGGGAGCAAGATGTTTATCAAGCTACTCCCTCCTAACATGCTATGGACTTATTAAATCGAGCGTTTTTTATACTGCTTAGAAACAAATATTTTTAAGTAAAAAAAACACAGGCACGCTGACAATAATAATATAATGTATAAACAATGATATATTATATGATTGGTGACAAAGTACGAGTAGTATTTTCCTCATTTGCAAAAAAAAAAAAACATCCAAGCCACCATTTATTTTGTCAACGTATGCTCATTTTATACACTAAAGTATCCACTGATGGTATAACATGATTGCATATATAATAAAAACAAAATTAATTCAATTAAGTAAAATGTCAAAACCTGAAACCGTATCAAAGACGACAACATTTAAGCCAAAAACAAGTCCCGTGAAAAACTACATGCAAGACGGCACCTGACATAGGCAATTCATAGTTACAGACTGAGTGTTGAGGTGCATAAGTGAAATGTCTAACGGTAAAATGCATTTAAAAAATCAACGTTGTCCATCGTCGGGAGTCGAGTAGGCATTATTGTGGTAATGTAGCTAGATTGCCAAAGCAGAACGCCGTACAAAATAATAATTAGGGCTCAAACTTTATTCCTTAAGCAATTTTTTATTAAAACATGGAATTCATTGCCAAATGAGGTGAACACACACATTCGTCTCAAGAAAATTATATGTAGGATACAATAGTTAATTAGTGCATTTTTTTGGATATTGTAACGAAGTTAAGGGGAGTAAATTTTCATAAGGATATGAATAAAATTATTTTTACTATAGTAGCTAGTTGGTATTGGCATAATTATAATAATATATAGAGCTGAGCGGCTATCGACTGCTATCGACAGCAGCGTGGTGATGGCAATTTAGTATTTATTTTAATGCCTGGATGACGAATGGACAATAATTGAAGCGATAATACTTTGAGTTGAGATTAGACGAATACACTATGACATTTTGTCAGTACATGTGCGGTTTTGGTATCGATTATAACGCCGTAGGTTTCTCTTTTTTTAAAAACAATTAGTAGTTAATACGTCGTGTTTAAAATGCAACAAATTCGTATAATATGTAAGAACTTGCCGAAAATATATTTTCTATAGAAGGACAAATTATGTTGTGTAAAATGGACGAAAGAAAACCAAGTTGCGGACAAAGGTAAATTAATTTGCCACATTTGAATTTTGAAACCTGAAAAACTTGTTTGAGCAGTTCATCGTCACTCAAAGCAATCATCAACAACACAACAGCACAACATATAGTTTAAAAAAATTATTAAAAAAAGAGGCACCTGATGTTCCATTTCCTTAAGAAACAAAAATCACAATATAGAGCAACTGAATTAAAAAAGTCAATTAAAAAGCACAACAATTTGTGGAAAATCAAAGAACAGAATACAATTTAACTTATACTCATACACAAATTATAGGGTTTTGCCAGACATTAAAACCAATTTAGAAACACAAGGTACAACTGTATGCAAAGCTATACATGTTGTACAAAATGCAGAAACGAAAATAAATTAAATATCAGGCAAAAGTGATCTGGTTGTACCCTAAAAACAGAGTTATATTTTTAAAAAAAAAACTGATTTGGAATGTAAAAAAAATACTTCTGCTATTTTTAATGAACAAATTATTTGAGAAATAATTCACCAGAAGATCTTACATCAAGTGATTTTCCATACTTCAAGTATCCACTAATTAACGTCAACAGATGTCGAATGAAGTTTTTCCATACTCAAAAAAATGTTAAGATATTACAAGTCTTTACAATAGTAAGAAAACTTGAAAAAAAATTCTTGTGGTGCAATGCAACAACCAATTATAGTTTTAATTAAATGTGGTAACTATATTCGATCAACATTTTTTTTAAAAATACTTACTTTTAAAAATGACAATTTACTATACATCATAGATAAAATAAAAAAATAAAAATTCCCATTAAACACATGCAAATACTTGAAACATAAAACACTCAAAATCTACAAAAAGATTATTCTCTGAACATAAACTATACTAATAACTAAGACCAGTTTACACAAAAGTAACGTGTTATGGTTTCTGCTCAAGTATGGTCCCTAGTGGAACAAAGTATAGTAGAATTTGTTTGGCCACTCATTATCCTAAGGGTAAATTAATGAAATAAAACTCGGGAGGGAAAACAATTAAATAAATTGGGGAGGTCCTTATTTTGTGTCTGGTCGAATTTTTAAGCCACTGCCTATACAAATGGTTCAAAAGAACAAAAAAATATTATGTTCCATAATTTTTGCGGATATTTCAACCTTAAACCGTTTCTCTAGGAGGGGCGGATATTTTTTCTGATTTTAATTTTGCTTCTATTTTTAATTAAACATTTTTTTAAAATTATATTTGAATTGAGTTAAAGAAAATTAGTTAAGGGAAATCACTCATTATACCCTACGAAAAAATGGTTAAAATGAAGTACACAAACTTCAGAAAATTATAATCCAATTGGTTTTAGTTATAGATAACACAAAATAAACACACTTAAGGGGAAGACTAAGGGGTGAAGAAAAACAATCTAAAAAATTGAGAATTTTGTTATTTTTAACCAATTGAAAGGGCGGACGATAAAAAGTTCAATCGGACCAAAAATAAGGACCCCAAAAAATACTAATTTACATAGAAATACACCAACATGAGTGTAGTAACGCCTTTCCCTAAAAGCTATTTTTCCAATACTTAAATGGTCTTTACCTACCCACCTAGACCATGCGATGCAATTTTGCCAAGTTTTTTTATTATGTTAAATAATGGTAAATGTTTTTGATTAAAGAGCCTCTTCACCTAGGTAAATTTTTTAGTCGAAAACACCTCAATTTCATGCAAATAGCTTTGAAAACAGATATAAATTTATCAATACTTCCTTGGTGTATCGATCAAAGTACATTTTTCATTTTTATTTTTATTGATATTTTAAAGTCATAAAAAAAAACTTTATAAATTGCAACTTTTCACATAGAAATTATTAATTAAATAAAAATTATTTTAAAATTATGGCACAATCAATATCTTGTAAATGTTATGAAGTCTAAATGTTTTTTCTAAACTTAAATGAAAGAATTTTTAGTAACAAGTTCGAAATAGAAACATATGTTTTTATACAAATATAGGTACAGTAGGTATGCATTATAAAAGTTGAAAAGAAAATTAAATATCAAAATAGATCCCTGAATTGTAATTTATCCTTTAGAAAGGACAGTGATAGTCTGACAAAAAAAACGGCAATCAATAAAGTATCCCCATTACTACACTCCTCAACACTAGTGTTCTAACTCTCAATTAGATTGAGATATTCAAATTTTGTAAAAAATTGCCTATACTTTACTCCTTAAAAATACACGGAGTGACGTCCTCTTAAGAGGATTAAAAGCAAGCTGGTTTTAAGGGGTTTTAATTAGACAATATTTGAGAAAAAAGTGGTTTTAAAAATGTTTTGGACGTGTCAATTTTTTTCAAAATAATTTGTATACATTTTAAGAGTATAATTTTTAACCTATCCTTTTATTTCAACAAGTAAAAGCCGTTTTGTTCTTACAAGAAACCAATTTAGACCTAAAAGCCTGACAAAATTACACCTCCATAGAAGTAGAGATTTTGTCTAGCTTTTTGATCTAAATAAGCCAAAAATAACTTTCACTCATAGAAAAAATTATATAAATTAAAATAATACTCAAGGTAAATACAAATTAATTAACATAGTTGAAATTTATTAGGACCTTTTTTCTTAAATATTGCCTATACAAAACTCCTTAAAAACAGACATCATGCAATCCCCTCAATATATATTATTATACATTAAATTTACAACAATTTTAGCTTTATGTTAAGTTTTAGTGAACAATTTCCTGAACAATGTGCCTTAATAAAAGCTAGAGTAGTATCATCTTAATATATATTAAAAAAAAAAAATACTGCATTATAAAGCTTATCTAGTACAAATAAGGAAAGTCAAAAATTCTTTTTCACTACAAAAATCTCTAGATCTATAAATCACCATCACTATACATACTACACACATCTCTGTTTTTTTTATAACATTCAATAAACATTTTTTTTGGTTACACCTACCTCTAAATCCTTCTACATTAATATCTTTTACTTCAGTTTCCTGTCTTCTTTCAACATGCCCAACCATCTTAATCTATTCTCTTACATTTTTTTTCCTGCTATTGGCACAGCTCTAAACTTCTCTGAACTTCTCTTAAATACTTATTCCTTATTCTGTTTAACTTAGTAAAATACTCCACACACCTCACTCATTTGAGCTTCCTCCTTTTTCTTTCACTCTAAATTACACTTTTATGTCAAACAACACATATGTTAACTTTAGCATTTTACCCATCTTATCCAACCATATTTTATTCTACCTACCATAATTACATACCTCACCCCCCAAGTACTTAATTTATCATATTTACATAAAACATATACATAATAACACATTTACAACTAACAGCATTCTAAGAATTACAGGACTATTGTTTCCAAACATTTTTATTACATAACTATATATTTCAAAGGTACTTAACTTTATTACATAATTATACATGAACTAAAATCTATTAAGCTGAAATAAAACCATTATGTCAAAAATTAACAATTTGTTAAGCATTAATTGTTGAAATTTTAAAACCTATATAGTCTTTTTTATTGCTATATTTTAAACATTATTTTCAACAAAAAAACAAATAGTATAAAAACTATCCATTTTCAATGCAACACAGATAATATTTAAATTCCATTAAAATTTACAAATAAAATATAAATACTATCTAGTCTTAAACTTAGATTAAATCTACACAGACTTTTATTATGGTCTTTTATACATCAATATGAAATAAGACAGCAGAATGTTAATGTGTATTTGAAGGTAGAAGCAATGATTATTAGTTACCTTATCTTAGTTTATTTGTTTATGATATTAATTTTTTTACTTGTTTAGTTTTCAAGTGATTTTTTTTTTAAGTTTGTATAATTTATGTTAGTATGAAGTAAAATAAGTTTTAAGAAACTTAAGAAGTCTGTTGGATGTTTTTTTTCCTTGAAGAAATTAGGGGTTTGTTAAAAGTAAAATATCTTTTAGCCATTAATGGCTTTGTGATAGTTAATTATTGATTGAACCAAAATGTGTTAATTTTGAATTAAAATGTTTATACAAAATCTAGATGTTATGTCATGTTTTTAAAACTTTATCTACAGCTAATGCCTTGATTAAATATTATTTTTGAACATGTAAAATATAACAGTTTCATTATAAATCTCAAGTTCTTATCTACAGAACTTTATATAGCAGGTAATATTATTAAAATGTAGAAAAAAAACATAAGTTAACCAAAGTAGTTTAAGATTTTTAAGTTAAGCATTGTTCAGATAGTTTTTAAAATGAATACACAATGTACATAAAACTACTTTTAACAAGACCATTGACAATTACAATACTGTTGAAATTTTAATTCTCTACCTAAAACTATACTTTTCTAGATGAGCAGAGTTAAAATATATAAACATGTTTACCATAATATAACAGAAGAGTTCCTGTTGCAAGCAATATCATTCATTTTCCATAACAGATGTTTTCACTGCAACTAGTTTACTCTGACCAAACAACTGAAAAGTAAAAAGCTCCTGTTTGATATTTGATTTTACAGTCCATAAAAACTATTTACATACCCAAAAACACATCTTGTAATCATTTCAATCCAGTTTTTGAAAAACAATGCCATTTTTGCTTAATTATACTGCTGATGTTGAATGCAACAAATTTTTTCTCCTAACTTTGATCTGAAACAAATTATTGATATACTGAAACCATGCATGACTTAATATTAGGTATCACTATGACAAAAACATATGTAAGTACAATGATTTACACTGCAGAAACTCAAAACAGCAAAACTAAACATGCACAATGTGGTTTTGTGCTAGAAAAACACAAAAAATGTGTCATACCTAAACACTGGCATACACAATATATTACAAAAACATTGAAAACAGAATTATGAAACACCATTATGAAGCATGTACAATGTGGTTATGCACTAGAAAAATACTGAAAATGTAACATGCCTAATCACTGGCATACACAACTTCAAAAAAACTACAATTTTGAATACATAGTGTCATACACAATATATTACAAAAACATTGAAAACAGAATTATGAAACACCATTATGAAGCATGTACAATTTGGTTATGCACTAGAAAAATACTGAAAATGTAACATGCCTAATCACTGGCATACACAACTTCAAAAAAACTACAATTTTGAATACATAGTGTCATACACAATATAATACAAAAACATTGAAAACAGAAATATGAAACATCATTATGAACATGTACATTATGGTTATGCATTAGAAAAACACAAAAAATGTGTCATGACTAAACATTGGCACACAGAACTTTAAAAAACTACAATTTTGAGTACATAAAGTGTCATAAAAAATATAATATAGAAACATTGAAAACAGAATTATGAAGCATATACAATATTATGGTTATGCACTAGAAAAATACTGAAAATGTAACATGCCTAATCACTGGCATACACAACTTTAAAAAACTACAATTTTGAGTGCATGAAGTGTCATACACAATATAATAAAGAAACATTGAATACATCACTATGAAACATGTACAATGTAGTTATGCACTAGAAAAACACAAAAAAATGTGTCATGTCTAATCACTGGCATACACAACTCCAAAAAAGTTACATTTTTGAGCATATAAAGTGTCATGCACACTATATTATCATAGAAACATTGAAGACTTGATGTGTGATGAGAAATATTACATGTTATAGCTACCAGACACCAAACTTCAAAACAGGTACACAGTGTAATTCATTGCAACTACAATCATATTATTTACTTATGCTCAAAGCACAAACCAAGTGTCTATACTTTATTGACACACATAACAAAACTAACACTAACTCGGTGGTGATGTTGCATTTCCACAGGGCGACATTGCTGCTGCTGGACTGGCCTAAAAATCACTCGAGGCTTTTCGATTTTCGTGTGTTGGTTTGCGATCGAAATACGACGGTTGACTAAATATAACAACGACGACGGTGTCATTTCACGACAATATTCAAGTTGTAAACAATGCACCTAGTTTGGAAATCGGTGAAACGCCTTTCTCGGAAACTGGCAAGAGACACGGTCAAACAACGTCGGTCTCGACTTCATCCCTACGTTTTTTTACACGGCCTAGGTTCGACGACGGTTGATTTCGATTTTCGGTATTTTATTATTTGTTTCGTTTCCGATCGTTTGATCCGAATTTCTACCCGGCATTTGTACGGCTTCGGATGTGCCCGACGACGCCATTGTCACAGCGATATTGAAATACAAGAACACCATAATACGGAGCCGGTCAGCAAGCAAACGGCTTACATAGACGCGTTACACATAGATTTCTTCAATACATATCGCAATTGTCTTTCAGCAATGGCGACATTTTTAGCACAGACCGAGACGGGAGACCCGAGAAATGGCCACCGCGGGCTTAGGCTGGAAAAATAAAAACGGTTATCCATTTGTTTTGGCTATGGATGTTTTTTTCCATTGTTAGGCGACCACGAAAACTCGATGAAGAAAAATTCGAGGCGGGAACTTTTTGTCACAGCAGTGACAACAGAAATTTAAACTATCTCTACTCGGTCGAGGGGGTAACCGTTGACATGGCGTCAGATTAATATCAACAATGTTTTCTTTTTTTTGTGGTAGTTCTCCACTATCAGTAAACCGTTTGGCACCTCCTCCTGAACCTGACAACAAACCGGAGTTTCGACGAGGGTACCTTAGCTTTTTCTACTAAAATTCCCGGATATTGGTAAACAAAATTTGATTAACTGGTGGGGTGTTTCATCGGCCACGTCGACACACGTAGCTGCCAACTCAGCCCACACATCATAGTATTTTCTATATCCTCCTTTTTATTTTATCCAACGTCACGTGATAGCATCGTGAACTGTATCAGCCAATGCGTACAAACTTCTAGGTTATGTATTACGCGTATTATATAATATTATATAATGATTTTTTACGGGAAAAAAACACAAAGCCACTCGACAAACGCCTAAAAAAAACGTGTTGCCTCTTGCCCAATACTCGTTGTAATGGTATTTCGAAACCGCACTTTGGCGTCCCAAAGTCCAAAACGACACAAATAATATGATCGCTGTACCCCCGATACTTGGAGAGCTTTCCGCAAAAGCTCTCCAAGTATAATGTATGGACACAACAACGTTTTTTTATTGTATTTCGACGGGTCGCGTTGCCAAGATGGACGGCCGAACAGAGAAATCTTATTGGTGACAAATACCCCTTGTGCAATTTGTAATATTGTACAAGATTTTAATTGTAATGATTCTAATCCGACGACAACGCCTTAAGCTTGTCACTTCTAACTATTCTCCATTTACACAATATTATGTGATCATGTGTCGTTGCTGTTGTACTGCGTATTGGGAAGCCATAATATAATCGTGTTACAACCCGCAAACGGCGCAAACGCACACACTTATACACGTTTGACCTCTAACACAGTAAAAATGGCCGCAACAAAACCGCCTAAACGCATCGATTTTTTAACAAAAAAACCAACGATTTCACTTTCTAAACTTTCAATTAAAAGGTGCTAATCCACACAAAATCATCCCCTGCCCATTTACCTTATATGTATTAAAACCAGTCTACAAACAAAGTTACAATACATAAGAAAACTGTAACAAGTTATTGTTATGTTCACTGTGATGCTTTAAAAATAATATCACGGCTATGGGGTTTGTGAAGCACAAAAAATACCAAAACGATTATCAACGATAATTACAAAATTAATTTATTGGCCTTTAAACAATTTTGGTTGTTCAATAGCATGTTTGTTTATTAATTTAACAAAATATATTATATTTTTAAGTAAAATATTAGATAAAAAATACCTTTAAAATAATTTTTTTTTTCAACGTAAAGTACTTTAATATTTATTAAAATGGTAAAAGCTGTTATTAAAAAACCAATTATTCTATCAACTGACATGCGTACGCTGTTTTACACCTAGATAATTAGAATTTAAATATACCTATTTATGATCCACAAGAGTACCTAGTATACCTCTACTTGATTAGGTTGTACATTATCTGAATTGAAAACATTATTCCAAATTCCTACTAGAAAATTTCGCAAAATTTAGTATAATAATATATTACAACAACAGTACAAAACTTAGACCTTGAGGCTTGAGTTTTATTTTGCTAATTATAATTTTCTCATTTCAATTTTTTCGGGCTGGTGGAGTATAGGCGCGCTTGCTTTTTAGGAAATATCTAATATAGTGGGCCTACACGCTCTTCCAGCCCTTTAAAATTTTAGAGTTAGTGCTAGTTTGAGGGCCAGATACAAAAATTACTCAACTAAATCATATTAAAGAAAACTGTTTCGATTTGAAACACATTGGTTTACTAACTGCAGCCCGAAAAAATCGTTTAAGTGAATGTGTATTTATTTAACTACCTTCTTAACGATAAACGCTATAGATTCAACCAAGCTGTTTAAATATACGCGTCTTAAGTCATTATTTGATTATAATAATAAGTAGTATATTAATTTATAATATTATAAGGTTTGACTACTTATTATATAGTATAGATATATCGTTGCAGCTAGAATACCTAATATACTTACCAATTTAACTCAAAACATCTGGCGTATCACACAACAGCTATGTGATTGGACACCGCCCTTTACTCTATGTCTGTATATGCCGGAAAGTAGAAACATTAAACTTTAAGTTTTAAGGTCGTAAATAAATAACAATAAATTAATTACGTTTTTTTTTAATTAGTTTCTGATAAAGAGCAAAAATTACCTACTTGGCAAATGCTTGGGGGTACTTAATTTCCTCCAAAAAACCAAAAAAGGGTTTAGTCAATTACTTAATTTAAACTTGTTTTATCTTTTTTTTCAAAATTATCTAGGTTAGATTACTTATAAGTAGGTTTTAAGAATGAGATAAATATGATTCAATATGTAAGTTTGTATCTATCTAAATTAAAAATTATTTTGTCACATTACTTAAATTGGTTTATGTGTTTAGACCGTGTTAATAAAAATATTACTTTATTTTTTATATTAGCAACTTGTAACTCTGATTTTTTATTTTCTTATTAGAAAATGATCTATACAAGTTTTAAAAAAATGCTCAAGTTTCTCAACTTTAGGGAAACAATATTCCATACGGATTATTTAGCACTACGCATTCAAGGAAGATTCTCAAATTTATACTATAAAAAATAAAACTATTTTGAAAAATGATCAAATTGAAAATAAAATTATTATTAAAATTTATTCACGTTTTAGACTTTATTTTTATGTACATTTTTTTTAATTTTTAGCTTCAATGCGGAACACAAGGTGTTGTATTTTTTTTTACATCTGTTCTTACTTTATTATTATTTATTTATTATATATTTTTTTTTTCTTGGTCGCAACTTAAAAATATGAAATCAAAAGAAGCGTTTTCATTAATTAAGGTGTTCGACTACAACGTGTATCATTAGTAAACTGTACATTAATAACTAATAAGGATTCTTAAGTATTTTGTTATTAGACTACTGTAGCTTCCAGTGACGTTTTTTTTTTTTTTTTTTGAAAAACAACATTTATTTTCTATTAAAAATTGTCACTTTATCTCGTGTCATATTGTTGTATAACTACTAAAAAAAAAATAGTAGGATATTCACAAACTTAAAAAAAAAGAATGCTATATTATTACGTTCGGTTTTTCTTTTATTCATTAATACACTAAACAAAATGATTAATAGTTAAGACATTGATAAACAGTAATATAATTTAATTATAATAATAATATGTGTGGCCGTACGGCATTCCACAATTAAAATAAAACGGTACACAATTAATATACAATGATTATTCACACCAAAGTATTGGCATTAATTATAAACATAATGGGCAGATAGACCATTGGTGGGTTTTTGGGCTGCTATAATTTAGTGTTTTTAGCTGTAGGCGGATGACGTAGGGGGCGCTGACTGTCGACGCGCGTGCGCAATACGTCCGGGACGGTTGTACTGCGCATGCGCGTCCATAGTCAGCGCTCCCCACCATAGTTGAAAAAACTGTCAATTTGCATTGATTTTACTTGCAGGCCGCGGCCAAAAAATCGGTCAATGGTCTATCTATCTAATGTATTTATAATCAATGGTATTTGGTCACCGTTATTAATACAATAATATGTCGTACGAGTTGCCTAAATGCCAGGGGTAGTACTGAGCGCACAGAGAAATTATATGTAAAATTCGTACACCCTCCCAATAGCGGCTATTACACCAAATATACTTTGTAATATATAACGTAATTTATCAGCTACTCAGTACTCAATAAGTAAAATTAGTTATCGTACTTATTTGAAAATACACAATATTTTTTTTTTTTTTTTTTTAATATTTTACACATTAAAAATCACAATAATTGTTTTGCCTTGCACCAAATTCACACATTAACACTCAGTGCTCGAATTGAGGGGGGATAGGGGCAGAAAAGGACGAAATCGAATCAACAGTCAACGTTGTAGGAATTTCAAAATAAGCATGAGATAATATTACAAATCAAAAATATATTTTAAACTATAACAGCTGTGTACAAGTTATTAAAAATGTTATTTGTTGATAATTAAGTGTTATAATATTTTGCTGTAACATGTGATGTTAAGCACATTAGTTTTATCTAGTCATTGGCAATTGGGTAAATCGGTTTTGTTATGATTTTTGAGCGACTATAAGTAAAAAACAATAGGGAATGGGTTCATATTATCGAACTTGCTGCTATTGCGATTCAAGTTGTGAACATGTTAAGCGATCTGGTTGGACAAATTACAAACTTATTAAAAAGATATTGACAAACATTGAGTAAATGAAGAAATGAGGGGACGTGTAAAGGGTGATGGAAGGGGGGGGGGGGTAGGCGAAATCTGTCAACTACATTGGGTCTGAAAAGTAAATTTTGAATAATTAATTTTGTTCTACTAAATTATTTCAATTCAAGCACTGTTAACACAGAATAACATACTATCAATAAATTACCATTCAACATGTATAATACAAATGAAATCTTACATATAAGATCAGACAAAAATATACATTATAATTTGGAAATACATATCGGGGTTTAGTTGTATATATTATTATATGCAATATAACAAGATATAATGAATGTATAATAATAATTATTTAAAAATAAGACCAACGTTGTCGTTGTAGTAAGTGACGACAATAATATATTTATAGGTATATATATACTATTTATCGAGTCAAATCTAATAAATAATAATTTAAAAAAAAAATCGATCTTTTAGCTATCTCTAATAAGTCTATAATTGTGTATGCAATTAAATAGTGCATTACACGTTTATGTTAGTGCATATATGCGTAAATGTAGTATAAGGGAGAAATAAAAAATTGAAATGCATTGAAAGAGGTAGGTGATTGAATATATAGAAATACTTAATGTGCGCCGAGTATGGGAATCCCAGAAATTGCCCAAATAAACTTAACTAGCCAAAAAATTGGATTTAAACCCACCGAACAAATCTACAAGATCTAGGTAATTATATGTTTGCCATACAAGCTAACCAGTCAATTGGATCTAAAACCAACCCTTAAAGTTGAGTCTAAACCGTTTTGGCCATGATCAAGTCGTTATTTTTCTCTTCTCCTATAATAAAAAATAGATACTAATAAACGTATCGTATCCATTTATTCTTAGAGCAACTACACCTACTTTTCGTGTTTAATTTCAGTAAATAAATAACTGTTTTTTTTTCTTAAAGCCTACAAATAAAATAACTAGTTCCATTCCCATTCCAAACCCCTAATTTCCCAGTTGTTTTACACGTCATTGATAAAATAATATCAATACAAAATATCTAGCATGTACTAAGTCATCATTTGAAAAGCATATTTATTTCAATAAAATATACTAGAGATCGAGTTTAAAAAAACATACTTTTATACTTTGATTTTTTTTTTGCCTCTAAATAGCAAATAAAAGGGTTATGTTGTACGCTGCGAGGTTAATATTAAAAAAACTCAAAAACATTACTAATTCAAAATAAGTATTAATCAACTCAATTTTATGGCATTATAATATCAGAGTATTAACGGTCTAATTTTTTAGATATTTATCATAAAGTACACAATATATAATTTCATTTTTATGTTTAGCTAAACTTTTCTTTTATCAATCCCAAATAGTTCCTAGCGTTATCGCCCAACTAAAAATAATATCAACAAGTAAAGAAAATGAAAAAAACCCAGATACCAAAAAAAAACCCCATAAATTTTTAAGCCTGAACACTAACTACTAACAAAGTTTAAGAAAAAAAATTATTTCAGCTATTTCATCTAAGATTACTTAGATAATAAACTAACTTAAAATGATCTTATCATAATCTACTGTGATGAATTAAGAATAACAATTAACATACAAATAGCATTCAAATATTGATAAAATTATGTTAACTCTCACGCCTTGTAGCAATATTAACAATTACCAAAAATATTAATTTTATGCATATATACAAACATTGAGTTCTCAATGATCTAAACAATGGGTTTATAATAATACAGCTGAATAATTGTTTTATCCATTAATATTATAGAAAAGCTTTTACCTACAAAGCTTAATAAAAAAAAAAAAATAATAACAACAAAAATAGTAGAAATAATAAAAAAAAAAAAATACATAAAAAAAATGTATATTTAATTGAACAAACTCAATTCATAATAATTAAAAAAAAAATAGTTAATATACTCTAGGAACACGTGAAACAAAAAAAAATGTCTATGCTTATTACTTCTGTTACAAAAAGGGTTGAGAATTAGTTTTAATTGAGCACAAGTGCGTTAGCTGATATTAACGGATTATTATTTAAAGTAACTGTGTTTTCTTAATATGCTTAAATGTGAATTATGTAAATTTATCGTAATAATATTTAAACATCATGTTGTAAATAGAACAGTACAGTAATAATAAATACATATTTAAAAATAACTAAATAATAACGGTTTTTTTTAGTTTTAGTTTTTTTTTTATCAAGTCTTTAATAAAGATATTTTTCATAACATTACATACAATTAAAAGAATAATAATATATAATAATAATAATAATAATAATAATAAATAATAAATAATAATATTAATAATAATAATAATAATAATAATAATAAATTGTATGCACGATAATTAATACCGTTATTTTTATATAAATTGTAATAATAATTATAATAAAACCATAACTATAAAATGTATAATTTATTTTTTACAATAATAATAATAATTAATTATTATTATTTCATATTATACATATATATATATACTACGTTATTTATCAGACTTAACTATTTTGAAGGACTATGATTCATATATTGCACAACATATAATTCCCCGAGTATTTTTTTTTCCAATTAACATATGTTCATTTCGTTATGTTTATTGTACTATGGAAATGTTCAATAAACAAAAAAAAACAACTATAAGCCAAAACATAATCATACAGACTAGCATTATTAGTAATGCCGCATTATAGTATACACAATAATACAAGATTTAGACATATTATAATTTACCAATTGCTAAAAATAAGAAATTAGTTGCGATTTTTTTTTGTTAGTGACAAATAATAAGTATTTTATTGCAATAATAAATTATTTTTAAATCCATAATAATATTGGATACATAAAAAATTAAATAACAATGTCCAACCCAGAATTTGGATAATTTTTTTTTTTTAATGGCCAATAAAATATATTATCACAATTATAAAAATATTAATCAACAAGAAATAATAGCTTTTGCCAATTTTTTAAATATTTTATCTAAATGTAAGTTATTTACTAAAAAAATTACTTCAATGAAAATAAAAAGGTTTAACATTACAAACAAAAGTAAAAACTAACAAAAAAAAATAGTACCGTAGCATACATTATTATTTACGTAGTCATCGTGCTGTATAAAATGAAAATATTTGAAAATCAATTCGGAAATTATTAAAACAATAATGATAAAATATGAACACTCAAAGGAAATAAAGATTACAATTTGTGAATGAATAAGAAATAATAATATGGACCGGCTTTCCATTTACCACATAAACAAGATCAAATGTACAATATGTTTTTTACATTGACTATAGTTCACCAAAATATATATACATACATATAAATATTCATTCACAATTTCCTCAAAAAGGGGATGTAAAGATAATAATTATGCAATCGGAAAATCTGTGAAAAATGTAAAAATCTACTATTATAATCTACCTATATTTATATATATAAACATATATATAAATACTTCTGAAGAACTATTTGATCAATTTACATTATATCATATAGATGCTAAAACAAATGGTTTACTATATTACTTTAATGTCTGATTAATATTAATATTAATATTAATATTATTATTATTACTATTATTATTATTATTAATATTATGATTATTATTAAAACCCAACGCCAAGAAAGATATCAGGTACAATACGCGCAAACACATAAATTATTATGAGTTTGAGGTTCGATTTGTATTACATTACCGCGTCAATCAAAATTGGCCTACCGCCCAATATGATATCACATATAGAGTAAAAACAAAGATGTAAAATGAAAGATAACGTTGCTTAATAAATTAAGTGTATAAAAAAAGTAAAACAATCATTAGCGAAAGTAAGAAATTACAATAAATCTATAAATATATATATATATATTATATAAGTTTCAAAAGGTTTTTTTTAACGAGAAGAATTTAGCCTAAACTTTGCGATATCATAACGAAACTTAAAATAAAAGATTGCTGTAAAATGGATTTAGCACCAAAGTGAAGTAAAATTGTTAACCTACAGTATTTGAACATATAATCATTGATTATACCTACATAATATCAGTATATATAATCAATGGTATATATAATGTAATCTGTTGTCTGTTAATTTAAAAAATATATTTTCTAACAGGAGAGGTTTCCAGCTTTTATGAAAATAAACACACCAGGTATTTGGCGATAAAAGTAATAATAGAATTAAATTAAATTAAAAACAAAAAATAAACAAAACAAAACAAAGTAAAGAATAAACATCAATATTATTAAAAATTGGCAAGCTATCATCATTATCATCATCTTTAGGTCACATTACATACTTAAAGTTCAGTGTAAGTCATATGGGAGCCTAGCCAATTAATTTTGTTTAACTTATAGCGCTAGTTACCATTTAGGTTGTTAATTTTTGACATAGTACTCGGAGTACGTACAACAGTGATGTCTGGTATGTTTTGTTGAGATTGAGCGTTGCTGGTGCTTGTCATCAAAATATTGGCTTCTTCTTTATTGTCTTCGTCGTCGTCGGAGTCTTGTTCTCTATCACTTTCTGACATCATTCCCTCGACACTCAATGTCGACCTATCAGTAGCATTCGAAGTGGTATTGGCTACTGTTAGTGGATTGTCGCCTTGTCGCATTGTTGACAAATAATTTGCCAAAGTAGTTACAGTGACATTGAGAATTTCAGCTGCACGAAACAAAGTCAGTTCTTTTCGTTGCAACTTAGCTAAAACATCAGCTGGCCCTTGTTCCAACCAAAAATCTCGAACCCTGTAATCAATTAAATACAATGTATATTAGCGCAATATTCTACGAACAACCATAGATACAATCTCTTAAACATTACCTATACGGATGTTTTAGACAACCATATGCGTCCCGGTATCGACCGTAAAGAGTGCCGTAGGAAACTCCCATTAACTCTGCTGCTACTTTCATTTCGAGTTCTTTATTTTTTATAGCTTCCATTAGACGTTTTGTAAATGGCTCTTCCCAAAACTGTGGACGACGACCACCGGATTCCAGGTAATCATTCATTTTCATCACATCAGAAAACTGACTTAAATCTGTATGGATATAATAGTAAAATTTTAACTCATAATACTAGAATAAAAAACAACATTTAGAAAATTTACCAGGAACATGAGCTGGCTGTTCGCTAAACCCTTGACTAATTGTGGTAGTACTGTTTCCTCTATCTTCTTCCGAGGTATAAGAGGTAACATTCGACGTAAGTGTCTAATTTATAAGAGTAAAAAAATTAATAACATAAGATCATATTTTTTAAAATACAAAATATACACAGTTTTCTTTTGTTACCGTTTTCTTTGAAACTCCTACATTTTCTGAATCGACTACTTGTTGCATCTCAGGTTCCCAAATCGATTGATCGGGTTCAGACCCATCGTCAGCATCTGCTGTATCCATATCATCAAAATTTACCTGGAGAAAATTTGAAATTGTTATTGTTAGTACTAGGTTGTAAACATTGTATTAAAAAAAAAAAATGATAAATAATTATAGTTACTTTTGGTTTGTCAGAAAATTCTTTCTTAATGTTAGTAGTGGTATGCAAAGACTCTAGTTTTCTTTTTTTACTTATACTAGGTTCGTTAGCAGTAGCAGTATATGTGTGACTCTGTTGTTCTTCGTCCGATCTCCATGACACCTCGGCTAAACCTTTTATCTTTAGCTCTTCAGCAGTTTTCAATAATGAAGAAAGTTCAGTCTAAAATCATATAAAATAATTAATACATAAACCAATGATAACAATAAAATAGAAATTTCTTTAGTACATTTTCAACATTTATTTCTCCTTTATACATGAAACTGACAAGTGCTTGAATGTCAGAAAACTTAACATCTTTTAATATGACTATTGCTTTGTTTTCGTCATGCTGCGATAATATAGTGTCAAAATAGGTACTACAAGCTGAGAGCATCACCTACAAATAATTGTATTAAATAACATTAAACTTTTAAAATTTACAAAAAAAATTACTTGGTAAATAAAAACAAAGTGTATTAAAATATAAAGGTTGTTAAAAGACAATTCTTTGCTACCTTGTGCGCTCTCAAAGTTTTTCCTTCACATGCTAAAGTGACATCGCAATAACTCTCTCTTTCTAAAAGTTGAGAGAACATTGCCTGTAAGTTTGAGTGATGATACTTCCAACGTAAACAATATTGTTGTGGTGCCAAAACGTTCATGGTATCTTCTGTAGTCTGCCGCATTGATGTTGTTAATACAGTCTATTTGAGACTAATGTTTTACTCTATTAATCTACCATAACACTAGAAAATGTACTGTTGTAACCTAAAAAATTTAAAAAACAAACCAATAAGGAATTATGATAATTAACATACATTCAACATACACTCATGTACAAAGTTAACTAATTAGACTATTCATTCTCAAATTTGTAACTCAAATAAAAATTATATTAAAAAAATAATCAGCATTTGGTGGCATAAAATCTTTTTTCTAAATCGTCATTTTTATCATCATTAATCTACCCAGTTGGTCAATCAAATCAATTATAAAAAATAATGTTAAAATTTATAGTCAATTTCATTCTTGTTCTTTATACCTCTGGCTGTTGTTTATAAAATGTAAACAAATACTCTAGTACCTGCACGTAAATATTAAAAACGATTACTAATATTATAGAATTTATGGGTAGTACAAATATTTATTAACTTTCTGAAGCTTAAAACATAAATTATATGTAAAAAAAAAAAAAAAAAAATTACAATAATACAAACAAAAAAGTAAGAACAACAGTTGAACAACACTTTCCCAATATAAGTTTTTTTTTTACCAGCACAGATTGTAACTGACAAGATTTATCATTTCATCTGTACAAATAAAACGCATTTCTATTACAAAGTGAGTTTTCAAGCACTACTCTAACAATCCAAAGCCTGGATCCCCCCGCAAGTCTCGGCATCGGCTGTTCGACTATCTTTGGATAACCACATTGCAAAAGCAAACACACATGGTTCCTCCGACCTACCACACTACGATGTCTACCCGACGACTAACGACAGCCATAGAGTCGAACGTTGGAAATTAGAATGTTTAGTAAATTAAAAAAAAAAAAACTATGCGACAACGTATAGCTTAACGTAATGAGTAGAGACTGTCACCAAAGAGTTTAGTCATAATTATTTTCTTCTAAAATCAGCCAATTATCAAAACGAGCGCCTGACTGCCTGCCTTAAGTGCAACAGCAAACAAATCGTTGTAATGCAAAATTGGCTTACCAGATTTTATTTTTTTTTCGGCTGATTTCTGAACGCCTTTGCGTTTTGATTGTTGGGAGTGTGCACACGCCAAAAGGAAAGGTAGTCAGAGTGATTTTTTATCACGAACCACGGCTAACAATAATATCGACTGGCGGCCAAGAGGAAATGAAAAATTTTTCTGAGTTCGGGGAAACGATCGACGTCCAGCAATCGAAATCGACTGTGCGAGTGTGTGCGCGCGTTTTTTTTTTGTCGGATAAGAAAAATATAATGCATATATAGATTATATATGTATGTACATAAATTCAAACGATAATATGCGGTGCGATATAAACTAGTCTCAAAATTCAACGTACGCACACACACGCACAAACACACACAAACGAATGGACCGGACGGACGACGGTGAAATGTGAATATGAAAAACAAAAAAAAAAGTAAAAGAAACCAACAGCGGCTATGGTCGTAGTGCAATGAAAAAACACGATTTAATAATATATTAAATTTAAAACCGATATCAAGAAGGTCATTAAACCGTGAAACGCAAAACTAGGGTACCCACAGTATAATATTCGCATTCAAACGTCGAAAATAATTATGTGTATTATTACAACGACAATATTGTTATTATTATTGTTATTTTTTTTATTATGTAATAATAACAATAATAATATAAGTGTAATATTATACCTATGATGTGTTAAACGGTAATAATTATAGGTACGTTCTCGGTATGTTGTTGTTACAGTGCAATTATTATTATTTATTTTAATAAATGATTATCCGGTGAGCCATGCATTCCCGGGCTGCGAAGAGCGCGTATTGTCCGCGAAATCCGTCACATAGATACGGCGACGGTTGTGGATTCGGACACTGTAGTGCGTTTGTAATACTTTTATCAGAACTGGTATTTTCGAAACGCCGTTTTTACCACGAAACGAACAGAAATGAAAATAAAAATAATGCACGGCAGCACATCGGCCGTCGAGTTTCGGCTGCGGGCTGAGCGGCGAGGCGGTCCGATGATTGTGATTTGTGATTGTTTACGGAGCGTGAAAACCCACAGGTACGCTCGCAATTCGCGCTACTACGCCGCCGTCGTACACCATCTTGCGTCAAACCGTTATCAGTCGCCGGTCGCCGGTCGCCGCCGCCGCCGTCGCGATAACGCCGATATGGTATACCGTTCGCTCCACCCCCCGGATGTATAGATTATATTATCAACACACTGGCGGGCTAAATAGCCGACTGTGCGTTTAAACGTGTACACAAAACGTAAAAATTAACGGATGCACGCGTTGTGGCCAATGTTTACATTATGCTATCAATAATATTTCGCTGCGGTATGAGGTGTAAGGTGTACTTGGTGTGCAAGGTCTATTACTATAAGGTGTATTTTACTATTATTTCTATCACTACGAACGTAAACATTGCCCGCCGCAACACATATGGATGGATTATGGTCATTAAACTTCAATACAAAAATTCTAGGTCGGCTATCTAGGCCAATTAATGAGTATATAAATAAATATTTTTTTTCGCGTTTTCCCATTAAATAATTTAATTACATATTATCGCTATAACCATAATGCTATCGTATTTAATATAATATATACGATACAGTTTACGCGCGGCGATAATTTTGTTTTGTACTCAATCATTGTTTTTCTTGGTCATTGTGATAATTTTATTAGATATATTTAATTATGCATTTCTCGAAAATTAAATTATTTTTAGAATATACAGTGGCGTAGATAGTTTTTTTTTGGGATGGGGGGGGGTGCTGAGGCACTAACTCCTAACAAAAACTTGACAATACTAAACTTCTACAATTCACATCCTATAGGTCTATAGGTAGACTAAAAAAAATTCGAGGGGCTCCAGCCCCCCCCCTCCCCATTAATACACCTCTGTAAGTACATAATTAATATTACATATTATTGTATAAACATAATTTATTATTATTATTATGGGTAAAATAAGTATAATGACGAATATTATCGAAAGATATTCGATACGCGTACGGACTTCGATAATTGTATTAAAATATAATATCATTTTTGCTGGATAATATTATAATATATATATATATACCTCTATGTTTAATATATATTTATATTGTTTTCCAACGCGATACCGACCAAAAATTTTACTGGCGTCGTCTTCTTTTATAGATAAACAGCGTTGTTTTTAATAATTTTCATAGCCGTCGACGGTTCGCCGTAGTCCGGTATGAATAATTTTATTTATCATTAAAAAAAACATTATTTTTGTTCTACGAGTCGCTAGGGATAGCCGAAAACCCAAAAGGGTTACGTAACGTTTTGATATTATTTATATACACACACACACACACACACGCACAATAATAAAATCTGGGCTGTGGCCAACCGAAAGAATTTCTCAAAAAAATACTTAATAATACTGAATACAGTGTTTTGGTTGTGTTGAGAAAAAAGATGCATAAATAATCGAGTCAAGTCGCCTCTCTACACTCACGCTTGCTGAAAATCTTATTCGCTGATTACGAACGTAACGGGTCAAGAGACCTCTTGCCTGAAAATACTTCAAACTAACAAACAACTATACAGTCCGACTTGTCGGGCGGCATCGATGGATGTCTACCACCCGCCTCCGCCATTCAAGTCCATGTATACATAATTCATCAAATTTACTGATTGCGCACAGTGGTGTATAGATTGTAAACAACATATTTTAGTCAATAATAAATTTAAAAAAAATTATCGAGTATACAAGTTGTTATTTTTTTTTAAGTATCATTTTTTTTTTATCTTCCTGTCGTCGATTAATGTAATAATATGCGCGCTCTGCGTCCTGTGCGTGTGCGTGTGCGTGTGCGTGTGCGCGCCGTGCATGCTAGAAAAAACGCGTTCGCAGTGCTCAACACAAATAGTAGTGTCCTATGCGGTGTATTTTAATAATATCGTAGAGGAGTAGAAGTAGTAAAACTAGTATACCCACGTTAATATATACATATCAATGTGTGTGTGTGTGTGTATCCAAGAGGTTTTTGGGTATCCATTTTTGAATAGAATTCTTAAAGCGCACACGAATCACGTTTTTTATTATTGTAATTCACGTGTGCGTGCATGTGCGTGTGTGTGTATGTTTTTTAGACTAGTCTGTAATTATTATTCGAAATTTTTGTGCGGTCCTCTCGGCCGCTGTTTGTTGACCTCGGCAAAAACTGTGCTAACGTTAATCTACTCCCCGCCTAGTACAAACTAGTGCCATAATAATATCGTGTGGTGTTTACTCACATACCTGACCTTTCCAATCGATATTGGGTAGGGTAATGCTCGTACCGCAGTGGTAACGCTGTCGCGTGTATTCGCGTTGGCTCTTTGTTTTTTTTTTTTTTTGACCGCGCTCTCGCCTGATCGCACAATGGAAGACGCGGACGTTGAGGTTTTCCGGTCGTTGCAATAATAATATTATTGTTATTACTGTTATTATTATTATTATTGTTATTACTACTAGTTACTACTAAATACTACTACTACTATTATTATTATTATTATTATTATTATTATTATTATTATTATTATTATTATTATTATTACTGTTATTGTTCACGCGTACTTACGTTTTCGTTTTATTTTTCGGTACCTACCTTAAGACAAAATTATTATTATTACTGTAGTTTTAGAACGAAGACGACGGTCGACGACGTGTAACAACACAGGTTTTTTGTCAAAATCCAAAACAGCGAATAACAATAAAATGTAATATTTATACATACGTATAAAAATATCGGTGTATAATATAAATATTTAATTAATAATATATCGCGTCATTTTCTTACTTTTACCGGGAGAAAAAACTGCCACCTTTTCTAGCAATCTATCATCGGTGTTTACATTTTCGAGAAAAACAAAATCCCGATTTCGATATTTACCGTAATAAAAAAAAATAAAACACTAAAATTGAACAAACAAAAAAAAAAATGTACAAAGTACAAAAAAAAGAAAAAGTCACAAAGATATTGCAACACAAAAATTGCGGAGAATAATGATGGTATGTGTATATTATTATGTATTAAAACATATTATAATTTAATTGCATTTTGCTCACTATATTTGACCACCAGATTCCTATAAAGTATACAATTATTATTACTTATTATGATATTGATTAAACGGATAATTTGTGTCGCGGAAAACAAAAAGGAACCTCTTGTCGGTATTTTCCATAACCGAGATAGTACTATTTTCTGAATCTTGATTGAATTTCTCACAAGTTGACACCCGGTGGATATTTGTAGCTAAGCAATTGTCATAAGTTATTACACTGTGAAATTATTCGCTTGATGTTTTTTCTGGAAATCAACTTTGTCGACAAGAGATCCCTTTTTCACGTGACGTTTTCATCATTTAGGTATATACTATAAATAATATGCACATACACTGTTTTTTTTTTTAAATTATGATATGATTTTTACCTGACAATACAATTTTGTCGTTGACCGCGGCGAAGAACCGAATAATAACCGAATAGTAAACCTAGAATTAACGAAGGTACCTCTTCTATAAACGTGCACTTACATAATTTATATGTCTATAGCTATTTACTATTTTTTTTAATTTTTTTTTTTTTTTATTCATAGTCGTATAAATTATTATTCGAGTTGACGACCTCGGCTAACATGGTTAATATGGCCGGTCCCAACGTATACCACACATACACGAACATAGATATATAAATATACATTATTTATTATGTGTATATAGTATAATAATATGTGCTATAGTTTAGCATAAACAAATTCAATTCGTTTATTCAGACACAACATAACTGTTAACAAAATAAACCAAGGGTTCTCGTTATTTACTATCCGGCGACGACGACTGTCGGTAAAATAGTCTATAATATTATTGTACTTGGAACTAGTCAACTTTTATGGTACTATACAATCTTATATTATTAATAATAATAATTATCGAGACAATACAATATACATTTAAGCCGAGCACTTAACGTTCCTTCCTAACACAGCTCGATATTAATAATGAAGTACAATTATTATCAATATCTACAATTATTGAGCGATCTTACCTACACGACAATCGGAAATTATTTCAAATAATATTATCTAAGTATAATAATAATGTCAAATGCGCAATTATTTAAAAAACGAATAACAATTTTGTTTTTTTGCACTTAGACTGACAATAGGTTACTGAAAGTATTAATCGAAATGACTATACAGTATAATCTAATAAAGTATTATTATTACTATTAGTATCATTAACATAGATAATAAAATAATGGATAGTACACGCCAATATCAGTACTGTAAGAGGTCGCGGTCTTTTTTGGGGAAGAGAGAAAAATGATTATAGATTATTTGGTTTGAGAGAGACGGACGATAAGAGGCTTTTTTTAAGATTATGCGTACAACAATTATTATAAAAATTATCAATACAATAATACATGTTTTTATTACAATGAATGTAAAAAAAAACTGAAAAATATTAAAGAGGCCAAAGTAAAATAAAATATTTGTGTTTCCACGGTTCCCAAATCTTAATCAAAATAGTTTATAAACCACTATAATTATCATTTATCTATTAAC